GCTAATTGCCACTTTGGCTCGTCGCACGAGAAAATCCGAGCGAAATAGCATCGGTATGAGAGAGGCACGAGCAGCTCGTAGCAATTTTCTTCTCCTATGTATGCACATGTACGATATATCGATTCGCTTTTCGCGTTTATCTGCGAGCCGGAGGTGGCTGGAGCGATCATTAAATATAAGAAGTACACGTAACGTCGATGGCTCGTGAATGTGCTCTTCTCTCTCTCTGTCGAATCGCATACGCGCGCGCAATAGGCAAAATGAGGACGAGAGGGAGAGAAGCCCATAATCATTATTAGAAATGCAAATTGAAGCTCGCGCTACAATCGTCGCCGCACGCGCCTTTGGGCAGAAACTTGTATGGGCTGGAACTATCAGGCGGGATCACACGCGAGACTCGGATATTTTCAGCGCAGTTGTCTGGCCTCCTCATCCTCCTCTTCTTGCTCTTCTTGCTCTTTCTCCCTTTCCACCTATCACACTGGCTGCTGCTATATGCTACTGCAGTCCTATACTCGGGGAAATTGTCCATTCCAGAGCGAAGGTCGACTTGTGTAGTTGTCGTAGTCGTGGCTGTCGCTCGCACCAACTCGCAGCGCTATATAGAGCCCGAGTACACGGGCCACTTGCCAATGGAACGAGGAAATTCACAAAAGAGAGCAGTTGGACTTTCTCTCGGGCAGTGCGGCAGCGAGTAGTGCAGCGATCTGACTACACGCACCCATCCTACGAGCGTACATGTGTTTATACGCTATCCTTTCCCACCCAACGCCGACAGACAGTACCTATAGCCATGCATGTGGGCGCCCAATTTGCGGGTGAAATCTGGCATGCTCCGCTGCGCGCCCGGAGATTTCCGACATTGTTTTTCCGACTGCTGCCTCGACGATCGCCATTTCTCTGCATATCACCGGCACTAAACGGCCAATCATTCCGCACCTTCTTCCCATCTGCCCCTCTTCTAACAACTCGTCAATTTTTTACCAAAACTATATTTCCTTTACTTTTTCTAATCTACCTGAGCTTTTCTCGACGACACGTTTATTGCTATTTTTCGCTGGCACGCGATTCAATAGCTGGCGAAAAATTTACAAACACGATTCTTTGTCTGTTGGCAAAGCCTCGTTACATTTACAAATGGTCGTTTGTACTTGGCTTCGAAATCCGTTGCGTTTGTCCAGTGCAGAGCTCAACTTCATCTTTATGAAACTATAATGATCTAATCGTATTCCGACACATCAAAATTTATGGAGGTTTAAAAATCTAATAAAGCAATACATTAAACAAAGCCATTATTTTGATAAAATACTCTCCATTTTTTATGTACTTTTTTTCGTCATGTACTTTCTTTATTTGTGCTGCACTCGTTCGTAGACCGGTAAAAAATATCAGTCGATTATCATTTTTTCTGTTGCGGTTTTTGCATCAATAATTCGCACAGAACTAATTGACTCTCGACGCAACTTTCATCTGGATCTTGATTCAATAAACCACTGAAGCAATGATAAGCGCCCGTTAATAAGCACAAACGCAGCCGCGTATCGTCTGTATCGACGTATATTACTCTTAATGAGCATTTATCAATAAAGGTATGAATGATTTCATTTTATGTAATATTCCATTTTATTTCCGAGCCTCCATATGTAAACCTCCATTTATATATATCTACCCCTGTTCCGGAGAATGTAACAAGAGTGCCGAAGTGCAGGAAAATCTTGAAATTTGATGCTTTTGTCTCTCGAATACGATACAGCACGCAATTTGACACGAGCGCGAAACTTGCAATTTCCAATGCTAGTCGAAAGCCCTGCCTTATCGCTTATTTCCAAAAACAGCCTCGCATTCGACGCAGTGAGCTGCATACTAACTTTTTACACGGCACGCATCGAGAAAAGTCACAGAGTCATTGCAATATCAAAAGTCAAATGGCTTTTTGGAAAGCACAAATCGATACCTCGATAAAGCTCTAAGCCCTAAGTTATAAAATTACAACTCACACGGTATAAAAGACTGATGTAACGACTTCAGTACTAAATTAATTAGAGTATATGACATACTCTCACTGAGACTTGATCTAAAATTAACGTAATTCTCATTTAATTACAATTTTTCCTCGTTACTTTTACTTTTATTTGTTTTGTTTTTTTTTCACTTTTATACGTTTCATTTTTTTCCTGAGCTAAAACTGCTGCAGCGGACGACTCGCGTGAATGAGAAGAACGGGGAAAGCCAAGAGCGCGTGGCAAGACTCAAGGCTTTGGTAATTGCTTTTTTGTGGTGCGCGCGCAGCAGCGCAAAACTCGCTCGAATCGTAAAACAAATGATTACGCCGCTACATTAATGTTTTCATTTTAAACACAAAAACATAACGTCCAACAAGATATAATTGTATACCTAGGTGGTGCAGTAACAGTTGCAGCAGCAGTGAACGTTTTTCAAACGAGATGCACAAATATTTCTCTTTCTCTATCTCTTGTAAAATAATGGCCAACTCAAGGATGATGATATACAAGTATATATGTATATAGAAAAATTCCACTAGTTTGAAAACAAGGGGAAATTCCAATAATAAATTTGCACAGGTATGCAGGCAATAGCAGCAGCAGCAGCAGCAGCAGTAGCAAGAGAAGTGCGAGGATGGCTGAGAGGAGGCGCGCCATTGTATAAATGCCAAAGTCGGGCTGGATCAGCAGCTATAACTACACGAGCTGAAAACGAATTCCCGTCGTTGCTCTGCCACCTACATGTAGCACATACCGAGAAAGACTTATTTTCTAAGCCGAGCAAAATATAACGCGATTCGCGAGCTTTAAAGCATTCCGTCGGTTAATTTCAAATAGACTCTCGACGAAAAGACGCACGCAGCTGAACGGAGCCAAGGAAAATAACGCAATCGTTTGCGGTTCTTGGGCTTATTTTTTATATCCCCCCAAAATGCTCCCAGCGTTGGCAAACAGAGCGAAATATTTACCTATCGAGTGTGGATAATAGTATTTGAATTTTTCATAATTAAAGACGCTAAAGCAGCTACCGTTCACGACCAACATTATGTATACAGTTATGAATAATTCGAATACTACTCGTATTTTTTGCTCTCTCTCTCTCTCTCTCTCTGTTTGAATCAATGTTGAAACTGCGAGCGAAATGGAAAAAAAACGCAGCCAAAAATGATTAGTTTACTCGGGGCTCTGGAGAGTCGGGAAGAAAGGAAAAAAGACGAGTTCACTGTCCGTCGGAACGCACGGCCAGCGTATAAACTGCACGCAAAAACGCAAGCGGCAGCATTTTTTCTATCTCTCTCTGTCTTTTTTTCCAAGAAACGCACTCGTGGAAATCGTAGCTCGAATGCCGAATGGCCGATACGCTTTCACACTCGGATCCGCGCTACCAGTGTTGCGCGCCAGTACACTCCAGACTGCAGCTAAACACTATGATATTATATAGATAAGGCTGTGCGCGGGAGAGCAGCAGCGAAAGTCATGGAATAATGGGCGGCGGAGCGGCGCTGCCAGGCAGAACAGAAAATGTGCAAGAGAGAGAGAGAGAGAGAGAGAGAGATGCCTGCCTGTATACACACTAACTGGGTCAATAGCCCCTCCAGACAGTCCGAGAAAGACAGAGAGAGAGAGACTGTAAAAATTTTACATTCGCGAAAATCGCCACCGCATTCAATTGGATTTTACTTTTATTGCCAAAGCTGGACAGGAAAAAAAAATTGCTTCTTTTTGTTGCGCTGTCGAAAAAGCGAGTCCGCGCGCTTGAATTTCCGAGCACGCTTCCATTTTTCTGCCTGAATGTAAAGTAGCGGCGCTGTATGACGAAAACGCAGGCCATCGGTCGATTCAAGGTGGATTGTGTAGGCCCCCGACGAGGCACTCGATCAAAGTTTGCCAAGGCCGAATTTACGACGAGGCAGGATGCGCGCGTGTAAATAAGTTCAGCATGGTGCGTGTGGCAGCGTAATAGCTCGTTGAGCCAAAAGACCAAGGCAGCGAGCAGCAGCTGCAGCTGGCCCATGAAACATTTGCATAATTGGCCAAAGAGGCTGCAGACAAATGCGCGCGCCCTGTACGCTTTTTTCATTACTCAAACTGCGCCGGCACGATACGTACGCGCAAGCCTCGCACAACATCTCTCGACCGCCTTTCATCCTCGCGCGCGTCTTTATTCCTTTTTTCTCTTTCGCTGGCATACAAAGTACAGGCCAGTCTATTAGCATAGTTTCAATGGCTATTAGGTCGTAGGTGAACGAGCCTGCCGCGTTACAATCTCGCCCAAAAAGTCCTGGAAAATCGGGCAAAAGTCGCTAAACGCGCCACCTCCTCTCTCGCTCTCTGCTGCTGCTGCAGGCAGCGAGCTCTTTGCGGACTTTCGACTTTTGCAGCGCGACGGGACGTATATCGTCGTTGTTGATGTTTATACATATAGGCAGGCGTAGTCGCGATTTCACCGACAGTCTAGCGATCGACTCGGCGCAAGTAGCATCGCGATCCCATTGTTACTCTCTCCTTCAAACACAGCAGCTATACTGGCGACTCGCTGCTGTGCGGAGTAGCAGCAGAAAGCGAGGGAGAGAAAGTTTATTCTAGATAGGTATACACATCTCTCGAGTGCGCCGCAGAGTGGCTATTCCGTATATACACGATCGATACTTTATTCTCGCGCTGCAACGAGAACACGTCGTACATCATATCGCTCGCTATTTCCGATATTTCCGGCCCTAAAGATTTTCGACTGCGCAACTTGCAATTTGTAACGCGGCGAACTATAAGCGCGGCGTAGGGCTCTGCTGGCTGCTTCGAAGCGAGCCCCAATTTACGAATCACGCGCGCGCGGCTCGATCGATATTTCGCAGTAATTAAATTTAAAGTCACGCGCGCGCGCGCGCGTTAAAGTAGAAATGATGCAGCGCGGCTAAATCATTAACTCGAATTATTGGCTTTTACAGAGCGCATTCTCGATAGAGCACTCGTCGATAATTAACATTAATCCGGCTGATCGCGAATTCTCCGCCGTAACAAGGATTCGTTGGTGTTTTGTTTGACGGTCAATAATCAGAAGTTTTGTTCTCGATCCCAAGCCTTCTTCGGACATGGCTATGGTACTGGAGTCGTGCAGCACCGACGAGGTCTGCAAGGCACTCGGCGGCAACGACGAGCTCCTGGCCGACCTCCGCAGCAAGCTCAAGGACTGGTTGCTGCATCAGCCGCATCTGCCTCAAGGTCAGTTTTTGCCTCGAATTATATAAAGCTAAGCTGTATATCCGAGCGGTTGAGAAGTTTGGGTAGGCTGGCTGGTGGCGTGTCGCAGATGGCGAAAGACGAACGAGGCGGCAGCAGACGCGCCTCGCGCATACATTAGCTCACCGCTGCTGGTTATATACGCTGGGCATCCGCGTTGATTAAGTCGTGCACAACTGACTGACGATGCACGCGCGCATCTGTGTTGCAGATATGCCCGAGCAGAGATTGGAGCACTTCGTTATCAGCACGAAGCACAGTCTCGAGCTGGCCAAACAGAAGCTCGACATGTACTACACGGTGAGGCGACTCGTGCCCGAGCTCTTTGCCGAGCGCGACCCCCAGGCTCAGTACGTCACTCGCCTCAACGAGTCGCTGTGCGTTCTAAATATTACGCATTATTAACCGCGCGCATATTTCCACTCGTATCGTATGATGATAAATTTCCTCTTTCTGTTCTCCTCCCCCCAGGCAATGGGTCTGCTTGCCGAAATTGACCCCGGAAAAGTATAGAGTGTCGATACTGCGCTCCATCAGCGAGGATCCGGCCAAATTTCAACCCTGGGACTTTTTCAAGTGAGTATATACAATTGCATTTCGAGACTCGACTTTTTTCCAGCCTTTTGTTCGGGCGCGATTCTCGTCCTCGAAAGCTCGCAAATGACGTTTGATTCTCGTGGGCCACGTCCAGTCCTTTCATAATATACCCGACGCTGCGATCGGCCAATAATGCCAAAGGACCGAGCCTCCGAGTCAAAAGTATCGCTAATGGCTCGCTCAATTTTCCGTTATGCTCCTGTTACCCGGCAGCTCGTACATTTGCACACGCGCTCGTACCAACGTATACGCGAGTACGTGTATAATATGTAGAGGAGCGAGTTTAAAGGCATCGGATGTTTCATCGCGCTGAATAATTCGATATATAATTTATCCAAAATCAGCTCGTCGAAAGGTGTGAAGCAAAACGAACAGAGAGAAGCGGCAATTCGTTTCAAGTTCATTTCGAGCCAAAAGTCATTGAAAGCCCAACGAATGAAAGTCGCGAATTATATACGCACATCGAATCATTCCGAGTTAATTTAATGCGAGATAAAGCGAGATTAATCGTCATTTTCGGCCGCGCTGGAAATATTTCGTTGAATTTCGACTATACTGAAAGCCCGAGTCGTAAATCTGACGTCCTCGAGGACACGAGGCGAAGAAAAAGAAAATTACGTGCGCCACTAATCGTGATCCGCATACTCACTAGTCAATTTTTGCACACATATTTACATGGGAATGTGTCATTTCTGGCGGCTCGCAGGTACACCTTCATGGTCGGGGACATTCGCATCTCCGAGTGCCGCAGCCTTGGCGACATTTACATTTACGATCTGTCGGCTATGCGGGTCGGCCACCTAGCCAAGCTCACGCCAGCAATACTAAAAAAGGCAGAAGTTGCCGCGACGGTGAGTAGCTACTTGGCCTCGTTGTTATACTGCGCGATTCCTTCGATGCATAATTCTCTCTCGAGCTCGACTCTACATTAGCTGACTGCACTCGAATAACCATTACGAGCTCGGAATGCGAAATTCGCTTCATTGAAATACGTAGTGTACTACTAATAAAGACCAACTGTAGAAGCTGCAAATATTTCCTAGCTCCTGCAGAGATGCGCAAAACTCGATTAAAAAACATTCGTAATTGTATACTCGTAGAAAGCTTACGGGGCCCGGATAAAAGGCATCCACTTCATCAACGCGCCCAACTTCATCGATCGCATCGTTACGCTCGTCAAGTCGGCCATCAAGCCCAAGCTCGCTTCCAGGGTATGTGTTATATACAATTGGCTTATACTTAAATGTACGCTCGCACCACATAGAATAGCTCGAGTCTGTGATTGTGCCAACGTTGCAGGTGCACGTGCACTCGAGCGGACTGGACTCGCTGTACGAGCACGTGCCCAAGTCCGTCCTGCCTGCCGACTACGGCGGCGAGCAAGCCAGCATGAACGAGCTCGACGGTAACTGATTACCCATACGAAATCTGAGATAGCTCGAATCCAAAGTAGCTCGAGTCTGAAATACACGCTCTTGTTGTTTGTTTAGAAAAATGGCGCGGAAAACTGGCCGACTGGAGGGACTGGTTCTTGAAGGAGGAAGTGCTGAACGCCAACGAGGATCTACGCCCGGGACCGCAGCTCGACTACGACGATCTTTTCGGCTTTCAAGGATCGTTCCGCAAGCTCGAGGTCGATTGAAAGCAGCAGCTCAGCTATTTTTGCAGCTCCGTCCACTTACGTAATCTTCTACACACCCTCATTCCGAAATGGCGCACGTGCAAAGGGATTAACGCCTCGAAGCTCATTGTATGCTCTCGTACACGATATACTCGAGGAGTACCGTGTGCAAACATCGACGGAAATTGTTTGCCGCACATACCGTACCACACACATACATTTATATATATATATCTCATTGATACTCTGTTTTTATGTGCTCGAAATGTATCGCTGAAAATAAAATGAGGAGGCGAATAAAAAGAAAATGGCTCGTGCAGGTATTTTTCCTGGCTAAAAATTCAGCTGCGAATAAAGCGCGCGAGCGCGTGCGAAGAGCTCTGTGGATCGTGAATTGGGGAAAAATCGCTGCGCGCATCCCGCCACCCCAGCAGCCGCTTATATCGAGCGATGCAATCGAAAAAGCAGCACACGTATCGATGCATCGCGCACATGGAATATCGATCTCTCTCTCTGGCCTGTCTACTATTATACACATACAAGCCTGTGCATGTGTACACAGAGCTGTTGGAAGCAGCTATAGCAGCTAGCTGTATAGAAAGCAAGCTTACGTGGTTTGAAAATCCACTTCTCGCAGCTCGACTCGCTTGTCTCATCCCCTTTCTCTCTCTCTCAGGCTCCCTTATTTCTCTCTTTCTCGCAGCTCAGCTGATCCCGTAGCGACTAGCTGAGTATCAGCTGCGGGGCGCACCAGTAGTATAAGCAGCAAAGTCTCTCTAAATGGAAATTCGTTGTAGCCAAGTTGCAGGCTCCATCTCTGCCGCGCTCTTGCTCGAGCTTTAACAGAGGCGGGGGGGAGGAGGCCAACTTCTTTCGCCCGCTATACCTCAATCCCTCCCATCGATTCAAAGCCGAGTCCTGATGAATCAAAACCGACTGCTGCTGCTGATACTCGAAAACAAATACATGCATACAGCTGGCTCTGCGCTAAAAAGCTCCCAAAGAACAAACGGCAAAGCTCGACTTGCGACACCAATACGTAGTCCTGCATTTTCGTCCCATTCTTATGCGTAGCCGATTACGACTATATCCAGTTGTTTTTCCAATCTCCGAGCGAATGAATTAAGCCGTTGATTGGAATTTCGTGTACTTGACTTTTCGCTCTTTCGCTCCGAGATATTGAATATCCGGACCAAGTAATATCTAATGAAGCTCAACAGGCAGACGAGCTCCGCTATGCGCTCTGCTTCGGTTTCGAGAGACCCGAGTACATCAACAGTCGACGTGCGGTATGAAAGCGCCGAATGCAGCCTCTATGGATACACGTTTGTGCGTCGAGCAAAGCTATGAATCGCTCGGATCGGAGGCCAGCGTGTGCATGAATGACCGATCAATCACACCGCGCGCATTTCCCGGAGAATCCCAATCTCGCGCAAGCTCGACACGCTGGATCCATTTGCCAGTTTCTACGACGGCGGTGTATACTTGGAGCGGTAGTACGTACACGCCAGGCCATGAGCCCCACCCAACCGAGCTCTGGCAGCAGCTTTCACTCGTTGTGCAGCGCGCGCGACTATATAATTTATAGTAAAGCACAAATCCGAGCTTCGTATAGTATAAGCCCCCAGCCGGCGTATAAAACATAATTAAGCTTTATGATTGAGATGCATGCGGAGTACGCGCCGCGTGGCTGTGCGGGCTAATAGCAGCGCCGCTGCACGTGTCCAGCTCGACGATCGCCAATCGCGTGCGCTCGGCCAATTCGTGTATCGCCGAGCGAGCTTTCAGCTGCTCCTCCAAAATCCCAATTTCCCACTCATCCTTTTTCTCCGTGTAAAATAATCCATGTGAAACGGTCGAGCGAACGCAGCCAAGGGGGATCGCGCATCATCCACGTACTCGCAAGCTCCGTTGGCCCTGAAATGGCCCATAGTGTAAAGTAGAGCAGTTGAGAAAGATCGAGCATCGCTCGGTAATTGTCGCGTACGTAGAGAACGTATTATAATAGAGAATACAGCGACGGATGTAAGCGTCGGTGCGACGTAAGCTGCCAACAACGTTCGCATCGCCATTCGTCGTCAAAAAGTTCATTTATTTGGTTAAACGGCTGCGTGCGTAGTGGGGCGCGTCAGTTGCATTTACACTTTATACTGCTGCGCAATTTTAATCAACTATGTGCGAGGCCTGGATGAAGTGCGAGCTTAGCGCGGCGCACTCGACGCCTCCTTTCACCGAGTAACGAAAAAGAAACAAACAACGGCTCGCGAGCCAACTAAACGAAACAAAAGAAAAGAGAAGCGCCCCGAACAAAGGGACGGATTAATAAAGAGAGATGGGAAAAATGTGGCTAACGCGTATGGCTCGAGCGTAGGCAGCAATGGATCTGCAGGTAATGGAGGCGGCGGCAATATCATAAGCACGAGCCAGCGCACGCGAGTCGGCGGAAAAGTCAATAAGTCAGGGGCGCAATCATCGACTTGGCGCGCGCCAAATCAAAGGGTCAGCCGCAGCCGCAGCGGCTGCTGTATAATCATATCCTGCAGCGTCATCGTCGAGTCATTATTTATGAACGGATTTTCCTCCTGCAGGGCAGAAAGACGACCGCAATGCGGGTAGCTCGAGGCTCGTGTCTCTCTGTGTGCGCCTCGCTATGTGTATAGCTAGCTCCAAAGAGGCCGCCGCCGCCGCGACAGCCTGCATAGCTGTACGCGTTGCTAATTTTTATCTGCCAGCGGTCAAAGGACCGCACACACGCGACTGCATGTCCCTCTTCTATTGTTGTTTGCCGCGCACGGCAAAGGCCCGGCGAGACATTTTCCGGCTAATATTATTTCGGCCTCGGACCATGAGTTCGAAATATGTAGGAGAAACGAATATAGCCGCTGTTTGACGAAGCTCGGTGGGAGGCGCGGAAAATCGGCCTGAAATTCGGCTTACACTCGTGCTCGTAGCTGTAGAGAGTATAGACGTTACAATGCCTCGTACATCGGGTTGGGCGAGCTGCGGCGCTTATTGTATTCGTCGGATCGTTCGAACTTGGCCCGAACGAATAAGGAGGGAAATTTATCTCGCCGTGACTCGAAACTGGGTATACTCTGCAAGTTTGGCCCACAATGAGCTGACTTTTAGCTCTCGAGTCGCGCTTATGTTCGAGAGGCTGTTCGACGTTGCTCTCTCTGCGCTGCGCGAACAAATCGCCTATAATATATGTTTCTCCGGCTTAAGGGATGACCTCGCGAGCGGAGGAGCACGATAATCGTCGTCCAATGAGTTTTCCCATACAGCGAGAGAAAGCTCGCGCACACGGGTCTCGATTCTCGCCAGCCGATAGCTAATGTATGACGTATATACCGTACGTATATGGCCATTATTATTGTAGGCAGGCAGGCAGAGGCAGTAAAGGGATCGAAGCCAAAGTTGGCTCGTAGGTAGCGCGCGCGCACTTTGCCATCGAGGAATTGAATGCGCAGCCCAATTCCCATATATACGGGCTCGCGAATAATGCATATTCGTCATGATCTCGCCGGACGCTATATGGAAAGTTGGCCGCGCGCATCGATCGCTCGTGTTACTACTACTATAGCACATGTTACTGTAACATAGCCGTGTCGTGGCCAGGAGCGCGTCGAGTGTACCTATATAATACATACATACTCGCTCGCTCGCATGGCCAAGTAGACGTCCCCGTAGACGCGGCGGTCTTTCGCTCCAGCTCTCTATATACGTCGAGCAAAACTCGCCTAGCTTACAGCATACGTTGGAAAGACAAAAGCAGCCTCGGCCGTCGATCGTTGGGCCGCTTATAGGCGCTTATTCGGGCGCGTACTTTCGAGGCAGCGAAAGAAGAGAGGCGAAAAAAAAACGACGAAAATGGAGCTTGTAAGATTTGCATATTCAATCAAGCGTTATAACTCGATAGCGCAGGAGGAGCAGCTACCTATAGGCCTACAGCGTCTATGCATTTATCATAACAAGCCTTCGGCAACTTTGGGGGGGCCATCCTTCTCTGCTGCTGCTTTAAAAGTTTTCAATCGGATTTCGCTGCCTCGACTTTCAGCGCAGCGCTACCGTACGCATATATAAGCATCTCTCGCTCTGGCGTCGCTCGCTCGATGCGCACGAGCGAGGAGGCGCGACGAGAAGCAGCTTCAAAGAAATATTTCTAGCGCGTCCCCGGATACATCTCTCCTATATCTATATAGGATTATGAGCTTTACCTCCTGTATACTACTGCGAGCGGCGATCGAGCTCCGCACTCCTCCAGTCAGCCACTTAAAACTTTTTGATGACTGATACATTCGTCGGGTATTATAAATGCGTAATACCTGCCGCACGTGTAATAAATACATGGCTACGCGCACCTGTTTATCTTTTCCCACCACGCTATGTGTGTGTGTGCGCGCGCGCCCCAATAGCCAAGCAGGAAAATCAAAGAAGCTAAAAGTTAAATACGAATCTGCGAGCTGGCAAACTTTTCCTACTTGCTACCGGCGGGCAAATTTCTGCTTTGCGCCGAGGCAGATTAGATGACGATTTGTAATAATTAGCAATTTGCCAACTAGAATTTCTTCCTCGAAAGTATAGACACTCGCACAAAGTCGCGCGCTCTCTCTCTCGCAGCGGCAATCTTTGAAACGTCCTTTAAATTCGACTACGCGAATCGTCTCGAACGGCGCGGAGCATATCTGCCGTTCCGAAATGCGATTATTATCCGTCAAAGCTCGAGTCAGCGGGCCATCCTTTCCGAGTGTAAACTCGCTGCGTCGGAGGGAAACGAAGCGCCACCGCGTATAAATGCTTTACGACTTTTCATTGCGAAAATGTTACATCCTATCCTTGGTAAAACGTCGCTCCACGCAAAGCCTTACTCTTTCAAGAGAGGGAGTATATGTGGCATTTCACGTCAACTCTCCCAGTGCCGCGTGGCGCGGCAGAATTAAGCCAAATCACTAAATTTGTGAATCGCTGTAAAAGTACTAAAATGCACCTAGAGAAAAAAACTAACCCATGGTTTCGATGGGAAATCGCCTCAGCTTTCCGATGGTGGGGTCAGATTTTCCGAAATTTTCCGCTTTACCCGGGAAAATCGCTGGGAAAACTTTAAAGTCGATTATCTCGAAAACTTCATTTTTAAGATTTTTTTAAATAGTCTAGATCGAAAGATCAGGAAATTTTCCATCGATATAGACCTTTTCCAGAGGGGCGTTTTTTGATTTTAGCGAGATATAGCGAGAAAAAAAAGAAAAAACGTGGTTTTTTGTTCAGTTGGTGGCGTCCGACCGCCCGCGCGCGCGAAAAAACCACGTTTTTTCTTTTTTCTCTCGCTACATCACGCTAAAATCAAAAAACGCCCCTCTGAAAAAGGTCTATATCGATGGAAAATTTCCTGAACTTTCGATCTAGACTATTTAAAAAAATCTTAAAAATGAAGTTTTTGAGATAATCGACTTTAAAGTTTTCCCAGCGATTTTCCCGGGTAAAGCGGAAAATTTCGGAAAATCTGACCTCACCATCAAAAAGCTGAGGTGATTTCCCATCGAAACCATGGGTTCGTTTTTTTCTCTAGGTGCATTTTAGTACTTTTACAGCGATTCACAAATTTAGTGATTTGGCTTAATTCTGCCGCGCCGCGCGGCACTGGGAGAGTTGACGTGAAATGCCACATATATATCTAGGCGCAGTTATATCGTTTGACGCAGCTGAATTATTTAACTCGGAGCAAAAGTCTGAGCTGTATACTGGATAGATATATATCGAGTGGCGCAGAACGAACATTTTGTTTTGCTCTTTTAATTCGGCGAAAAAGCGTCAAAGATTACAGCGACTGCGAAACAAAGGGGTGTCCTTTTGTGCAGCGCGCCCACGCCATCATCCGAGCGCGCGTGTAAATCAAGAAATGACGAGGCTCTCGGCCCGGCACCGCGACGACAAAAAAGGAGAGACGATTTTCGGATAAGAGAGACGGCCGGGGCGATTTTCAGCGACGAGCAGCTAGATATTCGCTCTCGGCTCTCGGAGGCCAAAGAAATAAGGGATACGGAGATTGCGAAGGAAGAAAAAGGTAAAATTCAACTTAGGCGTACGTAACCAGAGAAAGGTGTGTCCGCCCGTTATAGCGAATGAAAATGTCTCCGGCGCGCGAATTATTTATTTGACTATAGCTATAAGCCAGCTATATAGCAGTGCTACTTTTTTTCTCTCTTTATTATTTTCCATTTTGCTGGCGGGGAAAAATTTGCCTCCAACTTGGCATTTTTCTTTTTTTTTTTTTCCTTTTTTCCACTTTTTCTCGCAGTTGCTCGCGCACAGTTCACCCTTCTTTGGCTAATTTATTTATTGCACGTACACCAGCGAGTAGCGAGTAGAAAACATTGATATTACTAGCCAACTATTGCAGCAACGGTGTGGCTTGACCCGCAGGCCATAATCAACGATCCGCTGCACGTGTAGTTGGGATATAATTAATAGCAAAATAAACAATTAGCTTATAAAGTTTTGGGGGGGATGGCGCGCGCGCATAGAAGCCAGCAGAGCCAGCAGCAGCTCGGCTTATAGAGCTCGCGCACAGCCGAGCGTCGCATAACGAATTCAAGCGAGTCGCGTTTCGTTATCTATTGTGAGGCTGTAATATGCGAGAGCGCAGCACAGCCGTTACGTGGCCCGAGCGACCTATATGACTACGACGACGACGACTTGCCAGCCTCAAACTCCTGCACATTTTCAACAAAGCAAGCTTTGAATTTGTCAAATTTTACTCATGAGCTCTCTTTGTCGGAGAGACAAAGTTTCCTATTCTCGGCGAGAAACGAGCTAGTATACGATTATATACCCACTAGACGTCGTCGTCGTCGACGACGACTACGGCGCTCGTTAAGATTTTTTTACCTTTCGAGAGACATTTCGTCTGCTGCAATTCTCCGCTCTCGCGCCTTCTACCTCTCTCTCTGAAAATTTATCAGGCTGGATCGTCGTTACATTCGTTACTCTGTCGCCTCGCGCAAATTACTTTTTTACGCCTTTGCTCGCGCGCTATGCCTGCGAGCCTCGAATTTTCAGCTCCCTTTCCCGTATACCCCTTTTCGTTCTCTTCAATTCTCTTCAATTGTCCGACTATTTACCGTGGCTGCAATTTTTTGTCTTTATACCCGCACCTACTGCAATTATTGACAAATATATTTACGTACGAGCCTGAAAAGCAAAACAAACCCCCAAACAGATTGGATTTTTTTATCTTTTCCCTGCGACTTTAGAGCCAAATTATTCCTCGTGAGCCATAAAATTTGAATCAGCCATCAGAGCTGCTGTTTGATAGTGGCCCATAGTCGTAGCCGAGCTAACGTAGGCTATATACTACTCCGACGACCATCTGTCTCCAGCTTTTACACACACACATACACACAGGCGCATAATGCATAAAACTATTCGCCCTCCATTGGCGCTTGGGCTGCTGATCCTATTTTCAAAAGACAAAGGGCAAAAGTTTATATGCGCCAGCGCCGACGCTTTATTATGCGTGTATATATAAGCCAGTGCACGTAAAACCTAAACGCACGGATAAACGTCCAATATAATTCTAGTTTCGGAGCTAAACACGAGTTGAGAGATATTTTTCACATTTCCTCGCTTTTTGCTTTGCTTTATCGATTTTGTCAAAGTTAAACCTTTCAAAAACCCAATCGCAGCTTCAAATCTGTGCAAGGCACGCGTCAATCGCATTAAATACTTTATTGATCAAAAGGTTCATTTTCTTTGGCAACGAGCTGGGCCTAAACAATTTAAAATGACTTTTTGATCGTAATAAATTCAAGGAAACGGCTTATTCGGCGAACGGGCAGATTATGCCTTGGGCAAAATATATTCAAATGTAAACATTTTCGTGCAGCAATTTCTGAAAAATCCGGTTTTGGCGCGACAGATTAATCGCTCTCTTTTTCGGGACGTTGCTCGCGTTGCAGTGCGTACGAAGGGGTCGAGTCGCCCCGAGCAAAATCAGCCGACGAAGAGCCACTGCTGAAATGGCCAAAATTTTACATTTAACGAGTCAATTTGCGCTCTCCGGCAATGCTAGGCATTTACATTATAGTCGGAGCAAAGGTAGCGAGTGCGGAGGAAAAAATGAGAGAGAGAACATGTGCGTTAGAATTGCGTCGGTGACGAGCTGCCACCTCTCTCGGTCACACGTCTCTCCCACTCGAGCACTCGGAGTCGCAGCCGACGACTCGAGCGAGTCGACGAGGCGCTTATTTAACCGCCTCGCTCGCATATAGGAAAGACGCCTGTCACATCTCTGCAAAGTGCAACATCGAAAGCGACACGAAGAGTCGAGGAAGCGCATCGATACATCGATCTCGAGCGGCGGACGCTGATCGCGTGAGTTGGCCCAACGATCATCCATTCACTCGTCATCCCATCGTACCTTTCGGGCTCGTTTGCTTTTTTTCCCCGTCAAACATATGTTGCGTCGAGGATGTTGTTTTTTTTTTATTTGCACGAGGAAATGTGTCGCATTGCGCGCGGCTACGTTCCCCCTCCCCTTTTCCGAAAGGCTTGCGCGGCAGCTCCGTCTGCGAGCAGAGTATCGCGAAAGTTTACCAATGTTTTTGTCGGCCTGCTTCCGCTTTTAATTTATCGCAGTCGCGACTCGCGGCGAATCGAAAGTATATATGCGAGCTATACCGCGGCACGTGCACGGAGTGATGTAAGCGCGGGAAAGCCCGCGAGAGTCCAATGCTGCAGTCCAGCGCGAATAATATAATCAACGAGTCGGTCCGTATACGCGAGCCATCTCCGAAATCCGCCTGGTCGCACTCGAGTCACGCGCGCCGATCCCGACCAACCGACTGTTTTCTTCATTTTTTACCTACGGAATGTAAGTGTAATGCCAAAATATGAAAACTGCCCCCCTAGTAGAGTACAGCGCAGTACGCGAAAGAGAAAAAAAATTAACAAACGCGCGCTATTGCTTTTACGCGTGCTTCGGAGCATTCGAAAAATCTTAGGAAACAATCGCGGGCTACGCGAGCAGCAGCTTCGACTTTTTCCTCCTGCACAAATTCTCCGTATCTCGAGCTTTCGGTGCTCGCGCACGTGGGTGTATGTGTGTGTGTGTGCGTGTGTGTGTGCTTCTTGCCGATAAGGAACGCGAGCTCGTGTTTTTTCTTTGCGAGAATTTAACCGCCAGTGCAAATCCGACGTTTTTATGAGCTCTCAACTAGCGTGTCGTAGTAGCTCGCAGCGCGCTCGAATGCTTTTTATGAAAAATTAATTTCTAATCGTCCTTGATCAATTTTTAGCATCTACGACACTTTGTCGAGCGACGGAGTTTCATTCGGAAAAAATGACGCAGGATGCCATCGAGTCCGAGTCGACCAGCAGGAGAGGTTGAATAATTTACAATTTTTTGCACCCATATACTCTTTGAATTTCTTACGATAATTTTGCTTTCAGTGAACGTCAATGCATCCACTAGCCAAGTGGACGTCGAAGGGGACGCCAGTGGCAGTTCGAAAGACACGGCGACGAGTCCTACGCTCTGGGGACAGACCAAGTACTACTACAACAGGTTCAGATATTACCACTACGTGGTGGCCGACAAGATCGACATGTACCTATCGGCCGTGTGTCTTTGGATACTTAATCTGTACTTTCGATTGTTCTGGGCTGCGGAGGTGGAAGAGCCCTCCGTACAATAAAACTGCTGCTCTGCAAAATTAATCCAAACGATCTATTCTTTACGATTATGCGACGCACATTGGTACGGGCCGAAAGGAAATTTACAAGACGAGTAAAAAAGGAGGAAATTTCGGCCGCGTTGGGTTGCGATTAATTTTTTATACGTTCGAGGTTTATAATCGTCGTCGTCGGCTTACATTTGCATGTGCACTCGATAAGAAGAAAAAGCAGCTGACGCATCGATGCGGCTTTCGGACGAAGGCGCGCGCGGCAAATGCATAATTAGCGCGATTCTACGTAGGAACAAAAACTCGGAGACGCGATTGGCGGAGGAAAAAACGCGGAGACGCGAGGCCGAGTGGAAAATTATCGCAGCGATCGCGAGGCTGCAGCGGAGCTCGTACGGCAAGATGGCATTAGGCGCGATTTACAAATGCCTGCGCGCTGAAAATGTCGACCAATCCAATATGCATCAGCAGTCGCGGCGATACGTATAACATCCGAGTTAAATCTCGCGAGAGATTGGCGCGCGCGAGAAGGAGCGAAAACTTGGCGACGACGAGGAGCTGCAACGGCGAGAGATCGGCCAACTATAAAAGATCCATTTAGCGGCGCAGCAGCAGCCTCGCCTTCATTTCGTATGCGGCATCCAAGTTTGCCTATAGCATATAGCACATGCACAGCGCATTATATAGTATGGCATATAAACGCGTACGCGTAGCAGCTGCGGTAGATGCTAAAGCCGCAGACTAGCTCTCTCTCCGGAGCTCGCTCCGAGACTGGCTTAGCCCTGCCGCATAGAGAGAGAGGCGCGCGCGTACACAAATGCATAAGAAATGCAGCTCCGTGTGCAGTTGTTCGATCGGGAAATGGCTTGGGCTGCATCGATGCACGTGTGTGCCAGGAGGAAGCGGATCGTCGAAGGCACGAGCTCGAGCGACGATTTAATGAAATTTCGCGAGGAAAAACACGCGCTCTCGAGCAGCGAAAAATGGCCTATATCGACTCGCAGCTGCATCTCCTATGACACTGCACTTGGTAAATGTATAATAATGTTGGATCGATCGGTCCGAGTTGCGTAACTATATAAGCTATCTGCGCCGCTCGTCCAAACGTCAAAGTCGTCGCTCTCTGATCTCTCTCTCTCTCTCTCTCTCTCGCTTTATCGCGCGACTCGCGCCTACATCGATACGCGACACGTATAGTATCGATGTGCTAATACGAAGCTGTTATTTCTGCGTGCATCCTCGCTGCGACCTAATATACCGTATGTAATGCACTCGCATTGCACTCGTGCTTACATACATATAAACGTCATACGTCATTTGATTATGTCGCGCGCCGTTCGTTTAATACATTTCTCTCTCTCTCTCTCTCTCTCGCTCGCTCGCTACGCTATACCACAACTGTGCGGGAATTTCGAATTTACGGCTTTTAACTGGCAGCTGCGGATACCGCCGTAGTGGCCCGATATCAAAGCAATTCCTATCTGGTAGGCAGTAGGCTCGAGCCAACCAAGTGCACGATAATACCTATACCTCGAGCCGTGGCTCTATCTGTAGCTTCGAGTGCAAATCCATGCATCTGTACTTCTTAGCCATTTCAAAAGTCGGCCTACTCTTTTTCTCCAACCCATCTTTTATCCAACTTTTATCTCCATTTGCGTCCTCCGGCTTGGTCGTTATTACATTTTCTCCGTAGCTAATCGCTTCGTTTACGAACTCGGGCTCGTGCGCAACTATACGAGCTGCTGATACCTGTCTAACCAATAGACTCGTACAGATTTCGCGTCCAGTGTTCTAGCCGCCTCTCTTTTGAAAAAGCTATACAACTTTTTCAATCGAAACATGGAAAGTGCATTTGCCGAAAAAATAGACGAGACTGTCGTATTTGCTGCGAGTGCAAACATGTCGCTCGCTGTACATCGCAGAGCAAGATGAGTCGTCGAGCGGCATCAACAACATATAATTTTACACGCAAAGCCAATAGGTCGATCGTCGAGGCCACATCGACTCGCTTTCGTCTTGTCGCTTCTTCCACGGCTGCTCCTTTCTTGTTCTTTGGCCTTTGGCGATCACCGTCGACTCGGTCGTGTTTTAACGCGTCTCAACGGCTGCTGCCTTGGCTCGGCAAAGACAATCGCGCGCACGGAAGAGCTGCGAAATTCGAAAAAGACGACGAGGGAGGAGGGATGCGAGCCAAGTCCATGATAAATACGCAGCCAAGTCGAAAATCTTGAAAGTTGCACAGCTATACAGCGGCTGTGACAAACGAACGCATAGCTGCGCACGAATCGACGTTCGACAGCAGCAGTCAGAAAGTTGGATCGGTCCTCGGCTCCTTGGCTGCAGCACGATCCTTTCTTTGTTCCGCGACTCATGCTGACTGACGACGATCCGGAGATGGAGCGAGCTGCGAGTTTCGCTGCTGCTGCAGAGTATGTGACGCTCGTTGCGGACAACATCTGGCACGTTCCAGGCCAGATTTCCGACTCGCTTAATATAAGCTATATGACAGATATTTCGCTCGAGTCCGATTAGTTGTTTGGTCGAAATAGACTCGATCGAATGATTTCCATCTGCAAGCTCGGTTGCTCGGACTGGTCTTAAGCTGTATAGGTAGAGCTAGACGCGGGACGGTCCGAGTACGAGAAGAGAAAGAAAGAAAGAAAGAAAGAAGAGGAAACTTATCTCGGCATGCAGACTAGCTGCGGTACGCCGTGTGCTGCCAGAGCTTGGTCGATTTAACATGCGCATCGTCGCGGCCCTTATCGGCTCCTTGCATCTTAATCGAATTCTCGCTCGTTTTGAGCGAGGCAAAGGCCACGCATGGCCCTTATCGTTTTACATATTATTACGTACATTGTCGAGTGCGCGTTCGGACGAGTGCACGACTGTAGCTTGCTTATTCTCTTTCTCTCTCTTATATTGTACGGCCGGAAAGCTCGCTACGTATCGCAGTGGTCGAGTCCTATGTACTCGAGAGCTCGGCCTTCTTGGCTCAAAAATGGGAATAAAGGAAAAAAGGGGACGACGGGTCGAATTTCCGCTATAGCTACGTATAACATTATCGTTTCTCGACGCTTGCCCGGGCGCAAAAGTCACTGGCTATACAGAGAGATACCTCGGCGGACGCGCGGAGCGTCATCGGACTGTATAACGTTATCGGTACCGAGGTCGTTATCCCGATTAAAAGCGGCCCTCGGTATACTCGGGGCGTTAGTAGAGTCGAATTATGTAAAGGTAATATCGTCGTAGCTTCGAATCAGTGTCGCGCGCGGCGGTGATTATAATCGAAGCTCGTGTCGCGCTCCCCCCGCCGCCAGCCGATGAATATGCAAACAGCTGCGCAATTATTATCTGCGTATAGCGTACACACATATACGGTGGAGAGCTGGCTTTTACGCGGGACACGATCGATGGGCGAAATTTTAAGCCTGCCGCGCATCGACGCGCACAGAGCGGCACTTTGGCCGACGACTACTACTACTCGAGAGCTATAGCTTTTTAATTCGGCGACGCGAGAGCCTGCCAAAGCAAATGGCCCGCTACCTGTGGAGCTCCTCTGGCCCCCGTATACTTTGCCAATCGACGTCATTTTCGCCGCTCGAGCTCTCGGCGCCAGTTCGGACATTTTATCGCGAGGCCTACTAGCCGCCTATACTAACCCGCTGCCGCGCTACTCTCAATTTGCCTGCGTATAAATTTTAAGCGCGCCAACAAAGCGCGAATTCCAGGCTCTGCCTGGCGGAATAAGCGATATTAATACCGCCTCATCAAGTCCGGCGGAACAATTAGAGGATTATCTTGAAAAGGCTCTGTGTGTGCGTGTGTATGTTGCAGCTGCTGCAGACTCGTTGCGCTAGTAAATTAATTACAGCTAAAGTACAAATTGCAGTGCGTTCCAATGCATATCGCGCGCGAAACACACCGTAACTCTGGCTCGCTCGCTGCGAAATGCTCTAGGGCTGCGCAGCTGTTATCTGTGTACGCGTGCATTAGCATATTTTTATATGCTCTCGAGTCCGAGGAAAAACTACGTTACATCAACGTGGACGCTTTGAAACAGTAAACTTGAGAGCCAACTCGAGTTAACTTATCTGCTATATTCAAGGAATCTTCGATTAATAAGCCGATGGGGTGACCCGTCTCGTTTTGACTGACTCTTTTAACTTTGTGATGAACAACGTGATCTCGTCCACGATGCATACGTACTACATCGAGCCAGGATAGGCACACGAAACATCGTTTTCTGCCTAGCAGTTGTATAAGGCTCAGCTGGTGCGAGTGTGGCAGTAGTAGCCGACCACTCCCGACCAGAAGCCGGCCCACACGCACGCTATATACCTATATACGAGTATCCACGAGGCAGACCAGCTATATAAAGCTCGTATTGCCATGCTGCAGTATGCGGTACACAGCGGACTTATCGATCTTTCGGCCGACGCACATGCCAGCTCGAGGCAGAGGAGCGCAGCCCGCCGACTCGCCTTTGCGATGGAATAAAATACCTCTATACTCTCGTCTTGTTATCGTCGTCGATTCTTTTGGATGGAGCTGAACAATGACCCAATTGACTCGTGACGTATGTGTTTATAGGTCCATAGACGAGGGGCCCCGTATTCCAATGGCCAGATAAATTTGCCAGCTAATTATTGTCAAAATTTCGTCGATATAATTCATCGTTCGCCCAAGGACCTAAGGTCCGCAGTGATGCCGCTCATTTCGACCAAGTGCTTTCCAGTAGTCTTCGTACAGTTAGATTCGTATATATTCCGAAGCCGAAACGTTGTTTCCAATTAAATATCAGCTTTTCCGAGATTGCGCTCGAGAAATCGCGCCAGACTCCATATTTATGCACTCGAGCTTGCGCAAGCTTGACCGAGCTATGCAGCCTATCCAGGAGACTACCTGCGACATGCACGGGTTTTTTTTTTTTTTTTAAATCTCGATTGGTACCATCTGCGAAGGCCATAGCTCCTATCGATTGGAAATGGCCAATGGACGTTTGGTAACTCGGCAGCCAGGCCAGCTTCGAAGCTCCTTTGGTCACACTTGGTCGTCGAGTCTCGCGAGCCTCCGGACGACGACGATGCAGTGCGACGAGCGAAGCTTCCAAGACAGCACAGCTGACACTTGCCCATTTTCACATCTAAATGCAAATGGAAGCAGAGAACTGAAAAGCAAATTACGCGTCTCTCTTACAGTCGCAATCTCTCCGCGAATCGCCGCAAGGAGCCGGGCAAGAGGAATAAAAGAAAAGAGGCCCGAAATCAAGGCTAAGCATAGATATATACCTGGGGGAGGAGCTCGGCCGATTATGGTCTCCGGAGGACGCTGCACTCGCAGAATTCTAACGAATCCGACCTATAGAACGATATATCGGCCCTCTCGTTCATATAATGGCGCTGTGCGTTGTCTGATGGATCGATTCGGGCCAAAATAATAGCTGCTTCTCCGATTTCGCGAATTTCTCGAATTTGTCGCGCAACGGAAAAAGCTCAGCCGCGATGAATATTTAACAAACTCGATTCGCTTGTATTTCTACGGCCTCGCGTGATAGGCACGGCAGCTTTCAACGACTCGTACATGATAGTATAGCTATTGCGCGCCGAGAGACGATACGTTATAAAAGATTCAGCCTCGTGGTGCCACCTCTGCGCGCTATAATCTTCCTCAGCACTCGATGCGACCTAGCCAACTTTTTTTTTCTTTTTTGCTTCTATTTCGAGCTCGAACCACTGGCTCGTATAATTCGTACGAATTACTTTGTGTAGCCGCGCGTCCATCTGAATGCAAAGTCCGAATTAGCAGCCGTTTTTCGACTGATTTCTGCTCGTTCTCCTCCTCGTTTTGGCCGCTAAGTAATGACGAAAAAGGTCGAAAACGCGCCGAAGTTGCTCGGCTATATAGATTATCGACGCCGCTGAATTTTACGAGTTGTCGGGCAAAAGCGCGGGACGAGTAACAACGACGCGCATACGATCGCGGCCCGATCCATTAGGCGATTGCCACACGCGGAGACAGAGAGAGAATCATCGCGACGATTAACGATTCCCATGTATGGAATGCCACGCACCTATATATATCTATATGCCCAGCCGAAGCAAACGTTTTGCCAGGATGATATTTATCGCTTATAGCTTCTGCTAACGTTTTGCGAATCAAAAAGTCCATAACGCTTTGGATCTGCGCGCCTATACGCGCGGACATTAGCTGATTAAAACTGCTTGTTATTTTTGCTACGGACATTTTAGACGATGTTCCATCGATACGCCAAATGATTCAGCATCTCTTACGACAAATGTCATTTAAGTTCCTGAAAATGTAATTTTTCCCCTATCCTCGAATACTCGGCAATCCTCTCGTTCTCTGCGCAAAGTTTCGCTGAGAAATCACATTTTCAAATGCTAAGACATTGACCAACTGTGCTGAATTATCGTTAACTGCGCGTGAATACTGTGAAAACGGGGCACCGACTGGACCGAGTCAACAAACCATCTCGTCAATTGTGGCCCGCAACGGACTCGAACGCGTCTAGGCTATCTTATGTAAATGTCGAGGTCCTACCTTCCCAATGATCGATTGCCACACACGATAATAGTCGAATTTTGAACGGATCCTTCTTGGACACACGTCTAGCTGCTCGTTGAGAGAATTACACCGATACAACATGCACTGTATCCACTCGCACAACTGCGGATTATGCACTCCCAGTCACTCGAAAAACGCACTTGTGCACTACGAACTCAACGCGAAAACACGATGAAAACAATTGCCTCGCGCGCCTACGCTGGCTCCAACGGACAAACACATTCAAATCGCCAGAACTCGCGACGCTCAACGTTCGCAACAACCGGCAACCCTCACTGAGCTAGCTAGCTCGTACACACACACACACACGCACACACATATACTACGTCACACAACCAAGTTGTAGGTAAAATCTTTCAAAAACTGGAATAACATTTTTTTCTTTTTTATTTATTGTAAGAAAATCTAAAAAATCAAATAGGTACGTAATCAACGGTCAGTTTCCTTTCTTTTTACAACACTTCGAACAATTCGAATTTCGGTTGACTTTATCGCAGCCAGAGGGCTCAAATATGCTAAAAAGAAAGTAAAGAGTGATCTCATATATGCATGATCAACTACACTCGATACAAGCTCGAAAACGTTTTCTGTAGCTATTGTCATCAACTTCAGCTGTACCTAAAGTGTGAGCCTTGGACATCAACGTATAGGTAAGACTTGGAAGTAGTACAATCGTGACATCTGTAGAATAAAGCTAGAGAACGACTTTTTCTATTGATTTTACGTGTGACAACTGACACTGCACTGAAAGTTTGGCAGATATAACGCTGACACGCTCGTTTTTCAAGTCCAAAGAATATTAATGACAAGGATTCATTTACAAACACTACCTTTTATTTAAACAACCTTTCTGGAGATCAAGTTTTATTGTATCTCGGTAATTTACATGATTATTTGAAATATGTGAAAAAGCATTCAATAAATATTTATGTACATTCGCACAATTATGGAAATCATTGTAGTTTCTCTACAATACATTATGATTTAATTTACATTGGATTTCGACAGATTCATCAAAGAAATTCTATGGCGCTCAATATAAACTATTGGCTTTCATGCTTATACCAAATAAAAATTTTGGTAGGAATACAATAATTTGTTTATAGATCTATCAACATGCATTCATAAAACTAATGCTATATAATTCTTGTCAATTTTGGACACATCTTCATACTGATTGCATGTTTTTTAAGTGTATCATATTCTCGCAGATCAACTAAACTTGATTAGCTGTAAACAAATATAACTTTGATGCTACCTTGGTACGTTAAGCTTGATTTTGAAAATATTTAACTATTGGCTCGGCTTGAAAAAATTTAATTTTCAAAATTTTTAGTATCTAAAATATATGCACTTCATGTTTTGTTCTAATTATTCTTAAACTAGATAATATTAATTCTCCAAATTCAAACTTTTCATTCAAACCGACATTAAAATTTTTCATTCATTTATTGTTACATTCGAGGTAATAGACACAAAAATTAACAACTAAGAAAATCAACAATAATCATAACTTACTAAATTATCACAATAACTTATATTCTTAAAAATAAGACTAGGTGCATATTGACTAATTTGATTAGTGAAATTCTTCTCTCAAGTTATATAATTTGTTAAATTTTGTTTATGATTGCATTTGCTTATGCTTGGATTTCAAAAAAACAGCATGCTAATATCAGAATGAATAATGATCATTCTATAATTTTTTCGAAAATATAAATAAATAAATTCAAAATGGTAAATCTTGTGGCACGTTTTTGAAAACTATTATCTTTAACCTTCAGATAGAGAAGGAGTTACCCAACCATATTTATCATGAGTTTTGACCAAACTTCTAAATGACTCTTTAGCAGATCGTTGATTAAATTCTTTGAAATTTTTTGTTTTATTATAGATTCGGCCCTAAAAAAATTTTTAATTAGTTTAAAGAAATATTTCAATTGTAAAGATTAATACATTCTTTACATACCTGGCCTTTTACAACACTGGCAGCAAATTGTGTTATCACAGCTTCAACTGTATAAGCACTAGCCCACCCTTTTGGAGTTAACAATTCCATACAAATTGCACCTCCTTCCATCACAAAACCTCTTTCAATAAAAGGTGAGATAACTCTCAAGAATGGAGGACTAAATGGAAAATTTTCTGGGAAAGAAATGTGTAGCAGTATATGATTAATTCCAAGTTTTGTCATGTCTTTGAATAACTGACTTTCTTCATCAATTTTTTTTAATCTAATGTGCCACTCGAATAAATTATCATTTATTAGTTCGGCAGTAAAAGACGAATCTGGGTGATTCTGGATTTTCTGAATTTCTGCAAATTCTTTCATCAGTCTTTTTTGACGAATCCCTACTTGCTTTTCAATGGGTTTCTGTAAACATTTCATAAAGTAAATAAATAGTTCATTATAATAAAAGTGTTTAAGGTGTAATGTATACTTGTGAATTATTGACGGATGATTTTTTATCTTTCAAAAGATCATAAAGACTGGGGCCTGGCTGTTCAGAAAGATGCGATTCGGCTGGTTGAACTGCATCAGTTTTATGTCGACAAAGTAATCTTCTGGGTGAACTGGAGGACTTTTTTTCATCTTTCTTTGGTTCAATCATCTTATTGGATGAGTGGAAGAGCTTGCGGAAGGCATCGACTACCTTATTTTTGGAATTGATACTCATATTTATTGCTTTGTTAAAAGTTTTAAGCAAAATTCCAGGTTGAAACAATCTTAGAAATCTGAAAAAATAGATAATGAAAGAAAATTACAATGAGGTTTACGTTGTGCTAGAGACTAACTGAAAGATTTAAACGGTATTACAGTAATGATTTAATTATGACACCACTCGATAAAAACGAAACACAATGCTGTGAAATTAAAGCTTCGTTGAAGGGGTTGATTTTATCGCAAGTGAGAATTACAGAGCGAGTCGATTCAGTAGAGTAAAAAGAAGCGTACCTTGCCGGGGTAGAGACAGAAGCTCGTTAGTCGACTCAACACCAAGAATTGTTTCACTGCGGCTAAGTACAATAATAAACAAAAGCAAAAGTCGATAATTGCAGCAATGAAGTACTATAGATGCATAGAGAGGCGCAGAGGCAAATTAGAAAAAGAAGCTCGGCTGATGGTCGTTGGAAGCGTTCTTAGAACGGACGACGTAACGCTGCACGATTATGCGACGACGACACTGCCAAAGATGTATAGAACACACAACAGAGAACACTGACAGACGCGCAAGGCAGGGTAACACAGCAGAACAGGCTCAAGTGTGTTGATGCAGTGTGTATATGAGTCACGTATATGCGTGATACATATATATATTGCCGCACAACAACCACCAGCACACGGCAGGCGCTTTACTATTACAGAGCGAAAAAAAGTGCCAACTTCAAATAGAGAGTACGAGGCGAAATATATAGCTAGCGGTGCCTCACCGATATACGGACGCGCACACGGAGGCTGCACTCGAGTCAGTATCGAAACACAGCAGGCTATCGAGCATCGCAATTGGCAGTCGTCTGCTCCGAGAGCTTACGCACGCGATGGGCGGGCACGTACGAAACGTCCTGCACGCTGCTTATGACAGCTCGGTAGTATGGGCAAATTGGCGATTCCAACGCATTATGTTGGAATAAGAAGACCAGTTCAATTTGACGCAAACTAAATCTCAGAAACATTTTTTATCTAAGGTTTTGCCTAAAATACCTAAAGTCTGAAATTACAAGGCATTCGCTGTGGGACGGAAGAATACGAAAACGATTCGCGCTGTTATCCCATCAAGGGCATTTTTATAAGGAGCTCATCTTTGTTTTCCGAATTATTATTTCTTATAAAACAAAAAAGTGCCTGTACGCTAAGTATGCGCGTCGTCGTCCCTCGTCGATGATGTAACGCCTTATCGACGAGATCATCGGTGAATTCATTCAATTACTGATTTTCAACACGTATTTATAATCAGATATGTTAATAACATACCAGTTCAAGCCTCATAAAGTATTCGCATTATTCGTAAAGACATTAGAAGACGAAGAAGTTCTCGGCTGCATAATTCAATTGTAAAGACGATTTTTTCTTGAAAATATGTACTTAGAGCAGCGCATTTCTGTGTCAAGTTCGGGCTCGATCCTCGCTCGGCGTATTATGCCCTCTCGAATAAATTTTGCACCCACACGGATTGCAGAGACAGCTGCACGTACACTATTGTATGTACGTTGGGGGGGGGGGGGGAAANGGGGGGGGGGGGGGGTAAACCTTGTAAGAGGATACTAGCTGACAATAAATAAGCGACTCGCGGAGGCCAAATGTGCATCCAAGCGTGTCTCTCGTTAGGCCTTACCAGCAGCGTTCGAAGCGTTACTCACACTACTAGCACACGCACGCAGTGCAGCTCTTTAATTCACGGTACGCGTACCTCGTTCACACTATATCACATATAGTCAAAGTCTGTTGCAAATAAAAAATCAAACTCCATTTTCGATATTTTTTTCTCTCGAAATCTAATATCCGTTTTCATTCATTTTCTGTCTCGGGCCTGCTTTGTTCTGATTTATTTTATATCGTTCAACTATATATCGATAAAACCTAGCACTGATCGTCCACTTCTTGCTGTCTCAATTTAAATGGAAAAGTGCTAGTTTTCGTAAGCAGAGTCTACGATGAGTTCAACTTGGTCGACCCCATTATGTTATCGCAATGATAGCTTTTATATGACAATTCGTCTTACCCACTTATCGGCGACGGTGTAACTTGATTTTCACGAAACTGCCTTAATTCCAAATCTTGTATTATCCCGCGGCACCTGCCAAGTATATAACAATTCACCGTCAAAAGTAAAACACAGACTAAATGCAAAAAAGAGATGTATGTACGCGGTCATGCGCTCTCACGGCGAGCAGCAGTCATTCTGATTTCTGATCTAATGTATAGACAGTTATATAGGATATAATAGGTTTAAGAGTATTCTCGCTCGACAATAATTAACACCGTTACACATGCACTGATTTAAAGTTGCTTCGCTGCCTGCTGCGTTTCGGCCTCTGTGCATGAGTGTCTATATCTTCGAAGAGTAACAATGCGATGTACATGATACGTTTCGCGTCCACGCGATATTATTAATATATTCATGAGGCAATTATAAAGTGACGTTTGCAAAGACAAAGCACTGGAAGACAAACGGACTTAATTGGCATATATGAGAAAAATTTTGCCAATTTTATTGATGATTAGCACGCGAGTGCATCAAATTTCGATGGAAAATTTGAAAAAACATCAGTCTTTATTACGAATAAAATAATATTACAATTATTTTAGTTTATTTCATTTGAAAATAGAATACAAATCAAGATATGAATGCTTTTTTCTTATATTTTAATGTGTCTTCAAGTGCCACGGAGTAACGGTGTAGCTCCTCAAAGTCTTCGATGTAAAAAGTCTTGTCAATATTTTCCTAGCAAAGTATATGACAATAACAAATATGGATAGATACTGCATCCATCCCCATTTTATTTCCTCCCAGAATCCTGGTTGATACTTGACTGGTTGAGAGGCATAAACTATTTCTACCTTTATTTTTACTGGTTCATCCTTGATGAAACCAAGACTCGGTAAAACTTTGAGATTACTTATTTTACCAGAAACTGTGATTATAAAAAAGACATCTATAGAAAAGTAATTTTTTTTTATATGTGAATTTTCTATGAAATATCTTACGTAATCTATTAGCATTTTCTGTTAACAGATTGACCAATGTGAAATCATTAATATCTGTACTGTTATCATCCAAGTACATTTCATCATGGTACAAAACATTATTTTGACGAAGCATCAAATCTCCAATAAAGTATAATTCTTGAATATTTTGTGAAACTGTATACTCTATTATTGTCATAGCTTCTACTGCAACTCTGATGTGTTCCTTAAAATATAAAATATAATTTACCGTACTTTATGCAAAAGTGTACGAACGCTTTTCCTTTAAAACAAGCTGTACAACATGGCATATTCACATAAGTTCCATACAATATTTGATAGTATTAGAGCAAAATTTTGATTTTTAGATTAGATAACTGTAACAATTCTATCATACCTTTAATTCATAGTTGAAAAATAGTAATAGAATTAAAGACCGAATAGGTTTTGCAGTGTAAAGCTCTACTTCAAATTTAAGATAGTCCTGCAGTCCATTTACATCTCTATCGACTTCTTTTACCTAAAAAGCCATTCATATATTCCATAAATATTTGATTTATTACAAGATCTGTAATATAACTCACCTTCACTATACTGCAATGATCTTTTATTGGATTATCTTTATAATGAGAAAATGTTGAGCAAATTAATGGATCTAAATTATCTTGCTCAATTAATAATAAATATTTATGTTTAAAATGGACATCTGGTACTTCCCAATATGTTCTAGTTCTAATCCAATATCCTAATAAAAATGAATGATTTTAATTAATAATACCAACAACTTAGTAATAACCCTATGTATTTACCTCCTGCATAGTGTACAAATAATAAAGGAGTTAAGACAGAAAATAAAAAAGCAATTAGGACACAAAAAGCGCTTGAAGAACATAATCTAACTCTGTACAAATATCTGACATCACTAGAGAATATATCTATAATTGGCATTTTTAGATAAATATTTTATTTTAAAAAAATTTGTCAATATGACTCTATTCTTTGCTTTAAAGTTATGTTTCCATGGTAACCACAGTAAAACCCAAATAAAACCCATGTCCAATGGAATTAATGTTTTCAAAAAATAACAAGTTTGAAAATAGTTAAAAAATATTTTTATTATCTACATCATAAGTTTTTACAAGCATTTACATATAACAAGCATACAAAAATATAAGGTTTTAAAAATAAAAATCACAATTTTTGGATAATTTGTCAAATTGATAAAACAGTTTAAAATGTTGTCCTAAGGAGTGATGTTTAAAAAATTATTTAAAACTTAAATTCACAAATAATCGCAGCCAAGGGTAATTGTAAGGAAATCTTCAAATCCAATGTTGATTACTCCCTGAGCTCCAGTATCTCTTTTTCTAAATTCCTCTGTAAACAATATGCGGAAAAATAGTATCAGTGGTTTTGAATTTTATTAATTATATATATTATTAAAATGTCATTTACCTGTAAACTTTTGTACTCGGATACATAAAACAATAAATTGGTCAACTGTAATATTACCAGAGCTGTTTTGATCATTCATTCGCATTACATTACTGTAGAATTCAGGTGAAAACCTGTAACCCATTTGCGTGAAAGCTTCAGCAAGCTCTCCTTCTTGTATTGTACCAGAATTATCTTTATCAAATCCCTTGAAAATTCCTAACCAACTGTTAATGTAATTGAAAAGTCCTTGAAACTCAACGTAATTTATCGAACCTCTAGTCTGTTTTCCAAATAATCCTGCAATTATATTTTGAAAATATATTAATCATATGGAAACAATAAATTACAAGCTAAGATATTACCAGTCAATAACTGACAGCACTTATCAGAAAAAGTGCCACCTTGGCCATTTGCCAAAACACGCTGTAACTCTTTAGCTGTTATTACACCATTCCTGTCATTATCTGCTAAAGCAAACCATTGTTGTATGTGTGGTGGAGGCTCATCGCCGGTACCAACATTTTGTAGTCCCTATATAAATAAAAGAGCGAAAATTCATTTTTGAAATATTTACACATATTAAAATGTGACATTTTAATCGATTCGTTGCTACACTTTTTAAATTTTATCACGGTGAAATTACTCACTGGATACATTTGAAGATGCTTCGGTTGATGTTTACAAACAAAGCCTCGATCTTTTATGCTCTCAGTCTGCACTTGTAGCAGCAGCAGGTTGTAAGTCTCACGGAGATGCAAAATTATATGCGAAGCGTCCTAGCAGTAGACGCACAAATACGTGTAAATGTATCAAAGATGGAGCAACCTTGAGAACTCAAATTACATTAATTGGACATTTTTTACATGACTCATACTCAGACTCAAAGTTTTTGGAAGTTTTTGGAATTTTCGAGACTGAAGGAGTGTTTCGATCTTTAGCGGCATCTTTTTTAAATCTCATAATTTAACCTGTTATATTGCATACATGAAGAGTTTAATTGTTTTATCGTCGATCGTGTGCGGCGCGTCTTTCACTGTCGATATTATGACATTCACAGTTGTGCAAAAAGATAGGCCAAGATTGTAAGTGACTGTCAGTGTGACTGACAGTGTGTATGTACAGCTCTGCCCGCAACACCAATTGTTATTCCTCCAAGCAAATCAGTAAGGTGATCATTTCGCGACAATCTGAAAACGCTCCATTGTAAACATTTTTTTATATTTATTAAAATAAAAATATGATTACCACTCTAATTTTGTGTCAGCAATTTTATTTTTGATTTATGCCAACAAAAATTTTACAATAGATAGATTTTTTAAATTGCATCTTTAGACGAATTTGAATTTCGCGCTCACTGTTTGTTAGAGTCCAGCTCAGTGAGTCCGATCGTGAAAGAAACCAGATGGCGCTTTACACTATTGGTAGTATATCTATATTTATAATCGTGTACACGGTCACACTGTCTGAAGTCTGAATGTGCGTTGTGCAAGCTGCAGCCTGCAAGCCTGCAACGAACATTGTAGCACGTGCGCTCCACGGCGACATCTAAAAACAAGAAGTGTATGCTGAATTAAAAACACCATTACATCTAATACGGTTCAGTGACATACACGAATCGTTATTGTTTTGTGTATCTTAGTTCGGAGCTAACTCTGCAAGGTCAAACTTATAGCGAAGGTATGTAAGACGCATAACTGGTTACATTTCTTGATAAAAGTATCATTAATTTGTATTTTGTTTAGATATTTTTATGTTTTTTGCATATTTTTGTAGATGTATCGTTGTAACAATTGCATTAAGCGAGAAAAAAAATGAAAGTCAATTATGCCCATAATAGTACAAACTAGTTTCAACATTGTACATCTTTAAAATGGTCATAATAGCAACATTGATTTCGAATTTTCGTTCTCCATCCTTCACTTTGCTTCCTATTCTAATCGTTTTATTTACTGCTATCATTTCCACTTACTCACACAGAGCAATTGATATTTTTGAAACTTCCAACAACCAAGGTATTCTGTACCTTTTACTCATTAATTTTTGTTAATTAATACTTAGCATATAATTTTTTAACAGATTACATTTTGTGTCGTGAATGTGGTGAACATTTAGCTGATCCAAAATATATCAACAACCAATTAAGTCCTCTTGCTCAAGTGATTTCTCATAAAACTTTATTTGACCAAAAAGGAGTTAGTATACAGTTATTGACTAATCCTCTCAAAATCAAGTTTGATGCAATTACTGTTGCTCATGCAGATTGTACTTTAGTTCGTAATGTACGTATAATTTCTTTAAGTACCGTAGTCAAGAAAATGGAACATTTTCAAAATCATTCTCATAAGGTTTTTCTTATTAACTCAATTTAATTCAATGTTTTTAAGGTTGTCTTAATGTTTTTTAAAAAAATACATTTTTTTTGGCAATGACATTGTTTCAATATGAAACTATATAACACTCGTATTTATTAATCTTTATTATCTTTCAGTGGCAAAGTACTCCTTTGTGGTATCCTGGATATTACTGGAGACCTTGTGTATGCACTCAATGTAAACATCATCACGGATGGTATGTTTATAAATATTATTAATTTTAATACTTGAATTATAATTTTTTCTTATATTAAAACTTATTTCCAGGTATTTTGTTCCAAAAGCAGACATAACGTCTAATAGAGTAACTCGTACAGATAGAAGTTTCTACTTGCTCAAACTTGAGAATTTAATTGGTGAAAAATGTAAGTATTCATACAATATTTTATATCTTAATAGTAATGATATTTTAATAATAACAGAAAAGTTAATCTAAAAATGATTGTATTTTTCAGTTTCAGATTCACTAGTCGCCATCCCCAAAATTCTGTGAATTTTCATCATGACTTCAATTTTAACTCAAGAACAACAAAACTTTTTGAAAGATAGTGAATTAGAATTCAAAGATCGTTATACCGAGAGCGATGAAAGATTTATGAAGGTAAAATCATCAGTTATTCGGAAACCTCCCATTGTTGATCCTTGGCATAATACAGCACAGAGATCTAATAACTGGCCTCGCCGAGACAGACAGCGACATGGTCATGAGAGAAATAGATATAGAGATGGAAACCGAGATAGAGACAGACACTATCAAAATCCTGGTAACCAACACTATTATCACCAAAGTTACAGACCTTACTAGTAGCAATTTTGAATTGTATAACTTTGCTAATGATAAATTTTTTATAGAAAACCGAAAATATATATAATCGTATATATATGATTGAATTCTAACTGTCATACATTTTTTACTTGAATAACAATATAATTTTACTTCCTAAAATAATATAGATGAAAGATCAAGTAGCTCTTCTCGAAAAAATGGTAAACATAAAGTAAAGAAGCGTCACGGCGATATTCACTCTATTTTAAACAAAGACTACCCCGAAAAAAAGGATCGTGATAGAGCTAAGAAAAAATCTAAGAAAAAATCTAAGAAAAAAGAAAAGAGTAGATATCATGAAGATTCAAGAAGCGATAAATCCCCCAAAGGAAAAAAAAATTTAAATACTGAAAAAAATTATGATAAAAATGATGTGTGCAAAGAAGGATATAAAATTAGTGATACAGTTGAACATGATAAAAATATGGTATCTCATGCTAAACATATTTGGTTTGATGATTCGTTACAACCTTCATGCTCACGCAGTTCTTGTGATCCAAATCCATTCAGAATATCTCAGAACGAAGATGATCATCAAAGTCAAGATTTTCAAGGCAATTGCCTAAAAACACTTGGAAAAACTGAAGCAAATACCCGTAGTAAAAGTCCTTTGGACAATTCATTTAAAATTATTAAAAAAGAAAACAATTATCGACGTAGTGAAAGTCCATCCTACAATCCATTTAGAATAACAAATAGTGATAGAAATGATGAAAATGAGAGAAATCATTCGTACAAGTCATGTAGAATACCAAACAAAAGTAATCATACTCGTCGTGCTCAAAGTCCGTGTTACGACCGTACATCTTACAAACGGAAAAATGATTCTCCTAGTACATCGTACGATTCGTCAAGATTGTCTAAAAAACGAAAGATAGATTACTATGAAAGAAAGCCATTGTATATGCAAACGCAGAAAAATTATAATCGTGAAGAAAGTCCTTCTTATAATCCATTTAGAATATCTGAAAAATATGAGAAAGATCAAGCAGCGAATTTTTCAGAACAATTTTTTGAGAAAATACCATCGCACGATCAACCAGATCAATCTAATTTACCTTGTAAACTCAACGAGACAACTAAAAATCAAAGAACCTTAAACGATTTTGAAAAAACACATGATGTTCAACCAAATCAACCTAATTTACCTTGTATACTCAACGAGACAACTGAAAATCAAAGAACCTTAAACGACTTTGAAAAAACACATGATGATCAACCAGATCAATCTAATTTACCTTGTATACTCAACGAGGCAACTGAAAATCAAAGAACCTTAAACGATTTTGAAAAAACACATGATGAAAAAAACAGTGTTTTTGAGAATATAGTATATGCACAAAAAGAAATCGACAATTTTGAGAATAATAACAAGGTTCAACCAATGTTTATATCTGAAAATCCATTAAAGAATCAGCAGCAAGTTCTCATATTTGAAGAATCAGAAATAAGTCAGCAAAAAATTTTTGTTTCTGAGGAGTTGGCATTGGATCAACCACAAAATTATCCTGAAAAACCAGTAAATGATCACAAAGAGGGTACTCCTAAAAAGCACATTAAGAATCGACGACAAAAACGTATCATTGATGATCCTGTCAGACATGATCATTGTTATTCAAAACTTTCTTACATGTGACAAGGTTCTATATCAATAAACAATTAAATATTATAGAAAATGTTGTTTTATTATTTGTTAAAATATGTGTACCTTATATACTATCTAAGCAGTTTATTCATGATACAGGATAGTTTTATATACAAGCTTTCATGATTCTTTGTAAACGCTAAAGCTTCATTAATTAACATTGAGTTGTAAAAAATTGCATCATTTATTATTTTGTTGATTGATTTTATTTAAAAACTTCTAATCAAAACATTAAGCTATTAATAACGTTTCTTGAATCGCAATTTAATTTACACGCGTCGAAGTTTCGATTAATTTTGATACTGTATCTTGCAGAATATATATATTTTTTTTATTTATCTATATATAGCATATATATATATATATATTTATATTTATAGAATAAAACAGTCTTGCTTATTATATTTGCTTTACAAAAATGTACAATATTTACAAAAGAGATTAACTGTAAAACTAGGCAAACCCGTGATAAAACTAATGTAGATTTACTCTGCAACGCAACAGAGAATAAAATCATTTTTCGTTTACTTCAATTTTATTTGGCAAACGCACTCGCATTTTTCCTTCATCTTCGTTGGGCAAGGTTTAAGATTATACAATATTATTTCCAAGAAATAAAACTTAATGGGTAACGTTATAGACTTAATCATGTGCTCCGGTTCCGTATGATTCAGCATTTTAATACTTTATATAAGTATTTTTTAATAATAAGGAGTGTCTTGGTCAAAGACAACATTATCACAATAAAGTTTTAGAGCCGACCAGCAGCTAATATTCAACAACTTGTACCAATTTCACAACAATATCTTTTCAATAAGGCGGACAGTTGACTCGATTATTGTAATTGTTCTTGTTGAAATTTCTATAGCCTGGTGGAGGTTTGTTATTACCTCTCCAGCCTCCTCCTCCTCTCCAAGCACCTCTAGGACCACCTCTATACCAACCTGGACCGCCCCGTCCACGATTACCGTGCATCGGTCCCCTTGGACCTTGGAAACCACCTGGTGGTCCTGGAGGCCCTCCAGGCGGTGGACCATTGAACATACCAGGACCAGGTGGACCTTGAAAATTATTGTAATTCATTTCTTCAGGATTACCAGGCAACATATAGCTGCTTTCCGGATTATAAATAGGTCCATTAATAGCATTTGGCGGTGGAATTTGATTACTATCCGGATAATTCGTCATTGGCGGTATTGTGGGATCAGGCACAACGATTTTACCATCTCCGGTTCTCCATCCACCACCGCCAGCTCCACCGACTACAACAGCTGCATTCGGCATGACGTTAGCGGTGATGTCTGGAACTATTTGTGGAATGCTAGCGATTGGTGGTTGTGCATTCATCGGAGGAAGTCCCATTTGAGAAGCATGTTGAGGCGGAGGGTGGTATACGTTGAAGAATGAGGATTTAGATGCGGCTGCTGGCAACGGTAACACCGTTTTTGGCTCTGGCCATGGAACATTCGAATAGTCTTTGGTACAATCTTCATTACCAGTAAGATCACTAAGCGGGATAATCTTGGGATCAACATACATGTGATGTCGCTCTTCATCTGGTTCTGCTGGTGAATCGGGAATCCTGTAAAAAAGGAATAATAAGTAAAGTTGAAGGAGGATAGAGATGACGGTAAAAAAGATCACGAATGAATAGAAACTCACATGCTACGAGTAAAGTAGATGGCTTGAAGTATTCCTTTTTCACGAGCATATTGTATATCTTTTTCGCGGCTGTCTTTGCCCGGCTCGACAAGCGCCGGCGGCTGATCTATCGGTATGAGTGGCCTCCACGCTGTCTTCTCTTCCATTACGTCTTCGCTGCTCAATTTTCTGGCCATTTGGAAGGCTTCCCTCTCATTTTGCTTCTCCATTTGCTTCATATCAGTGAATGTTTTCGTGACGTTGACACGCTCGGTCTCATCGAGCTCGAAATATCTCACAGCTTCGAGTTCAGTCTTCCACTTGAGCGACTTTTTCGGTCCTTTACGTTTTTGAATAACGAGTACACTCTTAAGAGCACCGGGAACCGGTGGCTCTTTTTCAAGCGCTTCGCTGACGAGTGCAGCAGGATCGTCCGGTGAATCGCTCTTATTCTCGTCATCAAAGTTATTCTCCGGTGTGGGTGCTGTCGAAAAGATTTTTTGTTAGAAAATCGTCATGCCGTGAAAAATTAATTTAAGAAAATATTGAAAGATATACTCACTCCTGCTCTTGGCAACTTGCTCGTCGTCATCGTCGTTTTCATTTTTGTTTTCTTTTTTAACGGCATCTTTGTCATCGTCCTTGGCCTTGGACTTGTCATCCTCCTCGGTCTCTAAAGTGTCCTGGTAAAATCTAAAAGTCGGCTTGAGCGACAAGAGCGATTTGTCGTCAGCGTCGCGGCCCGTTGGCGACGATAACGGTGACGAGACCGGTGAGTTATTGTTATCCGATTCCAACTTTTTCGCATCCGGCCCGCCGTCTTTCGTGAGCGATGCTCGCCTCTTGCGCTTCCGCGGCTTATCGTTCTTCGTCGACGCGGTGAGCGCGTCCATAAACATGTCGCTTTCTTGTAAATGCATCACTGAAATGAGAAAAAAATTGGGTAAAAAATTTGCACCGCCATTCTGTTATGCTCATTGACTTCTAAATAGCATATATCATATAATACGTAGCGTGACGCAATGACTATCAAGGTGGGTTTTTGAAACAATTGGTGCTAAGCTCCTGAAAAATAAATGAGTAAACAAGAGTATAGATAATAATAATGCAACATGAAATGTCTTGTTCTTTTTTAAAATGTTTTCCGTTGTGGTGTTGACCAATAACGAGCGATCACATTTCGCTAATTTGCCAATTACACAGAGAAATTTGTGATTCATCGTTAATAATTTGATAACGCTTGCAGGAATGTCAGCAGTTCGGACTAAAAAAATTATATTTGCGCCTTTTCTTATTTATTAGAAGCAAGCGTTAGGTTCACAAAGCATTTACGTCGGGCTTCGTTGAATTTATAATATCAGATTATCGAGCATTTTCATGCGCGCAGAAAAACCAAGTCAGACGTTGACTAGCTTTCATCGGCAATAGAGTATCAATCGATTCGTTTTCACAATGGAAATATCATCAAGAAAATAACTCTTACCTATCAAATTAATTTGAATTTATTCACTAGAAAAATTAGTTAACTTAATTAATTAGAGACCTTCGATTGAATTTGTTGAATCGAAACACCGTGATCGATTCACGCTACGTCATTAGGCAACAAGAGCTCAATAATTAATAAATATCATTTCGCAGTAGTGACAATGAATTCGCGAAATCCGTTCTCGCTAATGTGCAGGTGCGGTAAGCACGAATGCAAAGCGGCGTCTAACTGGGACTCGCCGAGCCGTACGAAGTTACGAAATGAACGATCGAAGCAAATCGGATGAATATAAAAAAGGAAAGTTTTTCTCTTTAATGATCGTTACGGGTACATTGACATAGTACGGAACGCGTCGTATACGAAAGCGCGTGGACACGATGGATCGCGCGCGCACACGTGCTTCGCCTTCGCCCACCACCGCTCGCTCGCTCGCTCACGGCCGCGCCGCATGTATATGTCGTACATAGTAGAGTACGCGTAGCTGCCACGATATGTATCTATATAGATATATTGTGCACATCTACGGATCTCACTCGTGCTTAAAAACGTTTCTCTACGAGATCGTGCCGAAACTTTTCACCTCTCTGTGCTTGCCACTAATGACCGATAATCATATTGCCCAGCTCTTGAGCTCCACCCATCCGAGACAATATATCGTACTAACTTATTAATTCTTTACGGCATCTGTATGATTTTTTTCATCGATTTATAAATCGTTCATAATCCGGTACTCTATTACAAGAGGCAACTCTTACAACAGGACTTGATCGCGCTGAATTGATGAGCTTGCAATTTAATCACTTAAATGCTCTTGTGCCATGTCAATGCAAATGTAAAACACTTCGAACCAAAAAGGACAACCGCGCGAGTTGTTTAAAATTAAATATTTGGCATAATAGCGACTTGTTCAGAAAAAAAATTAAGATTATTTTGATGGTATAGGTCTGCAACAAACGTAATTTTATAACCAACCAAATGCTCTTTTTTTCTTAATAAAGAAGCTGCTTTGAGATCTGTGGGCCGGTCAGGCTTTGCGCCTTCCATTAGTCAGCCTTTTGAATTTCTTGAGCAGTTCTTCGACACTTCTGAGAGGACATCGTTTTCCATGATTATCCTCGTTATATTCATTAGATCCTTAACTTCTTTTTGATCCTTCTCCCGTTTCCTCCTTTTATTTGCATTCATTATTAATAATCATGTCAGTATATTTTCATCCAACAGTCATTCTTGAACTTCCCGTGATTTAATAATCAATTAAAGCACAAAACTTAATATTTTTCTCGATAAAAACTTTGCTTTACTGTAATTTACTGAACAAAACGAGTTTCTTCGAAAAATAAAACTAATGATGCGATTAATTTTCTTTTAAATAAAAATCCAACACCGTGTATTAAACTGCAAAAACGACCGTAATTAAAACTTCTATTCAACATTTACACTTCACATTTACACAAAGGATATGTGGGATGGTCGTGTCCACCAATTTCTATTCTCTCCGGTATATAACTCTATACAGGAAAGCTTGAACGAAGAAAAAATTCTAAATCAGGGCTCGAAATGTTGATTACGTCAATTTGGGATTTAAAGTGATGAAATTAGTGCAAAAATGTACACTTTTAAACCAAGTTTAAAATTGGTATTTTACAATACTTGCAAAAACATCATTACGAGCCGTTAAATTAATTTTATTTGAAATTTTACAAAAAACTAATTTTCCCGGCGAACTTTTATTTACCGAGAGGATGGAAATCTGGATGGGCCCGACTTAAGTATGAATACAACAATTCATTGCTTTTTTTTTTTTGGATTTCTCTTTTATGAGAGTTATACATGATATTGTATAATAGAAACCCAAGATTAATGTTTCCAGATTTCTGATGTTTTATTGAAATACTTTAAATATGGGTATATAATACATTACAAGGGATAAAAATTAATAGACAAGAATTATATTCTCTTAGACCTTACCTAGTATAAATTGTAACGAGTACGGCTTTCTCACTATTAATGTCTATTTTTTACGATTTTGCACACACATTCACTCTTAAACTTGTATCACCGTTTTTGACTAGTTATTAATGATTCAAAATTTCAAAATTATTCATGAGGTATTTAAAAGTTTCTTTTAAATATTGTTTTTATCGAAGTTTACCTGCTGAATCCACATAAAATTTATTAAAATTATTGCAGTCATGTGTAGAGCCTCTGAGAACTTCTTTGGGTTTTCTGGAGAGTAAAATTTACTTGAAGATGATAAACACGTACATCATTTTCCTCTTATCTTTTGAAGATGAAATGTTATACCATATAGTGTTTAACATATACAATTAATTATAAAATTAAAATGGAATGAATAAAATTTCAATGTTCCTGAAAAAATTAATTAGTAATTGTAAATTTAAAAAGCTTCATGACTAGAACTAATGTAACATGAGTGTGTTCATATGTGTATAGTTTGTTGACTAGAGAAATAGAACTTAGCACCAATTGTTTCAATGACTGCCCACCTGAAAACTCAATATTCAAGTGTTAGAACTATTAAATTTCTAACATATATCTTAACCAAAATCAGAGAGATATATTAAAACTTAGAATTGAGTAATCAAAATTTAGTTAAATTAAATATTAACATACAAATTCTACCTTCAATTTTCAATGTAAAATGTAATAATTGAACTGTTGAATTACTTTTGAATAAATCTATTATACAAGAATAATGAAAAAATTAAACATACCTTTAGGTTTAGCTGGAATAAGTTTGATGCCTCCTTTCTTTTCTTCAATAGTTGGAGACTCCAAAAGTAACTTTGATTTTCTACTTTCAATGGGTACATCTCTAATGGGAGAATACCTTTTAATCGGCATTCTTGGAATTACCACTTTTTTATCAGGCAACGTAGGTTTCTTTTTAGGCATTGGTTTGACTTCTTCTTCGAGACCAGTTGATCTAAACTTCGAATTGAAAGTTTTTACAGTCTTTGGACGAGATCCTTCTTTCCTAGTTTCAATTGATATTGAGATATTTTTCTTTTCCGGAATCTGATAAATTTTTTTAGTTTCAATTTTATCAGTCTGAGTTTTGCTGGATGAGGAATCTGCTGGTTTTTCATCGTCGCTTTTTTTCTTTGGAATTTTTCCTAATTTTGAACCCAAAGATGGGATTTGTAATTTCTCTAATGTGGCCTTATCTTTTTCAGCTTGGTCTTTTTTCAATTTTTCTTTTTCTTTATCTTTGTCTGATTTAGTTTTTAAGCTTGAACTTTTTGAACTACTAGAGTGATGTCTATCCTTTTCCTTGTCTCTGGAAGACTTGTCTCTAGAGCTACTACTACTTTTTGAGCTAGAGCTGGATTTATGTGAGCTAGATCGATGAGAGCTAGAGCTGTGTTTACTAGAGCTTGAGCTATATTTACTAGAACTTTTTGAAGAAGAGTGGTTACTACTTTTCTTTTCCAAGCTATTTGTACTTTTTTTATCTTCTTTTTTATCACCATTGACTTTAACCGTGGTTATTGTTTTAACATCGCTACTGTCATTTTCATCTATCATTGAATTATCATTTATTGGATTAGATTTACTTTCCACAACACTAGATTTATCATTTGAGACATCTTTACCAGAGCTTTTAGCATCTGAATCTGTCCTTTCAATGTTTTCACTTTGTTCAATATTAATTTCATGAACTTTATCTTTAAAAAGACTGTCTTTCATTAATTCACTTTGAACTTTATTTACACTAGCAGCATTTATATTAGCTACATCAGTCTGAACTTGTGTTAAAACTTGCTTACCATCTCGTATGGTAATTTTATACATAGATGGTGAATTTAGGGGTTTGTCGGAATGAGAAATTGGAGCAGAATCATCAGACTTTTGAGAAATGGGACTTTCACCAACATGATTGGTCATGTTACCCTCACTTACAGAACTAAGAGTTGCTACTTGGCTAATATTAACATTATTTGTCTGGGGTAGATTATTGGTAACTAAAGGCTGTGATGGGTTGAGAGTTTGTGTGCTAGAAACGCCACTAGGGGCCTCTCCTTTTACCATTTTTAGCCATTGTTCAACTATACGATTAGCCAAGTTTTTAACCTTCTGATCTTTTGCATCTTTAGAAAGACCTTTGATAAGCTTGGGAGTATTATTACTTTTTAATCGCTCAATGTCCACTGGACAAAGTAACAATAGTTCCAAAATTTCTTGGGTCAATGCCATATTTTTGTTCACAATACAATCAGTAAGCCACGAGTGAACAAGATTCCAACCTCCTCCTGCTCCCATAAATCTGAAACAATAAATAGAACAATGGCTTTTAGATATATTCAACTCAATGATAATTATAAATTATTGTTAAAAATCATTAATTAAATGTAGAACACATATCAGTAAGTACGGTCCATCAATGCAACCGCCCAATGGTTCAGAGTTCTTAATTCAATCTGGCACACTTTTGATTTTATACACGCATTCATTTTAATGAACCAATAATTGCGTGTCTCAGTATGCAAATTTTTATGACATTTAGTATAATTTAGTATAATATAAAGAAAAATTGAATGAATTCAAAATTAAATAACATAGACTTACTGGTTCAGGAGTTCTGGAGTAGTACTCTTGAGAATTTGAATGTAAATGCATTTTGAAACAAGTTTTTTGGAAAACTTGGTCATTAAATTGGCTAACCGAATAACCTCATCCTTGCTCTTAATACCTCCATTGGGACCAAGTAGGACACTAAGGCACCTAAGTAGAGATAATGGGTCTATTCGGGGCTGAAACAATAAAAAAGTTTGTTGGTTATAAAATTGTCGGAAATTCAAAAATTTTGTAGTGAGGATTTATCAATAATGGGCTACATTTAAGATAATAAAATTTAAACAATGTTTACCGATTTCTTCAATTCTTCCGTCATTTCAAATTAAAACCGTGCTACTATTACATTAAAAAAAAAAAAAAAAATATTCATAAAAAAGTTATCTTATATCGTAAAATATGGACACGTGTCCGCTGGAGCAAAGTGGAAGCATATTCAATGCCCGATGTGCGCAGCTACGCGTTGGTAGATGAAATGAAACATGTGGGTGAGGTTGGCCGAAAAAACCCGAGACACGTAGCTGAACGATGGCACGCATATTAAGAGGGAGAGTGGCCATAATAGCGCGAGAGACTCGTACAAAGGCGCGTAACAACGGGAAACGGAAACCGTGAGCATCGAGCCGAAGCTGGTCTGTGTAATATACGCTCACAAGAGGACTGGTTTTCGCGCCCTCTGGCGGCCTAGCCAGGCTCGTAACGTAGGCCAGGGCAATAAGTCGCGAGAGCGAATTCAAAATGTCTGCCTGCGCTTCTGTCAGTATATCTATAGATAAATATTGACGCGCAATAATGAACATATGCTTGGAGTGATACGAGAACTTAATGATAAAAAAAATTAACGTAAATGAACGACTTACCATGATAATGCTTATTAATATCCTCTCATGCGAAGCGCATTAAATAGACGTGTGCCGAGTTGGGTAACTTTTACTTATGGAACGTAATCTGCAACAATGTTTTTAGTGTGTCGAAGTTATAAGGTAACTTTAGTCATGAGGTGTGCTTGTCTCGAAGGCAGCCATTTTCTCTTTCTCGTAAAATCACGGCAACAACGAGTGCAAATTTTTGCGCTCTCTCTCTCTCTCGCTCTCTCTCGATATAGCTCTTGCGTGCGTTTGTTTTTTCTCTCCTTCAAGACGATAAACGAAAAAAAAATTCGACAACTGTTTCCGTGGCTGATCGATAAGAGCTTCAGTCCTACCGCTATAAAAATGCGTGCAAAATACAGAAGGTAGGATTGGTATTTCGTTGTAAGCATATGCCTCGCTACGCTTACATTGAGAAACTTTCGAACCTTCTTCGCAATTAAAATGAATAAATAAAGTTGAACAATATACTTTTACAATGACGAAAATCAAATGTATGAACTATCTCGTGAGTAAGCAATAATAAACATTCGAAGTGAACGCCGAAGAAAGCCAATTGAGACTTAATCCAAAATGGAGTATCGTATAGAGAAGACAAAATAACAAAGAGGGACGACGGGCGGGCGCTTCGTGTACTGCGTAGTAGTTCTTTGCGGGTATCTCTCCCATACACACATAAGTATCTCTCTCTTTCTATATATGTATATACGACTACATATATATGCGCTGCTAAGATGTGTAGGTGCGGATCAAATGCTCTGGAGGTATATATATATAATATATGTATATATATGCGAGTGCGTTTAGGCGAAAGCCTGAACACGATGCTGCGGCTGTTGAGGCTGGCTCTGTGCGAGAAGGCCGACTGACTCGAGCGATCGCAACGTCGGACTTTCGGAGCGCGACACACGCTTGCGCGCTAGTCAATTGCGCATCCAAGTTCCAACCTGTCTCCAATATTAGCGCGTTATACATACACATACACACACTCACACACAAACAACAAAGACACATATATGCATTGCACTTCTGGCCGCCGCCTTCTCCTCCTCCCGGCTCCCGATCCCGCCAGCTTCGTGTGACCCTTATGTATGCGCTCTACCACATATATGTATGCGAGCTCGACGATCTTCTGCTTTTCCTCGCTCTTTTTCACCAGCTGTAGCGCCGAGTCTAAGCAAGTCTTCCCCTCCCAAAATCGTTCGCCTGCTAAATCAATGCCTCTCACGTACCAAATCAATCTTCCTTTATGTGTATTTTAAATGCATCAACGCACGATTAAAATTCGAATGTAATCTTGGTAGACCGCACTTAAAACTCAATTAGATCCGATTCTATTGTGGCTCGGTACGATACGACTCGTATAAAGTCATAATAACGTTGCGCTTACACAAACTGGCGGAAAAATTTCTGGACGAAATTCATTTCCATGAGCTACCGAGAGACAGAAAGACGATAAGAGAGAACGAAAAATTATCGCACGTGTCAAGATGATAACTTAATGACTCGACATATAATCACAAACTTCATTCTAATCCTGGCTAACGCCCTCTTGCCAATGTTTTTCAAGTAAAAAAATAAGACTCGCGTTCTGCAAGAAGAGAGAATGAGGCTGAACGAGTTCGTTGCTAATGCATTTCATATGAAAATAAACAAAGATCGTCGCTGCAGGGTCGACGCATTTTCTTTATGTGTATAATGTATGTAAATATGACGACGTAAACCACTCACATTTTTGCTTAAAATGATAATTACATATGCTTGGCTTTACATATGATGCACAGGATAACAAGTTAACTTTTAAATTGCTCAATGCCGAGACTGAATTCGGCTGCACATCTCTCGAAATTGGAATAAGAAAATAAGGGTCAAAGAAAGAAATAGCTGGCAGCAGCAAAGGCGGAGGCCCTACGATGAACCGAGAGCCGTGTGTGTCTGTATGCGTTTATCGGCTTGTCATGGCTGCACCTGCAAAAATGCACAGTTTTATCTCGCTTCACAATACATGTGTCAAGCAGCAGCAGCAGCGAGTTTCGTTTACGAATATAAATCTTAAAAAAAATGAGTGATTCTTACCTGAGACTATCCTAGTGGAGATTTATTACGTAGGTAACTTTTGGAAGCAGTAGCAGATGAGTCGCTCGATTCGCTATATCTATAGCTATATACGTGCCAATATTCGTTTGATATTTTATTGCGAAAGCTTAAGTTCGCATTTCGATCAATTTATGCGTGCCTTTGTCAATGTATACGCCATGGGCCGTGTACGTATAAACATGTATAAATTAGGCGTTCGATGTATAGGTATAGGTAAAATTACATGAGCACATATATATTCACACTGCGAGAGAATGGAACGGAAGTACGCCGTAGCGCTGCAACGACCGAGTCGCGCTGTCGTGCGCTAGCTCATGGGAGAAGCGCGAATTCTGCTATGTTTGCGCTAATATTATACCCTCGAGAGGGAGAGCGAGAGAGACGAACACAACCGTCCTACTCCTGTCTCCTATACAGTCATCCCCCCCACTTCTTGCCAACTGCGATCTTTGCAGTTGTTATGGTTGCGAGGCTTGGGATCGCGCGCGCACACAGCGACTTTGCGCGCTTGCCAATGGGCTTGTTCGCGCGCTGTTCTGCAATTTCCAATTCTGCATTCTAATTGACGCGCGAGTCCGACGGCTCAACTTTATAAACATTTTAAGTTATTTCAATTCAATCGTTACGATTCTCGTGAGAAAAGTCTTCAGTCGTGTTAATTTGATAATTAACGACGAAATTGACGAACCTCGGGTTTTGATTAATGCAATGGTAGGAATGTACGCATTGTCATCAATTACAATTGAACCAGTTGTGAATTCCCGCCATTGCATACTTTCATAGTCAAACTAGAGTATGAATTTCGAAAAGCAAACACTCATTGACAAGTCGCTCATGAAAATTTTATCTAAGACGAAAAAGACTATATCCGTCTTTACACCACTGCATTATACTTGGTAGTCACTAGTCATTGTAGTTGGAGTTTGGACAAGAAAAACGTAAACAAGTAGTCGATTGACTAAGGAGTTTTTCCATTAGGTACACCAATCGTCTACTTATGCTTGCGCCATCGTACAGTTGTTATTGTAGCCAAGTATTGTCATATGAACGTGCGTCCCCCACTACGCTATGTTTATATTTTCTCGCCGGTGCAGAATAACCGGTCCAACTCCAATCTCAACCATATGAGCAGCGCTCGACGTTGACTCCAAGTTTTAACTTCTGCTACTGCGTCGCTCCGCTGCAGGTGTCAGTCACCTTTAACACCGAAAAATCATCAACACGGCAAATATAAACAGGCTCCCCGTAATCGGAAAATTAGGGTCAGAGCATGCGCCTTTTACCTCTGTTTGAGCCGAACCTGCTGAACTGCGGCGCTAATGTGATTCGAGTATCCGCGTGTTAATTTTTTAGATAGAGCCGGTTTTTGACATTTAATCGTCAATATCATAAAAGTTGCTTCCTTATATATCACCAACGTGCGCTATCATTTCTTTAGCCACTTTTTAAGTTTGATTATTTTAAATTACATTATGATAAAATATTTATAATTAGGCTTCTACCTATGCATTAAACATGTTGTGGTTCTGGAAGTTGTTTATTTTTTTTTTGCTCTGTGCTTTCAACGAAACTACTTCGCACACTCGTAAAATAATTGATGTCGATCCTACAAGGACGATTCTTTGGGGTCCTGGCCTAGAGCCTGATAAAATTGTTTTACGAGCTAGATACATATTTGTGCAACTCGTCGATCATCAAGGACTAAAGTATGATTGAACATTTTTTCGATATCAAAACTTGTTCATTTTTATTTTTCTAAATTATTGATACTTTTGCGACTTTCTCATTGCAGTGTAACCAATTCTCCTGGAAAAAATTTCGTTGCGGCAGTAATCAATGGCAATTCCTTAAGTAACGAGACCTGCAGAGTATGGTCTCAAATTTTTGATTGTAAAGATGGTAGTTTTATTATCAGATATCGATTACACGAAACTTGCAACGATTTGCAGATTAAAGTGCTCGTCAAGAATCATACTTTACCATTGATTCGACCTTTAATAAAAGGTTTTTATTGTAAAAACATGAATAAGTCTTTCAATTTACTAAATACAATGTTCATTCGTTATTTTAGGGCCAATTTATGAAGAAGAATGTTACTGTCCTCAGAAATCTATAAAAAAATGGTTGGAAGATAATCATTGTAATAGTAATCACTCACAAATTTTAAGAGATCTTCAACTTTTTCCAAGCGTTGATTTTGAAATTTACAGAAGTAAAATCATATCAAGATTTAACCAACCACACGGAGTTAGCCTTTGCCATTATGTGATAAAAAATAATAAGGTATGGTACAATAACAAACAGAAAAATAGATACAATTATTAAATTTTAATTTTCAAACTAGATTCACAGACAATGTTTCGGTGAACATGTTGGATTCAAAACATTTGTCGATGATATCCTTTTATCAATAACACGCAAATTATTTTTACCAGATGTTGAATTTTTCATGAATTTGGGAGACTGGCCTCTAGTACTTAAAAATACAGAGCTTCTTCCTATTTTTTCATGGTGTGGTTCTGTGGACTCCCACGATATTATTCTCCCTACCTATGATTTAGCAAAGTCATCTGTAGAAGCAATGTCAAGGTAAAATTGATGAGACAATAAACATTGAAATGTTTCTTTTGGTTTTATTAAAATAATTGAAAACATTGTCTTAGCGTAATATTGGACATGCTTTCAGTACAAGCTAGTAGTAAAACTGTATGGGAAAAGAAAATTGAAAAAGTTTTCTGGAGAGGTAGAGACTCAAATAGAGCAAGACTTACTTTGATTGATTTATCAAGAAAACATCCCAATCTTTTTAATGCAGCTTTAACAAACTTCTTTTTTTTCACAAAAGAAGCAGAAAAATATGGACCAACTCAAAAACATGTATCATTTTTTGATTTTTTTGAGGTAGCCAAAATTTCTACTCCACTAGAATGAATATTATAATTATGATAAAAACTATGAAAAACATTTATAATTTATTATTCTAGTACAAGTATCAACTAAATATTGATGGAACAGTAGCTGCTTACAGATTTCCATATTTACTTGCAGGAGATTCTCTAGTATTCAAACAAGATTCTAAATATTATGAGTTTTTCTACAAAGATCTTGAAGCTGAAAAACATTTTATTCCAGTGAAACGCGATTTATCAGATTTGGTGGAAAAAGTGAATTGGGCTATTAATAATGATGAAACAGCTTATAAAATCACAAAAAATGCCCAACAGTTTATAAGAGATAATTTAATGCCCCAACATATCCTCTGTTATCATGCAGTTTTAATTCAAGTAAATCAACATTTAATTTTTTTTTAATACATTGATTTTTTAATATTTCATGTGTATGAATTTTTTTAGAAGTGGAGTCATCGCATCACAAGTAAAATAAAAGTATTTCCAGAAATGGAAGAAGTAACACAAAAAGAACATGAATGTAATTGTTTAAATACAAGAGATGATGGTAGTGAAATAAAAGATGAGCTCTAGAATTGAATCAAAATCGTTTTATATTAATATGCTCTGAAAAATCAAAACTAAAATATCAAGTTATAAAAGTTAAAACATACTATTTTCATTTGAGGAAAAAAAGGTAGTCAAAGAGTGTTCAATAGATTTCGATGTAAATAAATCACAAATATTTATTTTTATACCTTACAAAATGCATGTTACATAATTTGTTCTATCTAAATATACAAAAAAAAAATAAAAATTTAAATCATTATGATAAGTGGGTACTCATGTAAAGTAAAAGATATTTTGAGATTGAATACCGTTAAAAATTAAAAAGTAATCATATCTTCATTTTCAATGCATATTTCGTCCATTTATTTTATTCGTAATAGTATTTTTTACCAAAAATAGTAAAGTTATTAAATAATGTTTTACTGCAATAAATTATTTATCGCATGATGAATCTAATAAAAATGCAATATCTCTTGAAGTCCTTTTCTTGGATAAAAAATTATCCTAATCAATACACAGAAAATACAACTATGAAATGTACAATTTACAGCAACGGCATTAAAAAAACCTATGATTTTACATGCTAATTATTATTATACTGATAGATTAAATATAATACATGATCTTATAAGAATATTTAAGTTATTTTAAAAATTATATTTTAATTAATGTACAGACTATATTCTTTCTATACTCTGACATTTCATTACAATATCGTATGAAGGAAAAAAATTCATTTCAATGTGAAAAATACAAATTTACAAGATTATAAAAAAAAAGGAAATATGAAAGTAATAGTCTTATACACGACTTAAGTCTACAGATTTATAATAAAAATTCCAAGTGCCTTGATTGGCAAATAATTAATTTTATTTTAAAGAACCAGTCTGAACTACTGAGGTGGTGGTTGATAGCTGTATCCACCATACTGATTAGGAGGTGGACCTTGAGGTCCTGGTGGTGGAGGCATGTGCCCAGTAGGCCTAGGTGGATATTGTCCATAAGCCTGGCTACCAGGTGGAGGTGCATAGTTTTGAGGAGGGTACTGAGGGTGACCATAATGCTGATTCGGTTGAGGAGGATAACCCGGCTGCCCCACTGGTCCTGGCGGAGCATAAGATTGATTCGCTGCTGGGAGAGGTTGAGGCGGAGGTGGACCATAATTATTCGGTTGTTGTGGCTGCGGAGGACCACCTGGTGGTCCCTGTGGTGGTCCACTTGGAGGCTGAAAACCTGTTGGCGCAGGACTTGATGATTGCTGTTGTTGAGTCTGTGGTGGCGTTTGTGATGGCGGTGTTTGTTGCGGTGACTGAGATGAATGAGGAGATTGCGATGGGTGAGGTGATTGATGAGGTGGAGGAGCTTGATGCTGCGGTTGATGCGGCGGATGTGGCGAGGGCTGCTGATGTGGGTGAGGCGATGGTTGCTGATGTGGGGGGTGAGGCGACTGTTGTTGATGTGGTGGATGAGGCGATGGCTGAGGGTGTGGAGGATGTGGCGATGGTTGTTGATGGGGAGGATGTGGTGATGGCTGTTGATGTGATTGATGAGGGGACGGTAATTGATGCGGTGGGTGCGGTGATGGTTGTTGATGAGGTGGATGTGTTGACGGGTGTGGTGGTTGCTGATGCGGTGGTTGCTGATGCGGTGGTGGATGCTGAGGCTGATGAGACGCATGAACTGGAGGTCCCCAGCCAGGTGGTGGAGTGGGTTGTTGATAACTACTTTGTTGTGATGTAGATGGTGGAGCATTACTTGGTGGAAGATTTGGAGTCGTTGCAGTAGAAGTACTAGTAGGTCCACTTTGAGCATACGTGTTTACACCACTTCCAGCTGAACTGAACGGAGGTGTCGATGCTGGTCCATACTGCGATGAACCACTTCCGGGTCCAGAGCTGTTTCCATAACCAGGTTGTGGTGGCCCTGATTGAGGGGGTTGAGGGACAGGTGGTTGTGGTGGTTGAGCACTTGAAACCACTGGTGGTGGATATTGTTGTTGAGGAGGAACACTATTTGGATATCCTTGAGAAGGTGGAGGGTAATTTCCAGCTTGAGGATTTGGATTGTAGGCATTCTGTGTAGGTGGTCCTTGTGGTGTTTGTTGATAGCCAGGTTGTTGGCTTGAATTTGGAAATGGTCCAGTTTGTTGTGATTGCTGCGGGTGTTGTTGTTGAGGAGGTGGTGGTGGTGGCTGTTGCTGTTGTTGTTGTTGTTGTTGTTGTTGTTGTTGTTGTTGTTGTGCTTGTTGTGCTTGTTGTGCTTGTTGCTGTTGTTGTTGTTGTTGTGCTTGTTGTTGTTGTTGTTGTTGTTGTTGTTGTTGTTGTTGTTGCTGTTGTTGCTGCTGTTGCTGTTGTTGCTGTTGTTGCTGTTGTTGCTGCTGTTGCTGCTGTTGCTGCTGTTGCTGCTGTTGTTGACCTGATGATGGAAAGTTAGGCTGCGGAGTATTAGGAGGATATGTTTGTTGATTTGTTGGTGGTGGTGGTCCATATCCACTTGGTGGTGTATTTGCATTCGGAGGGACATATCCACCAGGTTGTGGTCCATAATTATTAATTCCAGAAGGTGGACCATAATTAGAAGGGTTACCAGATGGATAATTTGGCTGTTGAGGCCCACCAGGAGGACCATATTGATTTGGTTGGCCAGGACCATAATTTGAGCTTTGAGGCCCAGGGTAATTTGCAGTTGGCCCTTGATTATTATATGGAGGGTGGTACCCTTGGGGAGGTGGTTGCTGAGGTGGATAGCCCTGCTGGTTTCCTCTGAATTGTGGTTGTGGTTGTGGACCAGGTCCTGTAGGAGGTCCTAAAATGATAAAATTTTAATATTTGCACTATAATATCAGCCTTAAAATCACCTTGATAAAGAATTACTCACTATTCATTGCTGGGCTTTGACCTGGCATTACAGGCCCTCTAGAATAACCACCCTGAGGAATAGGCTGGTTTTGGTTGTATCCAGGCATTGACATTGGTTGCTGTGTGTTAGGAGGTATGTCTCCAGCAGCACCAGTAGGTGTTGATACATTTGGTGGACCTTGGTTGGGTATAGCGTTATGTGCAGGCCCATTTGGGATTGATTGTGGAGGCTAAAAATTAAATATTGTTTTGATGAAACTTGTGATGATTCACAAATCTTAATAATACTTTGATAAAACAATCATCAACTCACAGGCAACATGTGCTGTAGACTCTGATTAGCATCAGCAATAGAAGATAAATAAACTAAGTTTTTATGCAAAATATTTTGATATCTAAAATAAAATCAAGTGAAATAAAATAGAAGTAATTATTATTATTAATCATAATAAAATAGGGTTTAAAAGCGGGCTCAACTTACTGTATGCATTCTTGGGACTTGCCTTTGCTTTGATATTCTTGTATTGTCTGTATAAGATGACTATTTTCATCAAGCATCTGCATGTAAACAAAAAAAATGTAACTTCACTAGCTGAGAATTTAGGTTATACAAAGCCGACAATTAGATAGAAATTTAATTTACGCACCTTTTGCAACTGTGCAGGCGTAGGGGTTGGTTTACCCCTCTGAGCGTAAGTCACAGACATTTTGACTCACACTATGACAAACTGTTTAAATCAACAACAAGTGTAACTTTCAAACGTTGTTATTGTAAAGTATATTCGTATACTAGTACGCAACAACTATACGTACAGTGCACACCATATATACACAAAACATGAATCCCAGAATTTTCAAACGCGTCGATAATGACGGTGAACGAGTCCGACCGAGCGCTGGCGGGCTACTTAATTTTTTATTTCAAGTCGGAAACTCGAGTCCTCGTCACTGATAGCTATCATACGAACTGTTGTTTGTGCTACGTACCTATCCAACGACGACTAAGAAACAGACAGATTACAATTTTGCATTCGTAAAAAGTTTAAAAGGAAAATATTACTATTATTGCTTTCGAAAGATGGACCTATCAAATTATTTATTCCCTCAGTTTTTATGTATGATGAAACACAATTATATTAATATAAAAAAATATTCATTTCAACCCAGCTCCTAAATGCATCTTTATTGACTTTTGACTTTGAACTTTCTGCAAAAATTTGTTGGGCATTAATACTAAAAATTCGCATTATAGATATAGGTGTAAAAAAGTACTAATGAACTCATTAATAATTCCAATGTTAATGCGAGATTATAAATTGTTCGTACATCCAGGGGAGAAGTTTATGGCATAGAATTGTCGAAAAGCATTTTTTTTAGTGGCAATTGTGAAACAAAATCTTCCGCACATGTTTCAAGCTCTCCTGCAAATAGCCGCACCTAACTGTGTACAACATCTTTAGTCATGCTCATATATATATATGCACCGTATAGGCACATATACTTTCCTGCTCTGACTCACTTGGCCACTTCTATTGCTGCTGGTGCTGCTACTGCTGTAACACGGGTCCTGCCATGTTGCGTAGTGGCTATAGTGCGAGTTTAGGAGTATACACAGAAGTGTGAGACTAACTTGTTGTTGTCTACCATTGAAGAATTGCACACCAAAGCAAATTAGACTTTGGAGTCTGCCCGTGAAAGTACGAGCAAAGCAGGGTGTAACGAGTCAACGTAATATCCACCTGGAGAGCACTGTTGTAGCAGCGGCGAAGAGAAAAAAAGTCGCGTGAAAAATAATCAAACGCTTTGGGATCAAACTTGTAAATTGTAAGTTCTTCGATCGCACAGCTGCTTCTTTTGTATATATAATATATAATAAATATACATAGTGATATGTGTACCATTGGCGTGTACGTACACATAATCCAGTATACACACACAAAAGATCAGCTGCAGTTTGATTAGTGCTTGGCTTAACGGTTCGGCCCAAGTACTACGTTTTAATTAATTGTGACTGCGTATGTCGAGTTGTCGTTCACTCCGATGCACTTGGACTTTCATGTTTTTTCTTATCTATGCGACGTAGGTAGGAACGGAGTTTACAGCAAGATTGTGACAGGCTTCAACGACGTTTGACTGCTAGCTGCTGCCACTTCTATCTGCAGACCGTACTCGAAAATTGCAGTGCTTATTTAACCCCATATTTCTTCATTTACAATCTACCGACTTCGTTTTTTTACACAAACGTGAGCAACATTATTGTGAGTTTTTACTTTCATTTTTATACGCCTACTTTCATTTCACTGCGTAGCAGTGTGCTTACATGCGTCTATACATATACCCTTATTTTTGTGTTTTTCTCGCTCCAGTCGCACAACATTGATATGATGATTAATCTTGCTTTGATACGTAATCTTCACGTAATTTTTTTTAATTGTCTTTGATTGTTTGTGACTATTAAAAAACTACAATTTGCGAAGAGAGCCCGCGAAATTTCGGTATATATCGATGATGACACTAGTGCTATGCCATGATTATTATTATAGAAAAAGCTCACTTCTTCTTACTGAAGTAGTTTATACTTATGAGAATTCTTACTCATGAGTTTATTGAATGGCTCATTCAATAAAACTCAATATTCAGTCCTGTATTGTTTGCATCTACATGTTTTTGATAGTTTTATTATTTTCAAGTAATATATAATACAAAGTTATTATTCTTATTATAGATTCAACATGTCAGCTGGACCTTACAATTATTCATACATTTTCAAATACATTATTATTGGTGATATGGGTGTTGGAAAATCATGTTTATTGCACCAATTTACTGAAAAAAAATGTAAGTTATCTCATCTTATAATTTAAAAGTTTTCCTCTTTATTATTATACTCTTGAATATTTTTGAACCAACAATTTAGTTATGGCTGATTGTCCACATACAATTGGAGTAGAATTTGGCACCAGAATCATAGAAGTAGCTGGTCAAAAAATCAAACTTCAAATATGGGATACAGCTGGTCAAGAACGATTTAGAGCAGTAACTAGGTAAGTCAAACATTTAGCTGGGCTACAAAGTTGCAATATTTTATAACTCACACAATGAATTTTCAACAGATCTTATTATCGAGGTGCTGCTGGAGCTTTAATGGTCTATGATATAACAAGACGCTCAACTTATAATCATCTTAGTAGTTGGTTGACTGATACAAGAAATCTTACAAACCCAAGCACAGTATGTTCATGAAATTAGAATTAAAGGAAAAAAATTATTAATAGTCTTAGTGTTGTTTTCTTTTTATTCTAGGTTATATTTTTAATTGGGAATAAAAGTGATCTAGATGCTCAGAGAGATGTAACTTATGAAGAAGCTAAACAATTTGCAGATGAAAATGGATTGATGTTTGTAGAGGCAAGTGCAAAAACGTAAGTAAAAGTTTGCATCATGTATAAAGGGTGCACTTAGTAGCTTTGCTGTCATACTATGTAGATGTAGCACAATGCACACTCTTTACTAAGAAAAGAAAAATATAGATATTTATTTTAACATCATGGATCATTCCAGGGGTGATAATGTAGAAGAAGCCTTTTTAGAAACAGCGAAAAAAATCTTCCAAAGTATACAAGATGGACGGTATGAAAAATCAACATTTAAATTTTAATTCAAACTAAAATATATTTTAAATTTTATTAATTACTATAACTTTTTATGATAGGTTGGATTTAAATGCAGCAGAATCAGGAGTACAACATAATCCAAGTCAGCCTGGTCGCACTAATTTACAAGGAGTACTAAATGCACAACCTGGAGGAAAAGATAATTGCTCTTGTTAAATTGAATTTTAATTGTATATAGACTCCTTGATACATGTATGATGAGAATGCATTATTATGCATGGTTAAATGAAAGCAAAATAGTCACATGCCCTGTTGGATGCGATGAGATAATTAAAGAAGACGATAAAAATTATTTAAATTTCAAAGCAGAAGATATGAGTAATATATTGTAAACATTTTTATCTAATTTTGTTTGATGAATGTCTAAAGATTTTGTTTACAATCTTTTAATTTTTCTGGAAACTATTAATTATCAGTAATATCTTAAAAGTAATTTTAAATAGGGTTTACTGAATTACAAAAAATTTTATAATAACTAAGAACTAAATTGCATTCCTCTACATGCTTAAATTATCTTAAATTTATGTTATTGTTTAATAGATGGGAACAAGAAAGCTAAAAAGTTGAGAATAGTTTCTACTCTATTAATGGCCACTGAAAGTTTTAAAATCATTTTTTGTAAGAAAATATATATTCTAATTGTCTCGTTTCTGCATGATCTGATATGATTATAATTAAGTGAATATACAATTTCCTGCATACGATTTGTATGGAGGATTTGATGGAATATTTGAACATCCAATAAATGTTACATTTTATTCAAATTTTTTTCCTGGCAATATCAAGAAATTATTTAAAAAATGTTAAATGATTTCTTTTAACAAATATTTTGTATTGTTATTTTATTATGATTTAAAGCATTATAAAATCTAATTTGTACATAATATAATATATTAAATAAGCGTCAAAAATAATGAAAACCAATTTATATATAATCACTTTATATAAATCAGAATAAGGCCTAAACAAGTATACTTTTGAAATTATTTAATTTTACTCTTATCAAATACGTTTCTTTTACAAAATTCCAGATCAATTTCTTATACAAAATATAGTATTCAGAGTCCATAATTTATTTTAGCTTAAGATTTTATTAAATGTTAATAACTTTAATTTTCACTGAAATATATCAATACCTGTTATAGTATTTAACCAAAAGAAAGAATGTGAAAAAATGTATTTTGTTGGTATTTATTTTTCAAGTTATGAATTTTATTTTTTATTTTACACTTTGGTAAGAAACGAAGAAATATTACTTCTCGTTGAATGTATTTTTAACTCGGGTTTAAAAAATCGCAAATATTGATTTAATAATTGATAGTTATAAGCAAAATACACTAATAAAACATGAAAAAGTATTAAAAATTTTCTGAATGCCTTATTCTCTCTTTGAACATTATGGTCTTAAACACCGTAGAATATTATGAATTATTTAAAATTCACAAAATTTTGGGGAAATTTATATCAGCAGTTGTTGAGAGATATCACGCCCTAACTTTTGCTCTCGCACGGTAACTTGTACTGTCGTCTGCTCGGAAATAAAAAACAACAACGACGTCCATCGGACCAACTGTCAAAACGCGCGCCGGACAGTCAGTGTGTCTTGACTCTTGGCTCGAATAAGTCACACATAAATCGTAATTGTCGTGAGTCGCAGCACACAATTTCACTGCGCACGTGTGTTCATGTATACATGCTAGTTTATCTATTTATCTACAGGTTCAAAATGGAATACGGTTTTTGTGATTTATGTATTAACGAAACAGAAAATTTAGAAAATCTTAGAAGGATTTTAAGAAAGCTCTATCAGAGTAAGTTTTTTCAAATTCATAGAAATTGATTATTTTGTCTATTTTTTTATATCCTTCAGGTGGTTACAAGACAATTGCTCTGAATCAAAACTTTGATGAGAACTTGCTCAACACTGTTGACAAAAAAAGGAAGAGCAATGGATTACCGGCTATACCTGAGCTTGAACCCATTGATATAACAGAAATAAAAGAAGAATTTAGTGGAAAATTAAATATCTTACACAGGCTGACATTTTATTTTTCAGATGCAATGAGAATGCACACATTGGTCAGTATTCTGTTTATTTACATTTTAAACTACGTATACATCATGTCATACAATAATATTATGTATCAAAATTTGTTTTAATTAGAATCAGCTGTCAGTCCTGAACAAATATGATTTATATGCTATTGTTCCAAAAACGCAAGCAGCTCTGCAAGTAATTTCAATAATTTTCTTATAAAAGAAGCTTAAATGATAGCTTGATGTAAATTATACTGTCATGTATTACAGATGACAATATCACAGGTCAATGCTGATATAATTTTAATAAACAATGACTGCTCAGGAATAAAATTGAACAGGAGTTTGTACAATCAAGCAATACAACGGAATATGTTCTTTGAAATACAGTATTTAGATGTAATTAGAACAAATACTCGAAAAGATACAATGTCTCAATCACACCAATTTCATGCTTATGGATTGAGTAAAGTAAGTGACTAACATTTGCTTCTCTATGAATTAAGGAATCATTTGAAAACAATTTAAATTTTTTCAGAATATTTTCATTTCAAGTGGGGCAAGTAACGTGTTACATACAAGAAGTACATATGATGTAGTAAATTTGTATCCTTTACATATTTTTTTTTATTTAAAAACTGTATTTATATTTGTTATATCTATCGGTTCAATAAGTTACTTTAATTATGATTCTTGACACAAAACATTATTAGAGCTAGAGTATTAGGAATGGATGAATATAAAGCCAAACTTTCAATACTTCATCAAAGTCACAATGTTATTTTAAAAGGAGGTAATGTAATAAAGTTTCTACAAAAATATGTATGTTGATGAATTTATAATTATTCAATTGTTTTAGAGCAACGCAAACGTTCCATGGCACCATTTATGATTGAATTTGTAAATATGGAGGAGGAAAATGTTGATAACAGAAAAAAATTTGATAATAAACAATTAAATATTATTAAAATGTCCTAAAAAATAAATTATTTTTGAAAAAAATTAATTAATTAATGTTAGATTTTATTTACTGAATTAAACAGTTTTTTTCAGTATATTATAATCATGTACAACGAAACATTACTTTAAACCTTGAAAACTTTTAACAGATATTGTGTTACAATCAAATCAAGCATTGATTTTGTAAAGGCAAAACTACACATTGTTTTTTTGACACATGTATGTTAGATACTTAATTCTTGAGAACATTTTTTACTTCGGCCAATTGAAGATATAGTGTTCATTAAGATGTAGTGTTCTTTTGAATAAGAAATTCAAACACAGGGAATTTCAATTGTAAAAATTAATTTTCGTTACATACTGTACTCATGAAGATCGTCTAAATTGACGTTCAAAGGCTTTTTTGAATATTTAACACAAATTTTTCAAGTTCAACTAATAAAGTTTATTAAGATCGTATATGAAAATAGAAAATGAGGATATCGTCGATATTTTGGCACAAAAGAAAAACTTAAAATGAATATGAAGAAAATTAATTAGCGGTTTAAAAAATATCGATTAATGTCCTTTTAAATATTTGAAAAAATACATATTTCGTATGAATGTGCTGAAAAGCAAATTGTAATAATTTTTTTGAGAAAACATCAGCGTAATCTTTACGATTTTCATTCAAATTTAGTCCTGTGTTGCCCTAAAACATATAGCACGCCAGAAGTTGTGGTTCCCACAGGCCACAACGATGAGTGTGATTCATGCATCGACATTTGACGCGGCTAATCAGTAACATCAGTAACATTGCGGCAAAACTGAGCTGTGATTCTGGGTCTTTGCGAACTGACGCCTGATACTCCATGATATCATTACGAAACACGCCGCTTGCTTCGCTGCAATCGCATTTGATGTGAATATTCAGTTTGCTATAGTTCATTGTTCAGCAAGTCCGAAGCAAATTTTGTAATAAAATTTGATGCAAATACGATAATCTTTAATGTAATTTTTGTCATATAAATATTTCTAAAATTTTTTTTGCTCTCGAAAATCTTTTTTTAGTTTTAATAGTGGTTCTATAAAAATTTGTTTTCAGAGTGATAAAACCGAACTCTGTATTGGCTCAGGTGCATGCTAAAGTATATAAATAAAATTTTTAAACCCTTATGAAACTGTTATAGTTTTTCATAAAAACTCACGATTTCATCCTAAAAAGGTACATTATACAGAATGCAAAGCGTAATAAACTCAGTGAAGGGCACAGCTCTCAGTGTTGCCGAATATTTAACTCCTGTTTTAAAGGTTCGATAATTTTATTAATTATTTATCATCTTAACCTAATAAGCTTGAACAAATTTAAAAAAACTCTAGGGCAGAATCAGCCCTTTTACTTATACGATATTTTATTGCATTCAGGAGAGCAAGTTTAGAGAAACAGGGGTATTGACACCAGAAGAATTTGTTGCTGCTGGGGAACACCTGGTTCATCATTGCCCAACATGGCAGTGGGCAGTAGGAGATGTAGACAGAACTAAACCATATTTACCAAAGGATAAACAATTTTTGCTTACTCGTAATGTCCCTTGTACTCGTAGATGTAAACAGGTACTTGACCTATTAAAATAGGTAATTGTTTCTTAAATAAATTTTATTATTATTATTATTAATTTTTTACAGATAGAATATTGCGATGATCTTGAACAAATTATAGAAACAGATGGTGATCCAGAAGGTGGTTGGGTTGACACACATCATTATGGAGTAAATGTTGGAGGAGTAGAAGAAAAAGTATCAGAAATGACACTTGGAGAAGCGCAACCAACTAATTCAAATGTTGTAAGTTCTTCAGCTGATGATGATGACGAAGATGAAGAAGCTGCTGATATGGAAGCTTTTGAAGTCAGTGGAATGCTTGATGAACGAGATAAGGTATTATTATAATATTTGAATTTTAAGCAATTTTTAATTTTATTTGAACCAAGATAATTTTTTTAACAGTATACAACAGAATCAGTGAAACCCAATAAAGATAAAAAAGAAGCCTTCTCTGAAGGTGAAATTATTAAAACTCGCACTTATGATTTACATATAACTTATGATAAATACTATCAAACGCCTAGGCTTTGGTTATTTGGATATGATGAGGTAAGTCTTTTTGTCAAGTTTTTTTTATAAATGGAATTATAAGTTGTATTCAATTCATACTCCTGATTTAGAATAGGAAACCATTGAATGTTGAAGAAATGTATGAAGATGTAAGTCAAGACCATGCAAAAAAAACAGTTACTATGGAAACTCATCCTCACATGCCTGGCCCTCCTATGGCATCAGTACATCCTTGCAGGTAATTCAACTACTGTCATCATAACTTTTACTTGTGAATTATAATATTTCAATCTTTTAGGCATGCTGAAGTTATGAAAAAAATAATTGAAACCGTGATGGAAGGTGGAAGAGAACTAGGTGTTCATATGTATCTTATAATATTTTTAAAGTTTGTTCAATCAGTGATTCCTACAATTGAATATGACTATACTCAAAATGTTACTTTGACTAGCTAGAGCAAAATCAAACTTGTATAATTTTTCCACAATAATTTTAGAACGATTTTCATTATATTATGCCCCATAGTCTTCTACAATTTATCAATTAAAAATTCTTATAAGAGATTTATATATTTAAGCTTGTGGTAGATGAACTACAGTGTACCTACTTTTAATCCAAAATAATGAATACCTGATATGGAAGAGTGAAATGCTGGTATGAATATATTATAGTTAATTACATGTATAAAACAATGGGGTTGCTTTGCAAATGTCTGGCTCATTATAAGACTTCTGTGTTTGTCTTTATTCCTAATATGATCTGAAAATTGAAAGTAAAATTTTTTTAATGAAGAGCATGGTCTCAACTGTCAAGCTATTTGAAAATAATAATTTGCACAATTAAAATTACAGTTATGTAATCATAGTCATTTTTCCATCTTTGAACAATTTTTATTTTTCATTTTTTTATTTGTACAAAACTCTTAAATATATAAGTTATGTAAACAATTCATTGATATAAAATGTTTATATATTTGGTTAGGATAATTAGTACATGTTATACATAATCATGACAACTGCATCAAAATTAATTATTATTATAGATATAATTTAACTATTGTACAAAATCAGAACAACATGCAGTGTATTTTCAATTATTTAGTTTTTATATTATATACAAATTTCTAAATTTCTCTAAAGTGAATCTTTGATGAATTTTTAATTACAATTTTTTTAATGAATTTGGTGAAATAAAATATATCTAAATGGAAATAACTTAATAAATATTCAAACATTTTTTTATTATTTAACGCTAATACTAATATTGCAAAATGATTTTTTATTGATCAGTAACTGAACGCCATGCCATTAATGCTTCAAAGTAAAAAATTAGAAAACTATGAGAGAGTAATTTGACCTAATTTAATGTTACAAATTTAATTTGTCAATCGATATCGACTTTTATGAAATTTACTTTATCTAATATCAAAATCTAGTCTTAACTCTTAAAGCATTGCATATTCTAAATTAATTTAATTTATATCATATTCAGGTACTCTGATGTTAATTGTAAGGGGTATGATGCATTTATAATCTGTACTTTTTGTCCATCTGGTATTTCAAAAACAATGGCTTGTTCATTACCATCCAGTTGTATCGGATTTCCAGCATCAATTTGATTTATCTGTGCGACTCCCATATTGACGGTGTTCTTATCCTAAAAATACACAAAATCACGGTGTTCAAAAAAATAATTGAAATTTTTTAATTTTTCAAGAAAAAGTAAGTCAAACCTCTAAGATTTGCTCCATATTTTCAGCATCTTGTTGTATATTTGATACTGAGGATGATGAAGTGTTATTTTTCAATGGTACAATAGTAGTAGAGATTTCATCAATTTCTAAAGAGTTTGACGGCTGGATTCGAATGATTTGGTTTCCATTCAATTGATCTACAACTTGTCCTTCAGAAAATAATTGCTTTGCCTGTTCAACGGATAGAGGAATGGTGTTTCCATCTTCATCTGTTACCTACAATTTTATAAATTAAATGAATCAATTTCTTGATGATATTAAAATTGGCTATGTGAATAAAAAGTTTTTTATAAAAATTACCTGAAGCAGTGAATTGGATTCCGCATCAAGCTCTGCATTCAATGATCCATTATTACTTGTCTGTAAGCCTGATTTGAAATTCACTGTGGTGCTAGTTTTGCCAGGAATGGATTGTTTAGGACTTTTATAAGCTACATAAATTATTTGAGAAATTTCATTTTCTGTTGTTATGTTTTCTTGAGACTCATTGACATTAACAAAATTAATATTTTCTTGACCATCTCTCAACCTTTGCCAAATATTTCCCTTAGATTTTTCCACTTCATTTGATTCACGAACTCTATGAATTTTCTTATGTTTGCTTAGATTTGAACAATCTGCAAATTCTTTTCCACATACATCACATTTGTACGGTTTTTCTCCTGCAAAGTCAATTAATTTTTTTTAGCAATTATTTAATAAATTAAATTAAAAAATTTTATTTGCAACTACAAAACATAAGTCCTTTTTATCTTAATGTATTATTTGTTTTGAAATGCTTAACAAACTAAAATAACAATTGATAACAGAGTCACATTTATTTCATAATTAATTATACCTGTGTGACGTCGCATATGTTTTTTTAACGCCCACTGTTCAGTAAATCTTCTATTGCATTCCGTACATTGAAAGGGGCGTTCTCCGGTATGCCTACGCAAATGGGTTTTCCAAGTATCTTTATGCAAAAATGTTTTTCCACAACTTTCACACACCCAAGGTCGTTCCCCAGTATGACGTTTTACATGTAATTTATATTGTGAAGATGTTGTAAATCTTCGCTTGCAAAATTCACAACAATACGGTTTTTCTCCAGTATGAATTCTCATATGCTCTTGCAAATTTCCATTTTGAGAAAAACTTTTAGGGCATTGATCGCATTTATATGGTTTTTCACCAGTGTGAACTCTGAAAGTATAAAAAATTTGTTAAAGTTAAAATAAGAAGTCTTATATTTATATAAATTTGAATGAAGAGTACCTTAAATGTAAAGTAAGACTAGTTTTATGAGCAAATTTTTGTTCACAACAATGGCAAGCAAATCTTTTTTCTCCTGTATGAGTTGATTGATGGTTCAATAAATTTGCTTTGGTTTTGAAAGAAGCAGTACATATTTCACATGGATATGGTCTGTCTTCTGAATGTACTAGCTGATGTCTTTGTAAGAGTTGTTTGTGTTTGAAACTTTTTTCACATTTTTGACACGAGTAACGTTTATGATTATGATGTTCTATTACCTTGTGATGTAAAAGTGCATTTGAATCGTCTAAAATTTGATCACAATCGGAACAAGCACAACCATCATTTGTTAATTTTATCTAAAATATGAAATTTTGATAGATTTTAAAAATTATTCAAATACATGAATATAAATTAATCTAAAAATTACCTGATGATTGAGTTCTTTATGCCCATTCAAACTAGATTGATAAGAAAATGCTTTGTTGCATATTTCACAAACAAATGGTTTTTTACCTAAGTGTACAATTTTTATGTGGTTTTTTAAATTGAAACTTGTTTGAAAATGCTTTTTACACTTTTTACATCGATATGAAACATTTTCATCATCTAAGGCACTCAGCTTTTTGTGTTTTTCTTTTACTTCATCAAGCCTTTCATCAGAAAATTCACAATCAATATCTTTTAATAAATGATCATTATGTGGTAAAATATATGTAATATTTTCTTCATCTTGAGAAACAGTTACTACAGAAGAGCTGTTATCTTTATCTGAATTCATGAAATCGATATTTTTTTGAGAACTTTTTTCTTTTTCATGATTTAAATTTATTTCAGAACATTCTTCATTCCCATGGGAACACAATTGTTGATGATGCATTAAATCTTCCAAAGTATTAAAAATTAGTGGGCAAAAGCGACATTTTTTATTAAAAACTGAAGCATGTGTACTTTCATGTTTGATATACTCGTTGGGTCCTGTGAAAATTTTATTACAGGGCAAACATAAAAATGAATTTTCATTCTTTAATTCCAATTTTTGAGTTGTATCTGATGTTTGGTTTTTTCTTAGTAATAAGATATCTTGTTGTTTAATAGATTTAATATAATTTTTAGATTTATATTCAATCTGAATATTCTTATGTGAAACTGTTTCATTTTGAAAAATATTATCTAATTCTTTTCCTCGTAAGCTTTCCACAAATCTGAGCAAAATATACAAAGGTATAAATTAATTAATGAAAAAATAAAAGCTAATAAAGTATGTTTGAACCTTTTGGGAGTTTTTCTATGCCTTTTGACTCTTTTATCTTCATTGATATTTGCATTAAATTCATCTCCTTTTTCAACAGTTTCTTGGTATTGCGGCTTCCTCAACTTTAGAAAATAAAAAAATATTAATTTAAGATATAACAATGTAACAGTTTAAAAATACCTTTTCCTCTTCATTATTCAAAATTTTTGATTTCTTGCCCTTTCTTTTTGTTTCTTTATATTTGCTTTTAGTTAAAGATTCATTCAAATTGTTTTCTTCTAGTTCAATTACAGAATTATTTTGTTCCATTTCCGCAATTTCAATATAATATTTAACATTGTGATCATTAACATATTTATGATCTATCTGAATTTGTTTTTCCCACATAGCTTGCAATTTCTCTTGACCTCTTATGAGTAATTCAAAAAATTGAGCCGTTGATTCCAATTGAATATTGCAGCCTGGACAAATTGTTCGAGGAAATTTTTTATCATCGTGGACCTAATGGAACAATGAAATTTGTAATTATTTCTGTTCAAACAATTGTCAATTTCCAAAAAATATAATTTATTGTTAATATCGTTTTATAAAATTGTTCATTAAGCCTTCTTTTTTTCTATTAAAATTTTCATGAAAGTTTTTTTGAAAAATGAAATGTCAACAAATATATTGTAAATAATTATTTATATTATCTATCTCTATAATAAATTTCCCGCTTTTGAGAAAACTGCATTTTTATTAAGACGTTTTGATTAGAGCAGTGGCGTTATCTAAGAGCCTGCAATTTGCACGCATAAGCGGTCTTATAGAAGTATCGCACCAGTCAAATGCGAGACGTAGTTGTCAATTTCAAAATAATAGACTTACTTTAACGGGTAAATAACGATTGACCATAGCGCTCAAATCGTTCACTTCAGAGTCATTACGAAATAATAATTCTCCATTTTCATTATCCTCTGCACATAATCGACAAATTGACGAATTATACAAGCAGGGCTCCATCATGACTGCAGTAGTTACTAATTTCTATTCAAATAAATGAATAATTGAACAAAAGCAAAATCATTCGAGTATTTACTTTTGCTTTACTGCTTCCGATGACATCTCTGCATTTCAATTTTTCCCAGAGAGTAATTTGTTATAAACATTTTTTCTTAATTTATTATCTTAGACAAATCACTCAGTCATTGTTGATAATGACATTATTTTCACATTCACACATTTGCGAATAACAAGCTTTACAGAATGGGGTTAGAGTACGCAAACCAAAACACAGCCATGGACGTATCGACAAATATAGAAAGGTTGTGAATGAATGATTGCGACATCAGAGGGGATTTTATCATAACAAACATGCAAAATTTTCATAAAAATCGTCTATTATCGTAAAAATAACTTTTTCCAATAGAGTTTTAATGGCAAAAGATTGTCCCGTCGTTGTAATTGAGGATCAAATATATTGAAGTCAATTCTACGCAATTTTTCCAAGTAATTCTCTATGATCAGAGATGGTAGAAAAATTATTTTAGATTCCTTCTTTATTTTATTTCTCATTGATAAGGCCTGTAAAGATAGCATTATTTAAATTATGTCTAATAAATATATAAATATGAAAAATTATGAAACAACCTTATTTAAATGTTGTTTAGCTCTTGATGATACTTCAAAAATTACATCGTTTAATTCTTTACTGCCTCTACCTTGAAATACTGATTCTGATGAAATGTTATACTTCATAAGTATATCTTGCGGCAATAAAATAATTCGTTTCTGAGCACTATAAGGTACAGATCGAATTAAATTTAATATGCCATGAGCTTTACCAAAATGACTAGCAAAATGATCTGTGTCTACATCTTGAATTCCCTGAGCTTCCAACATCAAATAATAAATAGAAGACACAGTTTGTTCAGCATACTTTTCAACTGAATCTAAATCTGCAAACAAGGATCCATTTAATCGATTGTAACGAGCTTCGATCAAGCGCTTGAAATAGTGTTTGGATAATTTATGCTTTTTCAGGACCTTGAAAGAAATGTCACTTGATTAACATTTTTTGAACACCAACTATTATTATGTATATCAATAATTACCCGATGCAATTCTAAACATGCAGGATTTTTTGGAGGTTTTCCATCAAATGTTTGTTGTAGTGATTCCTCCCAAAATTTTAATCGCATTAAACCTATGTTATCATCACTGACTTGATCTTCTACTAGAGCAATTTCAGTATTGAATGCTTTGATAGCAACTGCTGGTGATCTCAAGTTATTGGGTAAGAGTAAAGTGCACAAAAATCCTTCGTAATCATGTTTTCTGAAAATTTGAGATTAAATACATTTTTTAAAAATCATTTATCTGACTTATAAAAAACTTGAACTTGGTAAAACAAATTCAAATACTTACATCCCTTGAAAAAATTTCCTGTAGGATCCGCGGAATTCCTCCTGCAGGAAATTTTTTCAAGAGATAGAACTAGCTGCCAGCTGTAAAATTACAATAATAATTACCTTATAAGATGTAAACAATATTCAGCAGGAGTTTGTCTAGTAATTGTATTTATTCTTCTTAATTGAATTTGTTTGAAGTTTAATGATTTATAAAAAAATATTCTACATGGGTTCATAACAAATAATACTTGCGATCAATTGATGATAAAAATATTAATAGAACGAAAATTGTAAGCAATTAATATTGATAATTCATCGAACGAGAAATTAATGTTTTACACAGTCCGCGATTCCGCAGTCGGCCTCGAATCTCGACTCTTACGTTGACTAATTTTGAGGCTGTCTGCTGGATCAAATGTCACGCGCAGAATCACAATACAATATGCAAATTAGTTGCAACATTAAAAATAACTTGTTTTAGAAAACTCATCTAAAATATTATTTATTTTCAAATTATTCATAGCAGCTCAATTCAGCATTATATTATTGATAAATAACTCAGCTGCGTCGATTGTTGCAAAAATAAAAAACAGTGAAGCAACTTTGTTCTATTTGATCGTGTAAATTAACGCATTGAGATTTACAGTACGCTTATATATTGTGATTGAGTGCAAGTCATAGAAATGCTTCGATAATTATTTGAATGAATAATTGGTAAAAAAAAATCGAAGAGAATATTTTTCATTTCTATTCTATTAATATTTGTCCAACCGACTCTGATCTCAACTTTAAGTCTCACTGTGTGTTTGAATAACTAACTCGTTAGTTAACAATACATTTTCTTGTTCCAAATCATCATTTTGATACATAGCCATAAGGTATTCGTTTTGCCAACATTAAAAAGCGCTATCTTACGTAGTTTGCACAATTGAAAATCTAAAAATGCTAATATTATCAATTGTGCTTGCAGTCTATGTTTCGTTTGTATGATCCAAGACCGAGATAGAATCATCCCGACTAGCGCCTGAACTGAAGTCTGAGAACTGATCTCGTAACATTATTCGTGCATATATATTTACGTATATAATGTTGGATGGCCTAAGCTGGCTGTGATAAGTGCATCAAAGAGTGAAAGAGAGAGAGAGAGAAAGAATCGCGAGCCGCTTCGAGTTTACTTAATGCGCTAAACTGTATAAAGGAAGAAGCGGTAGCGACGCTTTACTCGTTTTTTTCTCTACTTGCGAGTTGTGCCGAACAATCACAACTCTACTTTAGTTTTTCATCCATATAACAGATTAAAAGTTCAGAAATCGCAATTGCTTCAACGTGTTGATCAAGCAGTCGAATCAGATTCGTTTAATTACAACGTATACAGCAGTAAGTAGCATCATATAGACATAATCTTATGTTACGCATACCTAGCCGAGTGTTTATTTCAAGATTTTTCCGTGCTTGAGTTTAGTAGAGGGTGGGGAGACATTCAATTGTAGGCTGCATTATTTTTACTTGGGTTAGGAATACACCTATTTAATCTATGGGACCACGCTAAGCAACCCAGTAAAGTAAACCTTACAGTTTACACACATCTCTTGGACATATTCTAATGCGCACCGGGTAGTCATACGTAAATTAAATGCGCTCAACTAACCTTGATTTCGAAGTGTATCTGTCTTCATAGACTATTGCTGTTTTACTTTCTGTAATAATATAATATATTAGAATCTAAACATACTTTGATCGGCTAGTGTTCTTCCTGGAGAGGTTACATACAAGTCTAAGAACTGATAAAAAACAAGTGAGTTGGGAATTGCAGAAAGTGTATTAATTGTCTCTATATAAATAGAAATCTGATATATTTTGTTTATGATAAAACTTAGAGAAGAATCTGTTAATTTTTTTTAAAAACTTAAATCAACAGCCTTTATTGGTGTATTTAATTTTATTAAGCTTCATCAGTCCTATTTCAAAAAAAATTTTATTGTTCTAGTAATGAGGCGCAAAAGTGAGCGTAACAAGGCAAAGGCAGCTGTTGAAAAAGTTGTTGAAACAGTCACTCCAAGGCGAACTACTAGAAGAAGAGCAAGAGTATCACCATCTCCAGACAAAGAAGTAGTTAAAGAAAGTGCACCAGTGGTGGATGATAATAACGATATTACTAATATCGAGCAAAGCAATGATGTGGAAGGTACACAAAGTAATGTTACTTCCAGTGAACTAATTAAATCTGTTCTTGGAGCAAAAGAAGAGGATGGAAATGGGTCAGTATGGAAAGTAGCAAGAGCGGATGCATCACCTGGAGAAATCCAGAAACTGAAGTTATGTAGACAGCGTAATACATCAGAAACATCTGAAAGTTCAACGCCAAGTAAAAAAAAATCAAACAAGTGGCAGGATAGTGGAGAAAGCATTGCAGAAGAGGTTGAATCAGCAGATGAGCGTGTAGCAGCTTTGGAAAAGGTTGCTATTAGCCAAAAAGCTGATGATTCCTCTTCTGTAAATCAAGGTCAGGAACCCAAGGAAGAGGTAAGTGATTACAAGGAGAACCTGCCTGAAACCACTTCAGTCAACTTGTCTGATGATCAAACAAACATAGATCAACAAGCTGATTCCAAGGAGAACTTGCCTGAAACTACTACTATATCTTCTCTTAACTCTGAACAACCATCAAACAGTGAGGAATACCAAACTTTGACTAATACTCAAGAGGATCCATCACCAGATAGCAGGGATATTGTAGCTGATTGCGTTGAAAATGAAGCTGTACTTAATCAAGGAGAAGAAGAACAACAAGAAGATTCTAATTTACCTTCTGAATTAGAAAATAAAACTTGTGAATCTCAGCAGCCAACTGATATTAACCTTAATGAAAATAGTTATAAAGTTGTTGCTGAACAAGCTAATGAAGATTCAATACAGGAAACTGTCAGTCCTGATGATGATATTAATCAAGAAAATAATGAAGTTTCACAAGTGAATAAAAAGTATGACACTGAAATCATTCAACAGAATGAAAAAGTTGAAGAAGAATCTCCAAATGCAGAAGAGCCATTAATTTATGATGAAAATACTACTGAAGATATTTCATTAAAAAATGACAATAATTCAGAAAATGAAGTTTTCAATTCTGAAAATAATGCAGAATCCATTTGTATTGACACTGAAAATTGCTTAATAGAAGAGAGCAAAGAAGATGAGGAAGAAGAAGGTGAAATAAAAGATGAAGTAGAAAATGAGCAAAGTCCTCATAATCATAAAAAATGGTCAACTAATAAAAATTCATCGAGAACAGAGAGAAATGCAATTAGTTATGAAACTCATCTGGAAATTTCTGAAAGTACTATGGATAAAGAAGATATTTTAGAAATTACAGATAAATCAGATGATTTAAGTGCATCATTAATTGCATCAAAACCAGCAAAAGTCAGTTTGAAAAGATCGTTGTAAGTAATAATATTTTATTTAAAATCATTATTCAATTTTTCAATAGCATGTTTGCAAGTTTCTTATTACTAAATTAATTATTTGTACAGCAATTCTAGGATACCTCAAGATTCAGAAAATAATACAGAAGATAATTCTGTTAAACAAGTTTCAGAAACAAATCAAAATAAAGTTAGTAAACTATTACAAGTTTTATTAGTTTTTATGTAATTTTATCAAGAGAAAATAATTTATTTATCAATTTCTTTAAGGAAAATCATGCGGATAATGATCAGCCTGATCAAAAATCAACCACAAAAAGACGTCGGTGGGGAACTACTACAATAGCAGCAGGTGTTGGACCAGCTTTTTCTATATCCACTGATTCTTTGAAGGTATTTACAACATCTTTATTCTTAGGTAAAAGTATACAATAATTAAAACTTCATTTGCATTATTTAGGCTTTAGTACCTGGGGCAAAACCTGTATCGCTTAATGAGGTACGCCTAACTAAAGACGATGAAGAAAGAGTTACAAATAAAAGAAAAAAAGAAATAAGTGACAATGAAGAAGAGACAGATTTAACTACAAATTCTGAAATAACCAAAAAGGATCAAAAAACTGACAATCAGACAGGTAAAATATATTATTAATGATTATTAATTTCCATTGCTAACTCATGAATCATGAATTGATAGATTGTAATATCATTGTAAAAAATATTTTTCAATTACAAATTACTCAAATCTGAACCTTAAATTAAATCGATACTATTTTGCTTATTAATACTCTTACATCTCTTACAGCGTCAAGACGAAAAATCAGTATTATTAAAGAGACGCCTAGACCTGCTTCACCTAGTACTGCTGAAGCTCAAGCCACAAATATTTTATTGATTAAAAATTTGGTACGGCCATTTACATTAAACCAGATCAAGGAACTCCTCTCGCGAACAGGAACTATTGTAGAAAACGGTTTCTGGATGGATAGAATAAAATCCAAGTGTTATGTAGAGGTATTTATTATTTTTATTACTTAATTCAAATCATTATACGCAATTTAAATTATTCTAAAAGCAAAATTATTATTATAGTATAAAAATGAAGACCAAGCTTTTGAGACTCGACAAGCATTACATGGTATTTCTTGGCCACTCTCAAATCCAAAGAAATTGATCGTTGAGTATGCCAATAAAGAAGATATGGAAAAAGCATGGGCGTCAACGGTAGATCAGCCTTTAGTCAGAAAAACAGAGCAATCTATTGCAAATGAGACTTGGAAGCAAGATACATGGGACAGAGAAGAACGAAACCAAACCGTAAATAAAGTAAGATTTATCAATTTATTTATAAAATGCACTAACAAATAAGTAAAATAAACCTTCTATTACAAATTTATTTTATAGATAACAGTCATTCGGGAATGGGATCTTGGGAAAGAAGATGGGCTACTTGAAAAGAAGGAAAAGGAGCGAGAGCGAAAAGAAATAGAAAAGAAAAAACGTCAGCGCAGTGCATCTCCAACACATGAAGTTCATCTTCCTGCACCTGCGAGAAAATTTAAGAAGAAAGAAGAGGAGCCTCCCACAGCAAAACTATTAGATGATCTTTTTAGGAAAACTAAAACCACTCCTTGTATATATTGGTTACCTTTAACAAATGAACAGGTAAAATTGATACAATTATAAATAATTTACTCTAATACCGCAATAAAATAAGGCGATATTAATACATGTATTGTATGATTTTATTAGATTATGGTCAAAGAAGAATTAAGACGACAACACATGGCAGAACATGCACGCCGAGTAGAAGAGATACGACGAGTAGAGAGAGGTCGAGATTCACGACGCCGTAGCCGCCCGAGAAAATAATTTTTCACGTTCTTATAATTTCTGAAATGATGCAAACTATTATCCTTATCCTTTCTCAACTTGACCATTCTAGCCCCTCGGCACGACTACGTGATTGATAAAGTTAACTCACAGTTTCCTATTTTTTGTTCGTGTTTCACGAATATGTAAATATTTATATTAATATTATTATTACTATTAATATTCTAAATTGAATTTTTTTATATTTTCGCGTGTCCGATCAAGTACACAAATTCTGCTTTGTACACAATGAAATAAGCCTCGGCAATCAGTAATTAAATAATTTTTCAATTTATTATTCCATTCGTAACACTGTCATGGTTTTTTTATTTTTTGAATAAAAGAATTTAAAAAGTCGTAGCAGTTTGCCCTTATCAAGTCCTTGTCACCTTTCCATATTTTTCCGAAATTTTTCTTTTTAGCCGTGCTTTTTACAGGTCAGCAACGATAATCAGGATGTAACGCTTCATCATAGTTATATTATGCTAAGGATTTACACTGACAAGAAAAATTCACCATGAATTCTTAGATATTTTAAATGCAACTTGCAAGTATCTTATGATTCTGATTAGAATCGATGATATATTAATTAAAAATTCCAAGTATATCTATGGAACAACACAATCAAACGAGTTTTATCTTAAGAGCAGTAGAAAAACTTATTTTGCACTTCAGTTTTTCAAAAGCAAAGTTAAAAACACCAAATTATAGACTAATGTCATTTCAAGATTACAACAATTAGTTAATTCTATAACATTATTGTGGCAAAATTGTTCATCGTATCTAACGTAATGTAAATACATGCATCATTTTTTAGTGGTATTTGAAATGTAAAGTAACTGTTTTACATTGAAACATTTGAAAACATTTTTTGTTGATTCATAAACTTACATTAGAGCTAAATACATCATATGTAGATCTTAGGAATTATTATTAATAAAAGAAGCATTTAAATGAAATTTATTATTTTTATTTAAACTCCTTATTCATATAAGAAAGACAAACAAATAATATGACTGCAAACAATTTATTATAACTATAATTCCAAAATTTACAGTTTTAGTCACGTGTTAAGTAGAAAGGGCATGACTTTTTAAATGACTTGACAATGAAACTATGTTATGGTTCAAGCCTTGTCTTAATAATTTACAAAATACTAGTGTGCATCAGAGGCTTTCTATTTAATTATAAAATAATCACAAATATCACTTCAGATTTAACAAACACTTGCTCCAATGATTTTATCCTTTATTTTGTCTATAAATTAAGAAAGCAAATAAAAAAAGTATTGTATAGAATTTCATTCTTTACCAAAAGTGAAAATATCCTTTCTTAATTTTTAAAATAACTTATCATTATTGTACTGACTTGTATTCTAAAAACAATTATTTTTAGAAGTAAAATAAAAAGCAAAATAATTGGTTATTTTTGTATTAGAAAGTTTAGAAATATTGTAGATAATTTGAATTTAATTTTTGCATCTTATTATCTAAGTTATACAACGATTATTATGATATTTATAAAAGTCACTCTTAACGAGCCAATGTACATAACTAATATTACTTGTATACTACTTCAATTGTCTTTGTAATACAAATTTTTTATTCTTAAGTCTCACTTATGCACCAAGGAAAGATCTTCTGCTTGTAACGTAAATATTATACATGGATTTTAAAATACTTTTGGAGAAGGAAAAAAGTCGTTAAACTTTGTGTATTCGTACAAAAATGCTAAGAATACATAATTGTCAAAATCCATTAATCCGGTTTCCTTGGTTTTAGAAATATACATGGTATCAATCATGTGAATAATTCATATAATAACAAACACTTGTTTAGCTAAATAATTATAGTCTATAGCTCTGACGATGTTATGAATAAAGCATTATGCAAACTGTAGTATAAAAATTATTACAATTTGGTCTTAAAAAATTTATTAATTTTCACAAATTGTTCATATCAAAAGTTTTCAGTCAACTTTGACTACGCTGTAAATTTTTCTCACAAACCAAAAACATGCAAAGAAACCAATGGATCCTGAAAAATGTATAAATTGAAGATTTAACTTATAATACCATTTTAAGAAAGTAGGATTCTTAAATAATGTGAAAAGCAAGTTACCTGTCAACAAGAAGAATAAATAAACCATAATCATAGTGTATCCAAAGTACAGGAAGGTAGAAGTGGCGTCTTCAATATTCAATTTAGTGGCAAAATAGTGTATGCAATAAACTAGCAAATAAAATGCTGTAAATCCTGACGTCAAAAAACTGCGCCACCACCAATGATAATCCTAAAAGTGATATTTATTAAGATGGATTTTCTAACTAGACGTATAACAAGAGTTTATGGCTACTGTCAATTAACTTACTTCTGCACACAGATGGAAGTAACACAGAAGTATCGTCGTTTCTGAACATGTAAGAACAAGAATAAGAAAAACCAAAAACAAGAATCCAAACATGTAGTATGTCTGGCTGGACCTAAAAAGATACATATAAACAATTTAAAAAATCTAATTATTTGATGTTTTATAAGTATCAATTGAATTTTGCAATTACCAGAGTGAATTTAGTATGAAAAACAATTGAATAAATATACATCCAAATGGCAAAACGCCACCCATAATAACTCCAGGAACAGCTTGTGTATAGAAACTCTGTTCAGGAATTTGTCGTGGAATTTGATTTGTACGAACTGGATGCTCAATTGACTAAACATAGAAAAAAAAAAGTGAAAAATATGCTCAATACAAGTATCGCTGCAACATAAAACATTGTTATTTAATTATCTTACCCTTTTCTTGAAACCAAAGTAGGCTCCAACATAAGTTAGAGGAACAGATATACCAAACCATAAAGCTAATATGGCAACAAGAGTGCTAAAGGGTACAGCAGCTGAACTACCTTTAGCCCAGAATATAAGGTTCATAATGAAAAATAAGCTGAAAACAAGTCTAAGAGCAGAAAAAATAATTAACCGTGGTTCCTTATTGAAATGTATAAATTAATATGAAATAGCATACCCTGGACTAAGCATGGAAGTAAGTAAAACATTACTTTTCCACTTTTCACCCCCAAAACTTTTGTAAATCCTTGCTGATACATAACCAGCTGTTGTTCCAAGACAAACATAAAGTATCATTGCACAAGTCATTAATGCTCCTCGATTTGCTGGTGAAAGGAAACCCAGACATGCAAAAGCTATAAAAGAAAAAGGTTTTGTTAATTCAAACTGACAGAAATAATAAAAAAAAAATTCGAATTATATATACCTAAAGTAACCAAAGCCATGAAAAATACTTGAATACCAGAACCTAGAAGAACTGATAACAACATTCCTTTTCTTGGTGGGCGGAAAACGTCCCCATGTACCAGTTTCCATCCAAATTCTTCTTGAGCATCTTCACCAGATTCAATCTGAAAGTAAGCCTGCGTTATGATAACACAGACGTGTCGAAAAACACAGTTTTACACAAACACTACAACAGCTCATTCATTTTTTAATCACGTTTAAAAACAAGTATAACAACATTTTAAGAATAAGCTGTGATTTCAAAATATCAATTTACTCTAATTTTGAACAAATAAACAAAAAAAAATAGGTTCCTTTTAAAAAATAACTTACTTGATTATATCTAGCGATATCTTTGTGCAAAGTGCGAAGCATAATCATGGCAACCATACCAGATAAAAATAATACAATGACTAACGAATTTAAAATACTAAACCACTGAATGTTAGTATGAGGGGTTGATTCAAGAATATAGTCCCATCTAGATGACCATTTAATAGTATTATTAAGCTGGAAAGTGACACTGTAAGTGTACACAATGTCTAATTCTTGACCAACTTTGAGTGGATCAAGTGGAATTTCTAATGGTGGCATTTTTGGACCACAACTAGGATTTTTTTCATTATAATCATGTTTGATACTTCGTGGTGTTACTTTAATCGCTGTAAAATTGAAAAATTGGAATTTAAAAAAATGTTATTAAAAATTATGAAAATCATTCCGTATAGTTCAATGAGACAACTTACCAATTATTCTGCCACTATTTTTAGTTCCAGTGCCCCAATCTTCATTAGCGCCGCTGTGATATGTTATAACCAAATCAACATGATTAAACAAATAATATGTTTTTTCTTTGTTGTATGTGGCAGGCTAAAAAAACATTTACATAAATTATATTTTAATTATTGTATAGACTTTATAATGGAGTAGTTAAGGAAATATGATATTGCAACTGACATCAATATCGCAGTTTTCTTGCGATGACCAAGTATCTCGCATGAAACATCCCATTGGGAAACCAATATTACAGAATTGATAATCATTATTTACGAGGTAGCACCAAGTGACGGGCATATTGTCTGTAAAAGAAGGTTAACATTTTTTATAAATGTATAAAATGCGGTGCAGTCATAATGTAACGTATGTACTTACCAACAATCCAAAAATGTTTATAAGAAAGTTGCATTCCTTCTTTAAGAGTTTCCAATTTTTTCTCATCTTCTTTATTGCCTCCAGTGTATTTTCTTTTACAAACAACTGCACATTTTTCTTCTTTTAAAAATTTAATCTGAAAATTGAGATGAGTTGATGAAATTCTTTAGATTAAGTCTTTGAATTTTTATCTCAATAAAGCGTTCAAAAGATCAAACGTACCTTGTAAGGTGAGTTTCGAATGCGTTCACCAAAAATAACTTGTCCCAAGTTTTCAGCTGGAGAATTGGTTTCATCAGCTTTGCAAAAATCAAAACTGTAACAATAATTTTCTGTTGTAGCTGTTTTAACCACACAAATTCATAATAGTTGAAAATCAAAAGTAATTTATTACTCACTGATGGTATTCATAAGGAATAACAGCTTGCAGAGAACTGAGACGATTGACGTACAGACCTATGTCGGACTGAAAATTGCAATAAAAGTATTATGATAGATTTATGGGAAAAACAAGAACGATTGAAAAGATGAGTAGAATAAACAATTATCCAATTATAAATTATGATTCAGGCACGCATTTAAGATAGGTTATCGAAGGTAGTTGTAATTATTTTACACATTAAGCGTTCTTATCTTTGGAAAAGCCAAGGCAGATATAGCGTAATCGGCATGAAATTAATGTAATAAATACGAGAAAGTTTTAAATGGAGATGTCAAAGGGCTAGGGAAAAATGCTACCTTGCAATTTTCGTTGACTTCTTTCTTTCCATCATCGGGGCAATAATTCACCGGTGCCAATCCCGGTAAATAAAAGGCATGTCCGCTCGCTAATAAAACGGCTAGTAAGACAATGGTCTTCGTCATAATTGTCGTCTTGTTGAGCGATGGCACCAGCTGAACGACGACACTGTGTTTCGGGGGTGCTCGCGCGCTACGAGCTGTTGATGCGACGAGCGAATAACGATGATACCGCGCACAAGGCCAGTCTGTTACGAGTGCACCTAGTACAATGTACGATATAGGTACCTATATGTATTAAGACCTCGATATGATCAAACTCGAACTGACAAAGCTGCGAGTCTGAGACTTTGTCGATCGTACGTCGTAGTCCCGTGCAGAGACACCGCGCAATCCAACTGTTCACTTATCACAACATGAATGATATGGTTACATGCAGAGAAGCAGACCTATGTAGCCACAAGTGCTAATGACGACGATGTAAGTGCCGCTCTCGCACCGACTCTAGTCACAAAAATGAGCCGACGACGCTACCCACTATTTTTGATAAAAGCTCAAATACGCGCTAGGCTTGCTGCTTATCGTCATTTTACGGGCTTGATCAGAGTCAACATATAATATCTATGTTGTACACATACACACACACACACTCACATGTGTATATGTAGCTAGTACTACATATGCACACGCAGTGCTCTGTCAGTTTGTGTTTCTATTTCTGCCATGACACGTCATGAAGTCTGTATATAAAATATGTTATATATATAAATTTTTATGTTCGCAGTGCACTGGACACACGAAGGTTATCTATAGTGTAGTATTTAATATGTTTTAGTATACGGCAGATTGTTTGGAAATTATAATTTGAAGTCTATTTCTTTGGCATAACATTTGAATTTTGTTTTCGATTATAGTATTTTAGTTGTAACTGAACTCATTAAAAACAATTTTCCTCAAAAAAATTTAAATATTTTAGGCAAAAACAGCAGGAGAAATTGCAATTCTCAACTCTTCTCACAGAAAAAAAAATATTGACGCAAACTGAAAAAAATTTTCTCACATTTGATTCAATTAGACAAAATATTTAATTTCTTACACATCGAAGAGTGTGCTTGCGCTCCTTCTGGTATACCATATATTTATTGTCTATTTCACTTATCATTAAACTAGCTTACACAAAACATCATTTGTTAACATTTGGCAAAGCTCTTCCAGCATACTAATGCAGTGATGAGCTGCAAACGCGAAAAATTAAGAGAATTTTAACATTCCCCAAAAAATTTTGAATACCTACAAGCCAAAATGCAACAGTTAATATAATTCACTGACTTTTAGTTATAAAATGAATTGGAATTATTGTTAATTCCTTGATTGACTAATCATTAATTATTATATTAATTAATGCAGTAAATGAATTACAATTGATGCAGTTTATAAACATTAAAAAATTCGTTATTTTAAAAATACAAAAAAAATTTTATTCAGAAAAATTTTTTAATTCCTTATTTAACAATTTTAACATTGTATTTGTTATGATAGTTGCTTGACAAAATATTGGTAAAGCTAAGCTTTATTTTCCTAAATATTATAACAGTAGAATTTGATCTCCACAATATCATGCTTCATCACTTCTTAAAAGACTTAATTAACTTCTAATTAAATAACAATAAACAGTGAAATTGCGTTATTCCGATTTGATTTCCAATCTGTAAATATTTCATTAAATATATAAGTTTAAGGAAGATTAAAATAAATTAGTGATAATCTATGAAAAATACATACTTAATCTTTTTCATTTCACCATTCTCAAGTTCTTGTTCAGTTTTCACATCTGTGAAAAGAGTACGTCGCGTCTGGAAAAAAAATATCATATGTTTATTAAAAATATGCTCATAATCAAACTTTTTAAAATTGTCATTTCTTACATTTTCAGTAAATTGATTTTGACATAAGTTTGGATCACAATTACAATTTCCACAAGATACTTCATTGCGTCTACACGTACAAAGTCTAGATGAACAGTGAGTTTTACAAGAACATTTTACCTCCCCGCTAAATGATCTTTTCATTGGCACAGCTGTAGTGTCCTTTCCAACATTTTTTGTTGTTTTCTGAAATGAAAAATATTAATCAGTTGTATGAGTTAATATCAATCAGTTTTATGAGTATAAACCTAATCAAAATACCTCAAGCTTTTGAATCCTACTGTATAAAGGAGTTTTTGTCCAATCTGGATCATTTTCATCATCATCATCATTGATCATGCTTTCATCTGTAAAACCAAATGAAGTTTCATAGAGATCTGTTAGAGGTTTAGGTTTTGGCTTTGGGTTCTTATTGTGTCTTGACTCCCTTGAATTGCCATCACGTTCAGTTAGAATCTATGTAAATAAAAAAAAAATGTGCAAAGTCGTTAAATTTTTCACTGAATAAAAATAAATGGTTTACAAAAAAACAAGTAGAACATACTCTATTTTCTAAAATGTCAATCTTTTGTTTATACTCTTCAACTTGTTGTTTTAATTGTTCAATTTGTGTATCTTTTTCGGAATCGTCCAATAAATCATCTCTCTGCTCTGGTAAACCCAAATCTTTTTTTCGTAATTTTGAATTAGATTCTCTAATTTCATATTTTTCAATTTGAGCCTTCATTTTTTCTACAGTTTCCTACAACAGAGATACTATTAATATGAAGTATTCAATAACACTTGATATTTAAATGAAATTCTTTACCTCCAAGTCATTGTATTTTGATTGAAGCAAACTAAAGTCTTTCCCCTTTGCTGCTGTAATATCAAATAAGGTTTTCAGAGCTTCTTTAGCATCAGTCATAGAAGATAGTGACTGCCACCTCGTTTTAGCTCTATTTTCTTGATTAGACTCTTGAATATTTTGTTCTAAATTTTTAATTTGTTTATTCCTCAACTCGACAAATTCCATTAGTTCTGAAATCTGAGCTTGATTTGACTGTGACGGTTGAGATTCCTTTTGTAATTGCAATTCAGCCAATTGTTTGGCAAATACAGCTTTATCTTTTTTCAGTTTATTGAGAGTGCATTCTGCATAAACTGTACTGAGTAATACTTCTAGCTCTTGTGTTACCCAAGCGTGAATATCATCTTTTGCATTGGCAGTTTTCTCTTTTCTCAAAGTTGCACGCTTTTGTAAATCCAAGGCATCCTGATAAATTAAATTTATTTTTTAGTATTATTTTCATTTAAAATTAAGAGAAACAAATTTGACCAGAACATACTTTTAGTCTTTTTTGAATAGCTTGAGCTTCTTCCATTTTTCTTCTGAACACATTCTTTTGTTTGTTGTGCTCAGCCTGCATTTTGTTGATTTGATTAAGTCGTTTTCTATCTTGATCTTTTAATTTCACAAGCTCCTGTTCTCTTGACCTTTTCCATTTATTAAATTTGTCAGTTTCAGAACGCATACTTCGGATTAATTTCACTTTGGTTTGTTTGAGATTCGTTATCTCATTGGATAGACTTTTTATTTGAATATCAGATTTTTCTTTATTTTTGATTACTTTATTTTGTTCAAGACATTTTCTCTGCAATTCAGCAATTTTTTTCTCTAACTCCTGTACTTTTTTACGTCGTGCTTCTGCCAATCTATTGAATTGAGATGATCAAAATTTTAATAAAGTATTTGCATAATTATAAATTAATGATTTTCAACTTACTTTGCACTAGCATTATTAGCCTGAACATTTTTCAATTGTTGTAACAGTTCATCCTTTTCAGCATGCAAAGTTTTAATTTCTTGCTCCATTTCATCCAACTCTTTTTGGTACTCTGCTACTTGAGAAGAATTTTTCAGCAAATTAGATACCAATTCTTCTTTTATAGCTAATTGTCTATTAATATATTGAACATCCTCAACTCTTTCTGCTTGTTGTAAAGTATGTTCTTCATGTTTTTCATCTAAATCATATGTCTCATTGTGTATATTTGGATTTTCTATGCTATTAGACAAGATTTCTGAATTGGTACTCAAATCATTGTTACATTCCATGGATAGTTCATAAGTAACAAGTTTGTCTATTGCTTCTTTCTGCTCTTTTTGAATAGCTAAAAGTTTCATTAGAAATAATATTTCAAAATATAAGAGGCAACCGATTATTATATATAAATTTTCTTACCCATTATTTTAAAGCAAATATTTTCTAATTTGGTTTTTTGACTTTCCATCGTAGAAGAGTCACTATCAAATTCCTTTAATAAATTTTCGCAATCTTCCAAAATAGCAGCAATAGAGGTTTTAAATTGCTCCCTAGATTGTTCAGCTAAATCAGCTATTTCATGCATATGTACCATTTCTGCTAGATTACTATTTAAAGTTTCAGTGAGTCCTCTAAGTTTTCGCTGAAGTGATCGATTTTTCTCTACAAGTTCTTGATGTTCTGGAGGACAACTATTTCCATTGTTCACATCAGGACTGGTGTACAAAGCTGATTGCAATTCTTTTATTATCTTTTTTAGATTTGTTATTTCAGCTATGTGTGGATCTTGATTGACTATGGGTTTGTTTTTAATCTTTTTGGCACGGTCCGCATACCTCAAAGTACTTATTGTTTCTTCTATATTATAGTCTGAGAAACATTATTTATCTATCAATATAACTTTTTTTTCAATTTTAAATATTTTAAATATAAGAAATATAAATACCAGCAGGACTAACACATGCTATCATGAGCGTTACAGAGTTTCCCCCAAGTGAATCTTGTAACAACCGAGTAAGCTTACTATCCCTGTATCCAACATAGGAAGAATTACCATTTTCTCCAAGTTGTGAAATGACGTTTCCAAGTGCTAGGAGGCCTTTGTTTATATTAACACCTTCTTTAAATCTTTCCCCTGTAGCTTGTGTTTTTTTACTTCTTTCAGATCCAGCTAAATCTACCAAATGAAATTTGGCAAACTTTGCGGAATCCCTTAAAAAAAAAACAACTATCCATTCAAGTTTAAATTACAATTTTAATACATATAAAAAAGTTTATACTCACGGTTCATTCTTTTTTTCTTGTTTAACAGATATTGTGAAAATGGCATGACTTCTACTGCTCTGCACATTCATTGCAGTAGCACCAGTGGCTCGACACAAAGAGCCCTCAGCTAAACATTGTAATGTACTTGCTGTATCATTAACTGGCACTTCTGTTAAACCGACAATCCTGATTCCTTTGACATCCTCACGAATGTCAACAGCGCATTGATTACGAGGTTTCTTCGAAAGTAAATCATACAGTTGCTCTTTATATAATTCCATAAAAGAAACAGTTACAGTGAAATCCCAATCTTTTTTTAGTCCAATTTGTTCAAAAATATCATGAACAGCTCTAGGAATAATGCCACAATTTGCATCATTTTCATTGTAATTGGTACCCATTGAAAATGTTTTGCCACTTCCAGTTTGACCATAAGCCAAAATAGTTACATTGTATCCTAAAATTACAAAGTTGAAATTATAATTAATGATTGATGCAGAAAAAATCATTCATAAAATCCAAATAACTACCTTCAAAAATATTGGATACCATATTTTTAATAGCAGAATTATAAAAATGTTCTTGTGAACTATCTGAAGCAAATACATAATTGAATGTAAATGCTTTTTCAGCTGAGGGAATATGTATTTGTTGCTGCCCAGGAATAACATTAAGACATGTTTGAGAACCTTTATCAAGTTCTGACTGTATCATAGGTCTTATCCTCACAGCTACTTTTACTAAATCATCTGTCATCTGCCAATGTATGAAATTATGTATACATAGAAAAAAATGAATTTATCGATATTAAAAATGAGAAAAACACGAATATACCTTAAATAAATATTAACTGAGTCTGGACAAACTTCGGAAAAATTAAACAACGAAATTAGTAGACGAAAACAACCCTAGTTATTGAACAGTTGAAACGAAAATCAATTTTTGACCTTTGATAAATTAGTGCCTAGAGTAATCAATAACATAACTAAAGAACATATCACAACTCGGAACAAATTGGAAGTTTTAGACACTGAGTTTATACGCGAAACACTTGACACTTATTTAAAAACGATGCCAATCGAGTCACAGGATAAAGGAGTCCTCGAGGGCGCCAAGTACTAGACACCATTGGAATTAGCGAAAGTTAGGACCAGCGGCTGTTTGGCGCTCGGGCAACATTTCCCAACCGTAAAATTTAAATTCAGCCGTTGTTGTTAAGTAGCGACCTCTAGTTGAACACGTCGAGTTTTTTAATTTTGTTGCGTCGATCTTACGGCGCTTTGCATCGTTTATGAATATATAGTCAATTTCTGCCGCTGCTCCAAGCTCCGCCTTCTTAATGCCTTGTGACTCTCAAAACTAAGACTGGCTGCGACTGTGATACGTATAAAAGTTTTCATAAACTAATCAATCTTGAGATGTGAGCACGAATATTCGTTCTTTGCGTACATTTCACGGTTCCCAATCACTGTCCTGAGAACGGCGCTCGATACAAAAGCGACCAAATTGAAATCCGTTATCCAAGAGCATCTTTTTTTATAATTTTTTTGTTAAATGGAAAAATTAGATAAAAACTTCTAAGATTATTAGGGCGATGTAAAACTGTTTCGAATTGTAAGCCTAGTCGAAAGTTTTTATTTTGACGATTAACAGGAATTGTTATTATTCGTAACAGCGTGGAATCTTGCTAATCATGCATAAGTTAACACTGAATTTTGAGTTTTCTTCGATAGGTTCAACGACGTTGCTGCAACTTAAATGCGATAGTTTTCCTTGAGACGAACGAGGCGAAGTCTATAAGTAATATAGAAAACATAAAGAAGAACGAAGTGCATTGGAAAAAAAAAGCTCGGGTCGACAAGAAAGTGTATTGCGGAGCGTAGCAAGCAATTTTTCGATTTATGAGCAAAGCCGCGTGTGCCGCTCGATGACTCGTGCGGGCGAAAGCGAAGCCGATCATATTTAATACGAATCAAAAGTTCGTGTCTTATATGACATTTCAATCGCAACGGAAAGACATGTGCGACATGTGGACACTTCCTGTGCGCACATTGAAATGTTTGATCAGCTTGTATAGGCGTAACAACGTGTGCGTGCACTGCTGCAGGGCTGGCAAAGATTACGTATCGTCGAAACGTTCTCCGGCCAAGTGAAAAGCTCGCGATGCTTTCGGATTAACTGCCATGAAACGTCGTGACTTTTGCTTCGATTTGGATGTTGCGACTGCACGACCGATTAGCCAAGCTTTTGAATGTCTTTCGATCTAGCGACGCGCATCCAGCTTGAAGTTTGCGCGACATTTAAAATGATATTCCATAATTTTGAATGAAGATTCGAATCGATCGTATGTTTATGTACAAGTGGCTCGGACGCAAAATACGAAGCTTAATATGCAGTAGATACTGGAGCAGAACTACCTGACCGACTCGCGCGACATCGCGAAGTCGAACAGATACCTACCGTACTGGCGTTTATACAGTCGCGCGCTTGCTTTTGGCAAAAAAAAAAAAAATCATGAGCGTGTGGCGCGGTGTGCGTGTCACTGGCCCTTTGGCCGTGCTCGACTCCTCGTCACTCGCCATCTCCGCTCTTCTCTCTCCCACCATATAATTTCTGCAGGCTCATTCTTCGAGCGCAAAAGGAGGAGTAACCGAGCGCGTCTTGCTTACGTGTGTGTGTGTGTGTACAATAAATACGCGGCGGCAGCGGCGGCGACCACCACTACACGTATACAACGTAATATACAGACTGCAAAATACGTGTGCACCAACACAGGCTTGTGGACACGTATATACGTAGTACACACATATTCTCGGCGGACGCGCTGCTGGTCTGCAGTTGGCTCGCTCGCGCGTATATACCTACTCGGGCTCACTGGGTGCAATTTTGCTCGTGTGTGAGTGAACTGCATATCGGTGCGCGGAGGCCCGTATAGACGACGACGGCGGAGCAAAGAGCCCAAAGAGAGCTCGAAGAGAGCCAGCGGCCGAGTGGCATGCGACTTCAGTCGAGTTCTGCCTCGAGACAAGAGAATCGACCAAAGAGCCACACATACACAGCCTCTCTTATGCTCGTCTAATACCTATACGTACATAGGAGAGAAAACGAGCGAAAAAGAGAAAGAGAAAAGTGCCGAGTACAAGAACTGCTACTACAGTGGTGCTGTGTGTGTGTGTGTGTGTGTGTGTTGCATGCCATGAGACAAAATTCCTCGTGCGCGCGCCTTGCGTATCGTGGTATTATTGTATAGTTCGATCGCCGCGGCGGTGTAGCAGCAGCAGCAGCAGCAGCAGGCAGCAGCGGAGCCAAGCACAGCGAAGCACAGCGCACAGCTCCTGGCAAAGAGTACGCTACACACTCTCGCGCGCACACACACGTACTACAATACATACGCTTGGGCTGTCGTTGCCATTTTATATTATAGTAGTGAGCGAGCGCGAGCCAGCAGCAGCAGTAGTAAGCGTGAGCCAGTAGCAGCTCATCTTGTGCTCCGAGTGTGCGTGTGGTGATATTATACGTGCAAGAGAGAAAAGCGAAATTTTCGTATGTGATTTTCGGGACACACGCGCGTGTTTCTGTGATACGACTTCGATATTCTACGTTAATATATATATATCGTAAAAAGTATAATGTATATATAGATATATAGAAATACATATATTTATAAATGCATGAGGTGTGTGTATGTGTGTGCGTGTGATATATGGAATACACGACATATATGTATTTATATACGAATATAAGTTGCGCGATTCAGTGCTAGTGGAGTATACATAGAGATATATAGATATACTACGTTGGCCGCTGCGCTATCCGGCGTAATAGTATATTCTTGAAGGTGCAACGACACCGTTCGTTTCTCCAATTATTCCTGGCGGCATCGAGCGGCAGCTCCCCGTTACGAACGACCTATTCGCACCCACGCACTTGGACGATTCGATGGACAGGATGCTTCGCGTCGATTATCCATAGGTGAGTCCGTTTTCTCTTTTTCCAATTTCGAGTTTCTCGGGGACCGTACAGCGCAACGAGCGCGCGGCACGCATTTTTACCCGTACAACGTTCTCGGGTCTATACGGCATCAGAATAGCGAAGTGTATAATAGCCAAGCGCTACTCGGCGCGTCTCTCTTCGGTTGACTTTCTGTATACACATAGACCGCGAGCTGAACAGTCTACCTAGAGCTGCTCCTTCGTCGGCCGAATGCCGCGAGCCTAATACAATTTTAGTTGTTTCCCGGCGACAACAACCTTTGGTTCTACGTATACGTGCCTATATATGTGCGATTAACTGCGAGAGAGCGGAGAGCGAGCGAGCGAGCGATAGAGGTTAGGTAGGCATACATAGTAGTCTTTGGCTCGAGCCAGAGAAAAGGGCTCTGCTTGGCTTTGATACGTGTATTCGTATAAATGGAAGAGTGTTCTGCGCCGCAGCGCGACTGCGTCGAATGGATCATGGATGGGCGCTGCAGGCTGCTGCCACCGCCGCCGTAGCACCGCGACGAGAAAACACATCCAGCCTTTATACATCCCAAGCGATGGAAAGAGAAAGACCGAGAGAATTCGGAAATCCCTCTGCTCTCTCTCTCTGCATTAAATCCAACTCTCGATGAAACGGCTTCGCGTTTCATACGCGTATCTTGCTGCAACTGCCCGTCTTTCTCTCAAACTCGAAAGTATACTCGCACCCACAATGTACATGTGCCGAGCAGTGGACGAACGTACAACTTATGACTCCAAGCAGATGAGTCCGACATATCCTTCGAACGGCTTTTCTTGAATAATAGACCGCGATGACATTTGGCAAGCCTGGAAGATGTTGAAGTGTTAAAAGTTTCGATACCATTATCGCGTTTGCTCGAATCTGCTTATGCTTTAGTTTGGGAAAAAAATGCCGTGTACCTAGATCGCGTACAACGGTGGCACAGCAGGCAGAAGGCAACGCTGCTGCCGCCGCCGCCACCACTACCGCCTCGTCTTCGGTTAATTAGCCAAACAAAATGGACACCGCCGTCAGTGCACAGTAGGTAATGTATATAGTAGCAGTATGCGTACATATTGAGCTGTAGCTGTACTCGTGTCAGTGTCTTTGTCGCCGTCGACAAGCAGATTTTTCCAGCTCTTCGTGCATACAAACAAATTTTGTATACTCTGTGCTTTTATGCCCGATGATATATATACGTGTCATCTTGTACTTTGCGAGTATCAGCAGCAGTAGCTGTGACGACGACTGTTTCATATTGTACCCCGCACTGTTTTCTCGTTGCGCTTGTATTTATTGTATATTGTCAATGGCACGGATCATCACGGTTTGATTTAAAATTGTCAAGCTCACGAAGATCTATTTCTTTTATATGTGTAGGATGTTTCGTTCAACGTTTCTTACGATTACGAAGGATTACTCGTCCAGCTTCATCAAAACAAAAAGAAATATTCTCGTACAACAATACACGAAGAATGTATCAATCCAAAAAAATTAAAAATTCATACTCTGTCAAAGATGTAAAACAAAGCTCGAATAGGGTGAATGATCTTTCTTTTATGTTAGATGTAAAAAAAAACCTTCCTGCCTTTAAAACGGCTGCTCTACTTATTTATTCTCTCGCCATTCTTCGAATTTTTCGGGACGGAAAAGGCATTTTCGACGAATCGATTTCAAAAAAGTCTGCGTACATACGATTGAGCAACGTTTTCCGTTACTACATCGAGTGTGTAGGCCCACGTCGACAATATAGTGTAACACTTGTTGTTATAATTATCCGAGTAATTTTGACGAATCGTTTATTAAAGTCTTGACATTCGACGCCGACAACTTGCATAAACAAATCTTGGTGAAATAATCAAAAAACTGCACCGTGTTTATTAATACATCGTGAGTTTAACGAATGAGAGATAATGCAATTTATAATTATTTTTTGATACTCATTTTTGTCGATTCAGTATAATACTTATGAGCTTTAATTAAAAACGAAAAAAAAAGAAAAGAAGAAACTACTCTTATAGAAATATCATTTTTGAACCTATTTTCGCTCTCATACTCGGAATAATAAAAAAAATATCGAATTGAGAATTATATTACGTATAAAATTACGTATGTAACGGTGAATTCATACGTGGGAAATAAGGTTTTGGTACACAGCTTAAAACTAAATTAAAACATTCAAGTTTTTGGGGAAATTAAGTAAACAAAAAGTTCATAAGAACCGGACTGAAATTAAAATGAGCTTACAATTCTTGTCAGTATGATTATACGTTACTAAAATTTAAACTAATTCATTGTTGCAATACTTTTGAGAGTTTGATGAAAAAAACCTCGTCGTATCGTAGTTTACCACCCGTGACATTAATTATGGCATTTTCTAATATAATCGTTAACGTTTTTTGTCTAGTCTCGTCAAGAATCATATCCGCTGTTAATAAACAAATGTATATATATTATTATGTACGTGAGGGTATGCTATCTATCGCTGCGAACGCCTTGGTTTAGTCTCGCGGTGTGTTCACCTTTCGCGAGTGAACGCGAGCGCGCGCCCCAGCGAGAGAGAGAGAGAGAGAGAGAGATTGGAGAGGAGCAAGGCTCTCGCGCGCAAGAAGCGCGCCTGCCACGCTGCTTTTCTTGCGCGTATGTGTGTGCCTGTGTATATATAGGACTGCCCAGTCACCAGTGCCGTACAAAGACTTCCCAGTTCCAGGAATTTTTTCGCCAACTCTCGATTACACACACACATACGCACATACATCGGCGAGCGTTCGCGCGCGCGCGCGCGACTCCAGTATAGACTCCGAAACTTGCGTATGTGTGTGTTTTCATGTACGTTTCGGATGGTTCGTAAGCTGCAGGCACGACTTTTATCTGATTAATTTTCCAATTTTTCATAGTTTTTGAGACAGAATTTATTGTGAAAATCCTTGTACTCATGTAGAAGTCTCAAAGTATACTCTCTCTCTCTATATATGAGGTCATTTTCTTATTGTCAATGTCAATGTCAAAGGTCCCCGCAAGAGCAGTATACACGCGGCAATCGATTCTGAACGCGGCGCAACTTTTACTTCTTCTCTGCGTGTCGCGCTCGGCGAGACAAACTTTATATTTTCATGGAAGATATCATGCAGTTGTAGATTTGTCAGTCGTCGTAATGGCACAAGACGAAACGGCACCGAGCCGTTTCGTTGGGATAGTCGCCATCGGCAAGTTTGATTTGGATGATTTTTGCGCGTTTAGTCGTCGTAGCTGTTGCTGTTGGCTCGAGCCGCAAACCAGGTGCTAGGCCGCGCGGCCGCGTATACACGTATACGCACACACGAGCGTATTAAACACAACACGCACGGCACGTCGGGCTTGGACGCGTTCATTGCTCATACGCGAGGCGAGTGCGGCAGTAGTGTTGGAAAGCGATACTCTTAAACCCTTCGCGTCATGTTCCGTTCTCGTCCCCCTATATAACATATTCATCTGTCGCTTTTTTCCCTACGCGGCGACTATATATAATATGCAGGCGCGCGAGCGAACCATATAGATTCGCATAGGCAACATTTGTCGCGGCAACTCGGGCGTTTTGTCACTCGGAGTAGGCTAGCTAGTTTTACGTGCGCGAGCGTGTAAAACTCAAACAAGAGCAAACAATGCCTCGATGTTATTAAGCGACGCTTCGAATGACCCGCTTTTAATTTGAGTATGTAACAAATTGTGTACGAGATAAGGCTAGAGCGTGGCCGTGATAACAGAATTTCCCAGAGTCACGTGCTTGAACGCTGCTCCAATACACAGACAACGCACGGAATAAAGAGCGAGCCCACTCGTAAGATACACGAATCGAAAAAAATAACGTCTCTCTCTTTCTTTTCTTTCCGGAAATTGGGAGCTAACGCGATGTCGCGTGTATTCGTTGCTGCTTGGAATCAGCTGCTATTAAATAGAAAATACTAATGAAGCCGAGACTCCAAAGAGAGAGAGAGAGAATTTCGGAGTCGTATGTGTGTGGGTCTTTCTCTTCTGGAGAGTCGCTCGCACACACACACGATACCACGTACACGTACAAGTAATCGAATCGATCGGGCATTTACGCGCGCCTGTGTACGCGTGTACCTTCTATATATGTATATACATGTATATAGACGGGATAAAACTGCTGTGGCATAGTCTTGAATATGGCTCTCTCGGGTGGCGGTGGCAGCGGGCGTCTCTCTTTTCATCGATATAGGCTCTGCTGTTGCCGCCGCCGCTGCTGCTGCTGCTGCTGTGGCGCGCGCCAACCCAAACGAAATAACGACTCTGCTCGCTTATATATACATGTGTATATATATATTATGTGGGTTGGTTCCGCGGGTCGATGGGCGAAAGAGAAAGAGAGAAAAAGATAAAACGAGAGAGAAGCTCTCGCGCGTAGCCGGGAAAAATGACGAAATGTTGCCATAGGTCCGTCCGTGAGCGTACGCACGCAGCAGCAGCGAAATATCGTTCGATTCTGTACGTGTACATGTATAGGCGCACACCGTCAAGCGAGTTTGAGCGGGCTAAAGAGGGGTGGGTGGGCATCATCTCTCGCTCTCTCTATGAATCCCGGCTGCGTATATGCGCCTGCATAATACGCACAGCACCTATATGACACATAGATAGGTCGATCGGAGGCTGCGAGACGCCTCCTTGGGAAGGGGCTGCTGCCCGTTGCGATCGTTTCGCAGCGCGTATAGACAAGGGTTGCGAGGCCAAAAGACGAGTTGGTCGCTCGAGACGGCTCGAGGCCTGAGACGGAACGAGCGTCCGTCTGTTGCTTCGTCGTCTCGTATGTACATTCAGCGTGGTCATTATCTCTCGAGAAACTAGTGGCACATGCCAACTTTCCCAAACTGTTCCTGCTAACCGAAATGTATCACGTTGCGTCTTGAACACTCGATATAGCGTACATGTAAGCACGCTTACGGATACCTAAAGCTCTGAAACGTTCCGAAAAGTATAATCTCTATTTTGTGCGTAAGCGATGAACCCACACAAGTCGTATATACAAGAGCAGCCAGAGACGCGACATACATACGATCTAGGTACTGCACTGTTGCCGATGCTGCTACTGCTATAATACGTGCATCTGCGCCCATGCGATGGTGTTATTGGTGTATGCTGCATGTATATAGGTATATATACACGTATATAGACGCACACAACGACGCGCGACTCACACTAGCTCGGCCTCGCCGTGTTGAGCTCGGTTAGAGAGAGAGAGAGAGAGAGAGAAAGAGCAAAAAAGTCATGTAGCTCTTCTCTATAGGTATTGGTTTATGTGTGTTTGTGCACGCATCACAGCTACTTCGGAGCAGAGCCTGAAGAGGGAGTATCCATGTAACTGCTTTTTCAGCAGCAGTCGCGTGTTTGCTTGTATGCGTGTACTGTGTATACGTATACGTATTATACATATACACCGCGAGGAAGCGAAAGAACACTGAACGGAGCCGTGCGCGGCCGGAGCGCACCAGCGAGAGAGACAGAAAGAGCGAGAGAAAGCATCAGGGGTACCGACTTGCTTGGCGCAATATGTATATATGTATAGGCGGACTATACGGAGCAAGCGCAGAAATTGTACATCATAAATAGGAGCGCTGCACACACACACACGTACGACATGGTACATTTAACATTACACACACACAGAGTCAAGATCGTCGACTGTGTTTCGCTCGCTCCAATGCGATACTTGCAACGAGAGAGAAAGAGATGAATCGAATCTCCATCGAATGTACATATAGACTCGGCAAAAAGAGTCGCATTCAAGGGAATAAACAGCAAAGTACATCGCGAGCGGCAAAAGCTTCGATATATACAGGCTCGCACTCGGGGAAGGTTGGTGTGCCGAGAGGAGCTTTGGTCCATCTCTCTCCCTAGTCCTTATGCACACATACATGTATAAAAGTGGACAGCAACATCGGCACTCGGCAGCAGCGCCAGCAGCAGTGAAGCAGTCCCTTGCGCGCTTCGTGTATAATGCGGTATACACTCGACAACGCGCCTCTATGCACGTATGTGTACGTGAATATATATATAGCGTGTGTATGTGTGCGGGTGTGTGTGTGTGTGTGTGTGTGTGTGTGTGTTGCGGCATATACGTAAAATCGCCTTGAAACGACTACGCGACGACAGTGGCGGTGGCGGCCATCGTCGAATCGAATGCGAGCAAGTATTATGTGTACATGTATGAGTGCACGTGAATATACCTATATATACGCGGCTTGAAGTGCAAGAGCGAGAGAGAGAGAGAAAAGCCCGACACCGGCCCGCTTTATACCGACAGGACTAGCGCGTATCCAGTCGGGCAGCAGTCGTAGGCGAATATCGCTCATGTCATCAGCGGACTCGTCCTTGTCCTCGGCGACGCTCGTCCTTTTCAATCGTAAGTCGTCCTGGCAAGTCAATGTCTGTGTGGCCATCATCGGTGCTTGTGTGTGCGCGAGTGAGTGTGATGATACGCTTCCTGCGTTCGATCTTGGAGATTTGCTGCTGCTGCCTCGCTCGGTGCGCAGCGTAGCACAAAGTCGTCTGCTTTGCACCGGCGGCGAATAGGCAAAAGCAGAGCCTCGTAATTCGTGTACGCGATCGCACGACCGCATGCTGCTGCTCCTCCTCCGACTCGGCCCTCTCTTGCTATTCTACTCATCGATCCTTCCACTGGCCGCTCTGCTCCTTTTCCAATGCTTTTCGATCGATCCCGAATAAAACAGAGCCAAGACTTGCCCTGTTGTCTTGATCGCTGATTCGATTCCTAGCCCTTGTTTTCGACCCGACACCTCTCTCATTCTCTTTCTCTCTCTCTCGCGTCGTTGCGATTACGTCAGAGGCGCCGTGTCTCTTGATTCTTTATACACATCGATATAGATACATTTTTATACCTATCGCACTCACGCATGCCTATCGCGCCTTCAGCCTCCGGAACAGCAGCAGAAGCTAAAGCTCCGACGATACTCGTGCCGTCCTTTTCTCGTTAGTTATACCGCGAGTGCCGATGGTACACCTCTATGCTCGCCAGCATTTGCTCTTAAAGTTGCGCATCTTGTCTACCTATATAGACAAACCAACAGCTATTTCCTATCGTCGACTCATAGTTTGTCCTGTCACTGCCGCTGCTACTGCTACTGCTACTACTGCTACTGCATTTGCGCACGCCTCTGTAGGTATATATGCTTGTACGCGTGTGCGAGTCTCTTCCCTCTGTGCGTGCGGCTGTGTCTGTATGTGTGTGAGTATGGATAGATAGAATCCACTGCTGTATATATATATGTATATAAGAGAAGTGCTAGCTCTGAGCCGAGCCGAAAAATCGATTTTCTCTCGCGACAGCACGGCTCCCGGCAGCAGCAGCAGACGCATTGGTAGACTCACAATACATGAAAGCACGAGACGAGAAAATACGTCGAATTTCTCTCTTTCTTTCCCTATCTCGCTATCTCATCAGACATAAATACACATACACGCACATTTATAAATCTATATATGTTTACTATCGTAAAGCGTTCGCGTTTAAAAGCTTTCGATTCATTTCGCGAGTATCATCCTAAAGTTGCACATTTTGCAGTTGCTTGTTCGTGTATTAGTTTTTTAAACCGATCAGAGTTGTCGCTCTACGCTGCATTAACTCTTACCGAGCTGACTCTGACATTCGAGTAAAAAAAATTTTGTTCGATACAACTTATCCATTTCAATGCCAATCGACCATCGACCTCAAAAGAACTAATTCGACTTGGCTTTCGAGACAAGGCTTTGCATTTCTTGTTCTAGACTTTAACTTATTTTTTCGCTACTATAAATTTTTCTCAACGAGGACTGAGTAATAATATTCCTGCGATCCGTCTGTGCTGAGCCGATGAATTGCTCGGGTCAAACGATTCCAGAATAATGCCACGAAGAGGAACGAGACAAAAGTCGAGCTTGCGATGACTCAGGGGGAAAGGTTATATCGGTTATGAGTATATTTGAATTCCATAAGCGTATAGCTTTTCCCCTTGAGTCTTAGCAGCTTCAGCTCGAGCTTTATCATCGTCATCGCCGTCGTCATCAGCAACAGTAACAGCAGCAGCAGCAGCTGCCTGCACTTTGGTGCGCCTGTTCAAAAAAGTCCAATAAGAATATAAATCCGTCTGTTGCGCCAACTAATTTTATCTTAAGCTATAATTATCCTCTCAGTCTGTCAAGTCCCTTCTCGCGCGCATAAGCACGCACACGCGCGTATTATCCTCCTATAGGCCAATTCGGAAAGAGCCTCAACCGTCGTCTATTAGTTTTGACGCGAGAAAACGAGAACGCTTATAGATGTGCGATACAACATAAAATATATAAATAAAAAAGCTTGCCGACATTTGCCGAGATAGCGTGAATACGAAATATTTTCTATACACTTTTGTGTTATATGTGTACTGATAATAATTTACGTAGTTGATTATTTTGTGTAAAGTCAAATTTTATAATTATGTCTTTGTTTTTGAATTTTGCAGAAACAGAACGAAAACGATGGAATCAGCCCCAGCTGTTCTCATAAGTTTGAATAATCAACAAGTGAAGAAGACGAAGACGAGCGGTCAGTGGGATAAAACAATATCGACGCTGCGCACTACTGAAGCGATGGAAGAAGAGGCGAGTTCGCATCGTCTAGTAGGAGCTTAAGTTTCCGGGGCCGTATTCCAGGCAATGGAATCTTACGACCTCTTCGGCGACGATGTCAGTGGTTCGATGCTCGAAAGTCTCTCGGAGTCACTCGGGACTAGTGCAGTTGATCAGTTTGAAGCAGCTAATAATAATCCCTCAGCCAATCGTCCAAGCAGCTCGGCAAATGCGCCCAATTCCTATCAGTCGTACGTCGACCAGCAGTCACCCTTGCAGAAATTGACTTCGTTCGGCGGCGGTCCTGCCGACTTTGCAAGCTCGCAACAGCAACAAGCAAGCGCCAACAGCGCATTACAGGCGGCGCAGCAGCAGCAGCAGCAGCGCGCCAACATGTACAATCAAAACATAGGCGGCTACGAGCCCAACTCGGGCCAGCCGCAACGCGGCATGGTACCCGGACCGGGGCCCGGGCCCGGCCCGACCGGCTTCCCGGGCCAAGGCCGCTCGATCGGTCCACCCACCGGCCCGGCGGCCGGCCAGCGCGGCCCGCCCCAGGGCTACCCCAGCTACTCCGACAGCATGTACTCGATGGAGCAGCTGCACAATCCCATGGCGGCTCGCTCGAATCCCCAGGCGGCCATGGATCCAGCTGCCGGCATGCAGAGCTGGCCAGGCGCGGCTGCGGCCCAGCAGGCCAATGCCTATCCCCAGATGCAGAGGCACTACAATCACATGATGCAGCCCCAGAGCGCTCCTGGTGGCTACCAGCAACACATGCCCTACCAAGACCCCACTCAGGCCAGTATGAGCCAGCAAAAGATGCAGCAACAGCAACAGCAGCAACAGCAGCAGCAACAACAACAGCGTCAGCAGCAACAGCAGCAGCAGCAGCAGCAGCATTACTCGACACAGCAGGGCATGATGTCTAGCATGGGTGTACCGCACCAGGGTCTGCAGGGTAGCTCGGCTGCTAGTAACGCTGCTGCGACATATCAACATATGGTCGGCCAACAGCAACAGCAGCAGCAGCAGCAACAACAGCAGCAGCAACAGCAGCACTACCAGCAGAGCAGCGCCTCTATGTATCCGGGCTCGTCGGCTAGCTACATGGGCTTCGGGGCTCCGAACATGCATCAGCAGCCCCAGCCCCCGCAACAGCAGCCCCAGCGAGTGCCTCATCATCATCCGTCCCACTCCACCCACCAAACTCATCCCTCGCATCAGCAGTACCCGCCCATGGTCGGTATTCCTTCTACTACGTCGACGAAGAGCAATAGTAGCGTCGGTCGCAAAAAGAAATCACGCTCAAGTCGTTATGCCGATGTATCGTTACAGGGACAGCATGCGCAGCAGCATCCGCAACACGCGGTACCGCAGCAGCCACAGACCATGGATACGCAGTATTCCCATCATACTTCGCAAATGTTCAATCAACCGCAGCATTCGGGGCCCACGCCGCAATACGGACCCGCGAAGCATGCGGCCCAAAGCCCTCAATACAGGGCACCTTTTCCACAATTATCTCCACAAATGTCTCCTAGGCCACAAATGTCGCCTAGACCTCCTTCGGTGCCCCAACAAATGTCTCCTCGGTAAGTAATCACTCACACGGTCACGCATTTTTTAGATTCATTTTTAATTATGAAAAAAAAAAAAACAGTACACAAACATTAAAAACAGAAAAACATAATTCACATTCACGTAAACGAGAGTTATCTAATTTTTGATATTTTGATTTTTCAGACCAATCATGTCGCCCGCCAAACCGACTCTGTCGCCGCATCCACATGCACAGCTAACTCACCAGCAGCAAGCCCAATCGGTTCCGAGTTCTCCTTGCCCGCCGACCTCGATGCCAATGGGCCCTGCTTCGGGTAGCCAACAAACGACCCTTCAGGCTCTCGAACAAATGGTCATGCCCGGCGTGTCCGTATCGAATCCGAATGTACCAACGCCTGACTATGGTCAATATCAATCTCGAGGTGGAATGCCTCACCTACAGAGCAGCTTGCCCCAGCCGCCTCAGAGTTCCATGGGAACGATAGGGGCTGGACCCCGAATGCCCATACCTTCTCTGTGGCCACCGACGCAGCATCAGCCACAAGCACCACCCCCGCAGATACGCCCTCCAATGGGCATGGGTGATGGTCGTTCTATGATGGACCCGCTTCAACAGCAACAGCAGCCTCATCCATCTGTTGTGCCGACGGCTCAGCCTCAGCCAATCGTATCGGAACAGAGCACGCCGCTGTACCCTCCGCTCAATGGCAGCGAGAGTCTTCACAGCGTCGTGTCACCGGTCGCTCAGCGAGAGCCGGCCGATATAGTTCCGAGCTCGGTACACTCGCACGTGCATGCCCCACCGCATCGCGTTGTGCCAGAAACTCAGGAACTACCTGAACAGACAATGCAGAGCCATCAGCAGCACATGCAACATTTGCAACATCAAGTATCGCCTCAGCATCAAATGCATCCACAACATCAGGCACCGCCACCATCGGCCCAGTTGCATCAACCACATCAACAGCAACCTAGTCATCAGAGCAGTCAGCTGATGAGTGCCCAAGACTTATTAAGCCAGCAACAGACGCATGGCCACAGTAGTCCAATGCATAACACACCACAAGTCAACACACCGCTAGACTCTGCAAGCTCAGTAAATCCGGCAGCACACATGGAGCAGTCCGTTCCATCATTACCTGTATCTAGTACACACAGTAGCGTCGATATGCCCTCGATGCTGCAGCAACAGTCAATGACTAGCTCGCTATCGACGATTCAAAGCGCGATACCTAATGTAGAAAGTAAGATAACTGATAATGCCCCAACGAATGACTCGATGTCCGATATACAGTCAACGGCCTCGCAACAACCTATATGCCCCACTCCGCCAATGGTAAGTCAGTCGCAATCACTGATGTCGTCCCAGTCGCCCATTTCGCACGTGAACATGGGACCAATGTCTGGAAAACAGAGTCAACAGGAGCCGGCATCGTTGTCTTCCATGGTACCGCAGCAGCAACAATCAACGATGTCATCAGTTCCGACACCGATGAATCAGCAGATGCTTATGGTACCTCAACAACCAACTCAACCGCCGATGATTCATTCGCCTCAGTCTGTATTGGCTCAATCTGCACAGAACCCCATGCAATCACAATCTATAGCGGTGCAGCCGCAAGTCAACGTTTTATCACAAAGCAATACGACTCCAGATAACTCGCCGCTTCAACCTCAAATTCCCGATCAATCAATGCAAGTAGCAACTCCACCGCAGTCGGACAGTCAGGGATCGAATCAGTCGGCTACGGTTGCCAGCGAATCGCCCCAAGTCCCATCCTCGACTGACATACTTGATCAGTCAACATCGCTACCTGCTAGCCAGGAAGCTGATCAATCGATGCAAGATCAAAGTCAATCACCTGATCAATCGACTGAGCCACAAAACCAAGTTATCAGTCAACCGAATCAAATGCAGCCTCTTCCGCAGCAAATTCCCGGAGTTATGACACCTCTTGGCCAACAACCACCTGCCCCGGTCGGTCAAGTCGTTCCTACAACTGTACCAATTCCTGGACAACAGCCTGGTTTCGGTGATTTTACAAACGTGCCCAAGTATCCGAATGATATGGTAGTGGCAGGCCAACAGCCGGCACAGCAATCTTATCTTCCACCTGGCGATACTAATTCAATGATTAACAGTACCGGAATGACGAATCTTAATTACATGGCTCCAACGACAACACCATCGATAACGCCGAATTATACTAACCCTCTTGCGCCAGTCTCGCATCATCAAGAGAGAGCAGCACTACAGCAACAGATACAGGAATTGTTTTGCATGCCATCGACGCCCGAAGTGCAAGAAAAAACCGCAGTTTTGCAAGATAAGCTCCAAGCGCTGCAGCAGCACGAAACTAACGATCAGTGCAACGGAGGGCCTCAGTGCATCCTTCAAACCCCGCTTTTCACGGCCCCAGCTATCGTGGATAGTCCGCAGGTGTCGAGTACTACTGGCCGTGGACGTACCAAGGGTACTTCCAAAGCTCGCAAGAGCAGGAAAAAAGCCGAAAAAGAAGCCCCGACACTCGCATCAACGATGACCTTGCCTGAACAACCAATTTCGGAGATGTTGGAAACTCCCGTAGATAGTAGTAACATTGTTGATAGCGCTGCTGATTCAATTGAGGATTTGAAGGCGTCTTCAGGAGGCGAAGGAGAGGACGAATGGAGTGGTAAGGGTAAAAAAGCCAAAGCAGCGAGAAAGCGAAACGGGAAATCGAAAGAGCCCAAAGAACCAAAAGAACCTAAAGTAAAGAAAGATAAAGAATCGAAAGCAGCAAAGAAAGAATCGAAAGCCAAGAAAAAGAAAGAAGGCAAAAGTAAGAAAAAAGCTAAAGCAGGTTCTGGCGATGACGAACCTAAAGGAGATCACGAAGAGGTATCGAATTCCGATTCGTTTACGGAAATGAAGGCTGCTAAAGCTTCGTCAGAAGACGATAACGAACAAGTTGATTCTTCCACTATTGATCCGATAGTTTCGGAATCAAAAGAAGGAGAAGAAAAATCTGAAGTTGAAAAAGTCGATGAAGAAAAGAAAGAGACCTCGGAGGATCAAACAGAGACTCCTGTAGCTAAAAAGAAAGCTCCAAGCCGTAAGAGGCCTAATAAAAACGCTATCAAAAGTCCTAGGAGCTCGAAAAAAAGGAAGAGTCGGATTGCGCCTGATTCAGACGGCGAAGAATTGGCAAATACTCCACCACCGTCACCTGAAGCTGACGATAATAAAAGACGTTCAGCTAGAAACACACAGCGCAAAAAATACGTTGATGACGTTATGCTTCGCTTTTCGGACGATGAGCTACCTTCTCAAGATTCACAAGGTAAAAAATCTGATGCCACTGGCGGTGGCAAGACTTCGGCTGACAAAAAGACGGGTGAAGGTGGCGATTTCATTCCTAACAAGCCCAACTTTGTGTATATTGTGAGTAATCAAGTTAAGAATTTTAATATTTCATTTTCCACGAATTTTTAATTATTAAATTTTAATTTAATTTTATAGAACACTACGGATGAGGACTCGATGGTTGTTCAACATATTCTTTGTTCCCGTATGGGGAAACGAGAAGTTAAGCCTGAAATCAAGCCGGAACCGGTAGAAGATGTAAAGAAAGAAGAATCGGAAGATGTCAAAAAAACTGAAGACAAAGTCGATGATAATACAGAAGAGAAAGTTGACGAAAAAACCGAAGAAAAAGCTGACGAAAAAGCTGAGGAAAAAACTGACGAAAAAACTGACGAAAAAACTGAAGAAGCAGTTGACGAAAAAATTGAAGACAAAGTCGAAACTGATAAAACAGATGTTGAAGTAAAAGATAAAGTAGAAAATGCCGAAAAAGAATCAGAAGCTACGGAATCCGAAAAAACTTCAGCTGAAAAAGAGGTAACAGATGAAATTCCGACTGGAGTGATTGAAGAAGTCAAGGAAGAAGTAACCCAATCGACTGAAATTGTGAAACCAGTAGAGGAAGAACAAAAGGAAGCTGAAAACCCCAATGAAGAAAATGATGAAAAACCGGTTGAAGCTAGTGAAAAACAAGAAGAATCTTCTGAGAATGCTGTTGATAAGAACTTGGAATCTAAGGTTACAAGTGAAGAAGCCGTTAAGACTGAAGCAATTGACGAATCTGAAAAACAATGGATTGAAGTTGAAGAATATTTAGTAAAATATAGAAATTTTTCGTATCTTCATTGCGAGTGGAGAACGGAAGAAGAATTATACAAAGGTGACAAGAGAATACAAGCTAAATTAAAAAGATTCAAACAGAAACAGCAGCAGAATATGAATATTTTCGAAAATGTAAGTTTCATCATGTAGTATATTTAAAAATATTTTTTTGAATAACAATATTCTAAAAGTATGTGTATGTATTTATATAATCTTTTATATTTTAGACCGAAGAGGATCCTTTTAATCCAGATTTTGTTGAAGTTGATAGAGTTCTGGATGAAGCAGAACACACCACAGATCCTGCCACTGGTGAGACGGTCAGGCATTATTTAGTAAAATGGCGATCATTACAGTATGAAGAATCTACATGGGAATTGGAAGAGGATGTTGATCCTGATAAAATTGAAGAATTCCGTAGATTTAACAAAGTACCACCTAAAGATCAGTGGAAGCCAAAGAAAAAACCAACTCCAGCTCAGTGGGTCAAATTAGATGAATCTCCATTATATAAAAATGATAATACATTAAGACCATATCAGCTCGAAGGTCTTAATTGGCTTTTGTTCTCTTGGTACAACAGTCACAATTGCATTTTAGCAGATGAAATGGGTCTGGGAAAAACCATTCAATCTTTGACTTTTGTAAATGAAGTGTATAAATATGGTATTCGTGGACCATTTTTAATTATAGCACCTCTTTCGACAATCCCAAACTGGCAACGAGAATTTGAAGGCTGGACTGATATGAATGTAATTGTTTACCATGGATCTGCTGCAAGCAGAAACATGATATCCGAATACGAAGTTTATTATAAAAACGATAAAGGCCAGCAAATAAAGGATCTTATAAAGTTTAATGTTTTGATAACGACTTTTGAAATAATTATTACTGACTTCAATGAGCTTAAGGGATATAACTGGAGACTGTGTGTGATAGATGAAGCTCATAGATTAAAAAATAGAAATTGCAAATTACTGGAGGGTCTTAGACAACTGAATCTTGAACACAGAGTTCTTCTTTCGGGAACTCCTCTACAAAACAATGTAAATGAGCTTTTCTCGCTATTAAATTTCTTAGAACCAACACAGTTTGCAAGCAGTGAAGCTTTCTTAAATGAATTCGGAAATTTAAGCAGCGAAGACGAAGTTAAAAAATTACAGGTGCTTCTTAAACCTATGATGTTACGTAGATTGAAAGAAGATGTCGAAAAATCCTTAGCACCCAAACAGGAAACAGTGGTTGAAGTTGAATTAACTAACATTCAGAAGAAATATTATCGCGGTATTTTAGAAAGGAATTTCTCTTTTCTTGCTAAAGGAACGACATCTGCGAACATTCCTAATTTGATGAACACTATGATGGAATTGAGAAAGTGTTGCATCCACCCATTTTTACTCAATGGTGCTGAAGACCAAATTACACTGGATTACAAACATTTGAAAGAGGACGCAGAAGCATATTATCAGGCACTGGTCAACAGCTCTGGTAAAATGGTTCTCATTGACAAATTGTTGCCAAAATTGAAAGCTAGTGGACACAGAGTTCTGGTTTTCAGTCAAATGGTCAAATGTTTAGATCTACTCGAAGACTATCTTGTATATAGAAAATACCCATACGAAAGAATTGACGGCCGAATTCGAGGAAACATTCGACAAGCCGCTATTGATCGATTCAGCAAACCCGATTCTGACAGATTTGTATTTCTTTTATGTACTAAAGCCGGTGGTTTAGGTATTAATCTTACAGCCGCTGATACAGTAATTATTTATGACAGCGATTGGAATCCTCAGAATGACTTACAGGCGCAAGCTAGATGTCACCGAATTGGTCAACAAAAACTTGTAAAAGTGTACAGATTATTGTGTCGCAATACTTATGAAAGAGAAATGTTCGATAAAGCTTCGTTAAAACTTGGTTTAGACAAAGCTATTCTTCAATCAATGAATACAAGTCAAGGTGGTAAAGATCCTAATAATAAAGCCCTTACAAAGAAGGAAATTGAAGATTTGCTCAAGAAAGGTGCTTACGGTGCCATCATGGATGACGACAACGCTGGCGATAAATTCTGTGAGGAGGATATCGATCAGATTTTGGCCAGAAGAACACAGATTATTACCATCGAGCAAGAAAAAGGATCCACTTTCTCTAAAGCTAGCTTTGCATGTTCAGGTAATCGCTCGGACATTGCCATTGATGATCCCGACTTTTGGACAAAATGGGCTAAGAAAGCCGAAATCGACACCACTGAGAAAAAAGAAGAAGAAGATCTTGTACTTTCGGAGCCTAGAAGAAGAACTCAAATCAAGCGATACGGTCACGATGAGTCCGTGGTTGATATGTCCGAGCTGGACAGCTCTGCCGATGACAGCGATGACGAAGGTGGCCTATCGGGCAGACGAAAAAATCGAGATAAGCTTTCAAAGAAAAATCGCAAATTTTACGAAGAATACGTACCTCGAGAAGGTGAAGTCGTCTACGGAAACTGGGCTCGAAGCGAGTGCTTCAAGGTTGAGAGAGGTCTTTTGACTTTTGGATGGGGCCGTTGGGATGAAATTCTCAAGCACAGTCAGCTGAGACGCGGTTGGCGAGAAATTGATGTCGAAGACTGTGCTAGAGTCATTATTCTGTATTGTCTGCGATTCTATCGTGGAGATGAAAAGATCCGTGCGTTTATTTGGGATCTTGTCACTCCGATCGAAAATGGAGAAAAAATTAAAACGATATCGAGCGCTCAAGTTGCCAATAATAAACAAAGACAACAACAGCAGCAGCAGCAACAGAAAAAGAAGAGTAGTCGAGTTCGCGAAACGAGGGGATCAACCTCAGCTGCTACTACAGCGAGCAACAATGGTCTTCAAATGGAACCTAATCATTGGAGCAACGCTGAAAAGTACGACGGCGATATATTCTTAGAGAGCACCTATAAAAAGCACCTTAGTCGACATGCCAATAAGTATGTATTTCGAAGTTTTGATACTACTTGATACTCCATGTAAAGTGACTTACTTACCACTTAAATATAACATTGTCATTTTCAGAGTTCTTCTGCGAGTGCGGATGCTTTATTACATTAAACACGAGATAATTGGGGATTTGGTTCAACACATCAATGATGGCGTACATATAAGGTTAGTAAAATTAATGATCAAAAAGCTTCATTTTTATATATCTATATACGATCAAAACAATCCAAAAATGTACCGTGCACTCACATGAAATGAGCTTACACAGCAACGCTTAGTTACCATATCAGTTGCATGTCCGCATCAAATAATTTGTTTTCACTATGGGATGCTCATTCAAAATTAAAACTCAAATAAATGTATGTTTTTTTGTACTACCTCATATAGCTGTTAAAAGCAAAATAGCAAAGCTGTTAATTTATTGGCTACTAATTTATATTAAGTTCATTGTCGTTCATATATATGCCTTCAAACAAACAAAAATTTTTTTTTAAATCATTCGCACGATATTATGTATTCGCACGTCAGAAAACAGTTCATTTTTTTCAAATGTTGAACTTTTTCTATGGTTCGTCCATATGTATAAGTGAAATGTAACTGATTTAAATTCGAAACGTATAAGCTCATTGAACTTGATCTTTTCTTGCGTGTACATAATCAATCCTCCTTGTAAAAGTACAAAAATTTACTTTGGAATAAGAATCGCGGGTGCCGATTTGGGACAGTCAGCGTGACATGGTAAGATGTAGCAGTGCACTGTGTCAAGAGGGCGAAATTCCTAAAGTTTTACAAGTTATTAATTCGGCGCTTTTGAAAGTATCAGTTAAAATGTCAGTCGTTGAATACGCAAACAATAAAACGAGCCTCTGATACAGTCAAACGCGTCGATCACGGAGTCGTAAAATCGAAAAAAATACGTTTTTTTTATCAAACTTTTTTTAAAACGAAAATCCTGTGGCCCTCCACACGTTATACAGTGCGTTGCCGCTAAACCTCCCACTAATGCCCGAGAAGCCAGTCAAGTGGTGGGATGCCTTAGCCGATAAGTCACTAGTGGTCGGCTGCTTCAAGCACGGATACGAGATGTTCGACCTCATGAGGAGTGATCCTACGCTTTCTTTCATACAAAGCTGTCCTCTCCCTTCCGCAACTACTACTACTACTACTACTACCAACACCACCACCACCACTACCGCCACTGCTACTACTACTAGTACCGCTAGTACCAACGAGAAAGCCAAGTAAGTATTAAAAAATAACATGCACCATCGGCATCGCTATTTATATTTTTTACATTTATTTTTTCCATCTCTAAAATCCTACTATTTCATCCATTATTTCACTGCTACTGTTGTTTTTTAATTGCATGCTTTATTCATAATATAACAATAATAATAATAATAATAATAATAAAATAATAATAATAATGACAATAATGATAATAACAATGATAATATTAATACCGCGACAAATGCACCTTTTCAAAGCGCTTAGCTGTACACACGCTATTCTATATGTTGCCTCATTTATATCATGTTAACACTACTACATTCATCTTACATTACACCTCGGCAATTATTATCCAAGTTTAGTAAACTCAGATCGATCTACTACTATTCTCCAATGTAAGAAATTTGAACGAGAGATTCTTCAATATCAAAAAGGATTATTTTTTCAAGGACTTACTCTTTTCACTACTTTTTCACTGTTCAATTAAAAATGTAGTACATTTTTTACAAATAAGCAACTGTTAATTATCATTTTTCGCCCTCAATAGGGACGAACTTGGTATGGACGTGGCCGAGCTCGAAGAAGGCGAGGCTTCGGGAGTTGCTGATTCCCCGGCTACTGCCAGCAAAACAGCAGATGCCACACCGGCAGACGCAGCTGCCACCGCTTCAGCCAGCCTGAGTCAAGATGGTGTTGAAGTTATACCCGTGGAAGATGACAAGACTTGGCCATCTAGCGTCGATCTTAATACGCGACTTCGTCGTATTATCACATCTTATCAACGTGACGTTACCAAAAAAGAAAATATCAAGGCTCATCAGCAGCAGCAACAACAACATCAACAGCAGCAACAGCAGCAACAACAACAGCAGCAGCAACAACAACAGCAACAGCAACAGCAACAGCAGCAAGCTGCTTTAGCCAACAGCGTCAAACTTGGTCAAGATATCAAGATTGGAAATCACCAAGGAGCACCTACTCTTGATTCCATGCAAAATTGGGATTTACAGAAATTGGCTATGTATCTTCTGGTAAGTAACACGAATGCAACCATTCTGTAAATTCATTTGACGAAAATTTTCATTCTTATTATTTTCCCTCTTAGAAAATTGAGAGAAAGGACAAGTTTGATCAACTAGCCAAAGAACGAGAACAAAGAGCTCGGATTGAAGAGTATAAAGCCAAATGGACAAAACGGGAGGAGAACGAGTTTCTACGCATTGTATCTACTTATGGCGTCAACTACGACAGAAAGAAGATGCAATATGACTGGGCTAAATTTAAAACCCTCGGCAGATTTGATAAAAAAAGTGACCATGACTTAACTGACTACTACTTGGCTTTTAGAGCTATGTGCAAAAAAGCTTGTAGCCTTAAGATAAGTGAAGAGGAAGGTACGTCGCTTTTTAATATTTTATAATTAACGTATTTAAAAAAGATAAGATTCAATTCATTAAAATATTTAATCATTTTTCAGCTGGTGGTGCTGACATTCCAATTGACCCTCTAAATCCAGGCAGGGCAAGACGCATATTAGATCGAATTGACTTGCTCAGTAAAGTAAGGGAGGAAATACTTACCCATCCTCATTTAGAGGAACGACTTTCATTATGCAAACCATCTGGTGATACACCAGATTGGTGGCAACCTGGCAGACATGACAGAGAACTCTTACTTGGTGCTGCAAAACATGGCTTAGGACGAACTGATGTAACTATCCTCAACGATCCAGAATTTTCATTCTCTAAAATGCTTAGCAAGAGTATGAATAGACAAAAGCAAGATCAAATAAATATGGAACTGGCTGAAAAAGCAATAAAACTGGATAATCGAGAAGATATTTTAAAATTCGACAAAGACGAAATATTGGTCAAGCTTGAGAAAGGTGAAGGTACTCTTAAAATTGAAAAAGTTGGAATTAAAAAAGACGTGGATAAAAAACCTGACATCAAAAGTCAAATTGAATTAACTTTGGTTAAGTCTGACAGTAAAATTGAAGATTTACAAACTCCATCAGGTTTGACAATCACACCTATCATTAAACCTCCTACTCCTGAAAAAGAACAGGATCCTGTTAAAACAGAAATAGAAGAAGATACAAAACAAACAAAAGAAAAGACAGAAAAACCTGCTGAGAAATCTGTAGACGATAAAACTAATGAACTTGAAAAGGTACAGCCATCAACTGACATTGAAGAACAGGATAAACAACAAGAAGAAGAAAAAGCTGGAAATGAAAAAGAGGAAAAAAATGAAGATCTTTCCACTGAAATAGAAACTTCTGAAACTAATAAAGAAAAATTAGTTGATGACGAGGACAAGAAGGTTGAAAATGTCAAGGAAGAAGAGAAAATGGAAGTTGACGAGCCTAATGAAAGTAAAGAAAAAGATATAGTTCAGCAGAAAAGTGGTGAAGAGCAAAAAAATGAGAAAGAAATTGATGAAGCTGATAAAAAGATTGACGAAAAAGAAGAGAAAGCAGATAAAGTCGAAGTAGGAGAAAAAGGAGAAAAAGAAGAAAAAGAAGAAAAAGAAGAAATAGAAGAAAAGGAAGAAAAAGGAGAAACAGAGGAGAAGGAAGAAAAGGAAGAGAAGGAAGAAAAAGAAGAAGAAAAAGAAAAAGAAAAAAGTACAGAAGAAAAAGAAAAAGAAGAAGGTACAGAAGAAAAAGGAGAAAAAGAAGACAAAGAGTGCTCGATCAAAGACGAGGCAAAAACTGAATCTCACTCTGAAGAAAAGATGGATGTTTCAGAATCTGATGTCACTGAAAAACCCAAAGAAGATATCAAAGACTCTGAAAAAAATGATCAAAAATCAATCGATGAGAAAGCTGAAAAAAAATTAGAACCAGATGAAGATAAAAAAGAAAAAGAATCAGAAATTGAAGAAGAACCCAAGAAGGATTCTAATGAAAGCGAAAAAGTCAAGGAGCCAGGGAAGTCTGTTGAAACTGTTGAACCTGTAAAGCAGACAGCGGCGGCCTCAAAAATTGAAGATAAATGCAGTATGCAAGCTGCAGAGTTAAAGGCTATGTTCCCAGATCTAGAAGTTATTCAGCCTCTGTCCCGCTTGACGCAAATTGACACGTTCGTTGTAAGGGATAAGGGACAAGACTCACCAACTGTTGCTCAGCTTTTGTCTCATGGCTATCCTTCTTCCATCAAATGGCCTAAAGAGCATGCTATTGAAGCTCGTTTGATGCATATTGTTCACGCTATTGAGCACAAAGAGTGGCCAGTTTCGTTGAATTTTACAGCTGGCGATGAGATGGAAATCGAAAAAGAACAATCCGAGGTCATTACCATCACCACGGATCATGGCATTCCTCGACACATGCCATCAAATCTAGGCAATGTTATGGGTTCCAATCCTCTTATAAATTTCAATTTTATGAATCCCAAAGTTAATAAGGATACAAACGTCAATAGTGTCAGCAATAATGCATCAAAGAAGCGGAAAAGACATATTGCTATTGATGTCGAGACAGACAGAGCCAAACTGCATGCGTTACTTAACAGTAGCCATACAGTTAGTCAACCCCCACCAGCACTAAGCAAACCAAGTCTGTCTTCAACTAATTGGGACTCCAAAGATGTCGCAGATGAGAACAGATCTCAACCTCCTCCAGCTCATCAACATATAAGAACACCATCCATACCATTTGATTTGAAATACACTGGTAAGACGACGATAATTCCGGGAACATCTAGTACATTGACACCAATCGATCTTTCATCAGGGTAAGTTATTAAAAAAACATTATTATTTTGAAACATAAAAGAAATAGTTCTTTACTCATTATTGTCCTATACTAGATTTTCAGTGAAACCATCTACTACAAATAAACAAGATATGTTGAGTGAAGTTCAAGATTTCTCGATGCCAACTAGAGATAAACAATTGAGTAGTAATAAAGGGAAACTGGATAGCATGTTGGACAGAATCGTTAAAAGGAAAAATATTGTATGTAAAATAACCAAGATAAATTGATGTAATGTAAATCATTATATGAGTATTATAATTTTAACATCCATACATTATTTCAGACTTTGGAAGAGCCCCAAGTATCTGGCATGGGTAAGGAGAAGAAACGCCGGAAGCTTGACGAAATCGTTGGAGCCTTACAGCGCGGAAAAGAACAACAAAGTTCTCACTATCCCGAGCATAGTAAGAAGAGCACAATCATGCCTAGTGTTACTGTAACACCTACTTCAGCTCCCGTAGGACTCCCGAATCCACCATCGTCGTCGCAGAAACCGTTTTCTATCACTGTGACATCCATTCCATCATCGAGAGTATCTGGAAGTGGCTCTTCTTCGAATCAACAACTGCCACCTCCGTCAATGCACTCGCACAAAGACAGTTTCTCGGCTTTGCTTGCGCAAGCTGAACAGCAAAATAGAGACTATGTCAAGAAGCAACAGCAATCACATCAACTACAACAACAAGCAGCTATGAACGCAGCACATGCATCATCTTCGGGTCATAGAAAATCCAGCTACGAATCTATGTTCGCTGAAATCAACAAAGTTCAAGAGTACTCAAAGAATCTTGGAGCTTATTCGCATGAAGCTAAAGTTAATAAATGGCTGGCGGAACAAACTGCGCTTACAGAACAGTTAAGCGCCGAATATCTCAATGCTCCAAGACGTAGGAGGCCGCGAGCTGATCCAACTTTGCTTGATTGGAAAAAGGTAACCGGCGAAGAAAACGTACCTGTGATACATAAAGCAACTGGCAAAAAGGTAATTTTGAGCATTAATAATTGACGAAAAGTCTCGAATTTATAAAATAAAAAGAAAATTTCAATAAAATTTTAATTTTACTCATAGGTAACTGGAAATAAAGCTCCTCAATTGAAGCGCCTTACGCAATGGTTGAACGATAATCCTATGTATGACGTTGATCCGAAGTGGGCAGAATTGGTCAAAGATCGCGGACTTTTACCGCATGAACATCCAAAGAGAACTCAGGCTCACGAGCGAGAACAAGAAAAAAATAAAAATGCTGGTCGGCCCCCGATGATGCCTAGTCCTAATAGTCAACAATCGCTCAATCAAGCAAATCTCGCAGCAACTTCGATGGCGGCAGCAGCAGCATCTGGTCTCAATTTCCCTGGTCTTGGCAACCTTAACAATTCGCTTTTGCAAGGTCTATCGTTGGGAAATTTTGACCCTAAAAATCCTCTGCTGATGCCGTTTGGTGGCATTCCAAACATGGGAGCTCTTGGGAATCTAGGAAATCTTGGTAATCTCGGCAACATGAATCTCACGAACTCAATCTTTGCCAACTTAGCGGGTCTAGGTTTGCCAGGATTAGCAGGGATGGAAGCATTAGCTGGTGCAGCTGGACAAGCAAGTAGTCGATCAGAAACTAATGTTACTGCAAGCTCACCTAGCACAAGAAATTCAAATTCGTTAAATGCTACTCCAAGTACAAGCAAATCTCGTACTAAAATGGAACCTCCTAAGTCAACTCCATCGACATCAACATCGTCGTCTATGGCAAACACTTCATTCCCGTTCTTGTTTCCTAACCCAAGTCTACTTTACACACCACTTGGTCTTAGTAGTCTGAATCCGTTCGGCATGCAACCTGGTAGCGTATCATCAGCATACGAAAGTTTAGCTCAATGTGGTTTGATTCCACCAACATCTAGTGCTGGTGGAACTTCTGGGAGCTCGTCACGAAAGTCTACAACATCGAGTTCAGCAGCTGGCGGCTCCTCATCCAGACACGCCCGTAGCGTCGCTGAAGCGTTGAAGCAACGCAGCGAGGACGCGAAGAAAGCGCAGTCTAGATATCCCGTGCTCGATCCTTCGATGATGAATCTTCAGCAGTACACCGAAGCGATGCAAGCTGCAGCTGCAGCCGCCGCCGCTGCTACTGCTAAGGAAAGACGTCGTTCGGATCACCAAGAAAAAAAACATCATCCAGTAACCGAGACTATTGACTTGGGAGATATTGCCGACCTATCAGCAAGATTAGAGCGTAAAGCGAAAGATCAAGAGATGAAAGATGTGCTGGAGCAGTTTAATCGAACCAGTGCTGAGCTCTTTTCGCGAAATCTAGAAAATTTGCAGCAACACAAAAAACTGCGAACACCCGACCGACATAGTAGTCATGAGCCTCATGTACCACCTTTAAATGAAGTGACGTTTGAACCGATTCCTAAAAAAGCGAGAACCGAACATCATAGTCGAGATAATGTACTTGATCCACAATTACTGCCTCCACCAGCTAGACCACCATCGAGGCCGTCAAGGCCCGCTTCTTCATCGTCGCACAGAGAATCTCATCCATCGCGTTCGCCAACGCCTAAAATTGCTGCGACCATTGAGCCGGTACTATTACCCGAAGCACTAACAGTTCCTGTGCGTAGTCCAACGCCACCACCCGTGGTAACGACGCCAATTGCGCCAGCAACTGCTTCGAGTCATCATTCGGATCCAAAGCCACCTCCTAGTCCAGAGCCCAACCAGTCGTTAAATACGTCCAACGAGAGCCATAAAGAAGAAACTATGGAACCAGCAGCTTCTCTTGCCTCGTCTGAAGAAAGTCAAGGCTCACTGAGTAAAGCTGAAATGAAACCCTCTGAAACTGAATCAGAAGAGGCCAAAGCAACGAGGAGCAAAAAGGCCAGAAGTGCCAAGCGAGGACTGTTACCTCCAGAGCCACCCATTGAAAGGAAAAATCTGCGCTCGAGTGCTGGTAGACAGGCTAGGGCAGCGGCTGAGCGGCAGGCCCGTAGTTTACTGGAAGAAGAACTTCAACAACAAGCTGAACGAGAACGAGAGGCACAAGGCTTGTCGGAGTAAAGACGTGTTAGTGCATTTTAAGTGTCTGAGTGTTACACAATTAGAACTGCTTACACAAAATCAGTCTAAATAACCCCTCTCCTCCTTATCTCCCCGTAGTTTTTAAGAGTGGATCCACCGATAAAATTTTTGACATTTTTGAAGAAAAAATTGTGACTGTAATATGATAAGATTTTTTAAAATAATTTTTAATATTAAGTATAGTGAGATCGATGAATTATTATTGAAAAATAAGTACACGATAACAATCATGCAACGGGCGATTGAAATAAATTATGATATTGAGACAATGGAATCTTGTAAAAGAAGAGCAAACGATGAGAGCTATGCATAAAGGCGGGCAATAGTATTTCGAGACATGATACTACTTTATGTATGGTAACCATCGTTAAAATAAATATATCATAGCTTTATTATAAATTTAATAAGATCATTATAATTTTGTTAAAAAATTATCTTGTCTTTTTGATCCTATTGGTTTTTTTCACCAAGGACTGTTTTTGTATAACTACTACTATATTAACAAGTAAATATCATAAGCATAATAACGTCATCTTAGTATGAAAGACAAGAAAGCGTTAACTATACAAAATAACTTTGTTATTAACAAAAAACTGTAAATATTATACGATTCGCGTAGATAATATGAAAAATCGTGTACTTTGAAAATGTATATAAAGCAGTGTACTTTTAATGATATAAATTAGGTCAAAAATATTGGCTTTGTTTTTTTTTTGTTGCAACGAAGCAACGCAAATTTTTCACTTAAATCAACGAATAGATGTTTATTAAAAACGAAAATTTATTTGAATATTCAAACACATCTTGAAAATTGTCTGTATAAAAAGTTACATTAAATCCTGTTAAATGTAATTAAAATATTTGTAATTTTTTCCATTGATGAAATAATTTTTGTAACCAAAATAGTTTAACCACTGGTTGGCTGAGGAACTATACGAAGATATGGTTTGCCTGAGGGCAATGCAAGAGTTTTAATGTTATTCCCATAAGTTTTTGTGGCTTCATCTTCAGAGACAGTTGGTATGACCATCACTGGATCTCCTTTCTGTAAATGATTTAATTAATCAAGTAATTGGTTTTAAATAAATTTGTTTAATAATTTAATTAATCGAATGAAAAATTACCTTCCAATCGCAAGGAGTTGCAACTTTAAATTTGTCAGTCAGTTGAAGAGATTCGACAACTCTTAATATTTCACTAAAATGGAATCATCACATTAATACATGCAATTTATTGTAGCTGTTGTAAAACTTAAAATCTTACTCAAAGTTTCTGCCAGTAGTGGCTGGATACAAAATTGACAATCTCATTTTTTTCTTAGGATCAATGACAAATACAGCTCGAGCAGAAACTGGCATACCCTCCTTGTTCAATTCAGCTGGATCTAACATTCCCAAATTTACCGCAATATCTCTGGATTCATCAGCTATAATAGGATATGGGAATTCCATGAATTCTCCATAGGACTTGATATCCTTGAAAAAAATGTGTCACCTCAAGTTGCTTTTTTACTTGTACAAAACTAAATCAATATCTCTGTATCCTTACCTCGATCCATCTCTTGTGAGATTCTACGGAATTACATGAAATAGCTATCACCTTGACTCCCAATCTTTTGAATTCTGGCATAAGTTTGGCCACTCGAGCCAGTTCGGTCGTGCAAACTGGAGTAAAATCATTGGGGTGAGAAAAAAGGATTCCCCAGCTGAAATGAGTGTCAATGTCAAAGTACCGGTTTTATGGTTAGGATAAGTCATGATCATGATGAAATGATTAGTTGCACTTACGAGTCACCGAAGTATTTATGTAAATCCAAGTCTCCATGGCTTGATTCGGCGATAAAGTTTGGAAAGGTATCACCCAGAAGCACCATGTTGTCGCTGTACTCACGAATTTAAAAATTTATGATAATAAAACACTCTTGTATATATACTGTGTATGGGCGTGTGACGGAGTTGGTGGAGTACTACGTCGCGTAAAAAATTTCCTATCAAACAACGTAATGAATATAGCTCGAACCCAGTTTCAAGATCGTTATTCTTTTTTTCCCTCGCTCCTGCGGCTTCCTGTCGTTACGTTGTCGGTTCGTTGTATATAGACAATTGCAGCAGGCTGCACGTCTGTCGTGGCTTTAATATGCTTATAGATTCTGTGTGTTGCGAGCACGTGCATCGAACACGCCGACCGTTTCAATTCCGGACATGGAATTTCTCGAGTTATAGTACGGAACAAAATTATTTTCCGACGAATTTCACTCGATGATTGACCCACGATCGATGGAACGAGAAATGAATCGAGTTAAAATAAAATAAAATTAAACGTAAAATTATTAAAAGTAATATTCTATCGATTTCCATTCACTGTTCTCAAACCAGAGCAATAATTCAAATGTAAACATTTCAAATTACGTGAAAATGGAACTAGGGTTTCATTCGAAAAAGACGCATAAAAATATTGTCGATCATGATGACGTTTTATAAAGTACAATGGGGGGCGCATATCAATCGGATTGCTGGTGTAAAGCCCCGCACGTTAGCCTATATATACGCCAGCGGAATATTCAATGAGGGTATAAAGACACTAAGAAACAGTGACTATTCTTGAGAAAGTAAAGCAGCCGACCCGTTGACCTGTCAAACCGAAGGCCATCCCTTATGGGGCGAAGCCATCGTATCATATATTCCACTACCTACCTGCCGCCATTTCATTACATTGTATTTTCTGATTTCTCCCTCGCATTATTTGCGTCTGCTAGCTCTGCAAAACCTGTCTCATTCGTTTTTGTTTTCTTAAAAAAAAAAATTATGGTGTTGCAAGGCTTGTTTCATGAAGTTTGACCATTTGCTCTGAAAATCGACGAATTAGTTTGGAAAAACTCCCTCGGAGAAGTAACTGATATCGCAAAAATTTGCGATTTGTCGATCGCAGTAATAAACTGGGAAAAGGTGGCGCGGTGTGGCCCAGCAGCCATGCTTCGATTTGTAAACAAAACTTGTTTGAAAATGGTGTGAGGAAGGGCTTCACAGAGACCGCGCGTGGTTACCGCATCTTTCATCGTATAATAAAAATTGAATCGTTAAAAAGTCTTGGGTGAATAGGAGCGTCTAAAAACTCTTGAAATTTTCTATAACCACACCGTGTTGGTTTGCAATCTTAAAAAAAAGTTCTCCGCTGAAAGCTGCGCTGATCGATGTTGGAAATTTGACATTTTTTACTCGGAATTCAATTAATCCCAAGGTGCGATCATGACCCGTGAAATAAAAACATTGCGTTGTCTTTTTCCTGAACCAAGTACGTATCTTTTGAAAAAATGAATAGTGCACTGGTATTTTTCTTTTAGCAGCACATTGTTTTTTTCAGAACCTCCAAGACGTAAAAATTTTATCAAGGAAAATGTCAAAAGTGTACGAAAAATGGAGCAACTTTTTCACTCTGATAGTCAAGAAGTCAAAGATTTGAAGTTATCTACGCTAAATAAACATAAATTTCCCGTCAAACATAGAAGTATAAGCAATAGTCAAGGTTTTAATGAACACAAAGTTGTGTCAACTAAAACCATTGAAGAAGGCATAGCCAGTTTATTACTTCAGAAATCAAGTGATAGGAAAACCAGTGCTCCAGTTTTTTCTTATAAAAAACCTAGTTTAAAGAAACAACAACTTAAACCATCAGTAAACAAATTAAATGTTAAAAGAGTCCGAAGTTCAAAAGATAATGCTCTGAGCAAAATTGAAAATAAGAATTCCAAATCTGAAACTCAAAAAAGTGCATGTGCTGTAAACAATAAATTGAATAGTAATTACAATGATAATAGCAATGATGTGAAATTGGTAAGCCTAGGAATACAAACTGTAGACACTGATGATATAGATAGTTTATACTCTGAAGGAATCATAAGGTATTATTTAATTCATTTTTATTGGGTAGAAAATATTTTCCTTATATTAAAAAAATAATTTTTCATAGATATCCTTCAACAAAATTCAAAAATTCTCAAAATGACTTCAAGGAAGACAATCCACAAGAAATTAAAAATAATGAAAACTGTATTGACTCTGAATGTCAAGTTAATGATAGTAAAGATTATGTTAAAATTAACAAAGAAAAAATTACTTTAGCCAGTAAATTAGCATCGCAACTCAGCAACAGCTCTGGACAAATTAGTCATCGAATGGGAGTTGTTCCTAAGTATGACATACTTTTATGAGATTTTATTTGATAATATTTAAGACACTTATTCCTCTATTTAACTAAGAATCTTCTCAAAAAGATAAAAAATTTAATAAAAAATTGTAAACATGTTATAGATACATCAAGGAACGTAAAGAAGAACTGGTAAAAGAAAAGTTAGCTAAAGCTGCAGCAAAACAGTCTGATTGTCCTGTTGGTCACGTTCCAATACCAGATAATGAAAGAAAAGAAACACTTGCCATGTTGAAAAAAAGTTGCTACTTTGTTTTTATATTGTTTTTTCAATATTTCCTTAAGATATATTAATTTTTTAATTTATAAATTTCAGATCATCAAGAACTTGTTAATGAACTAAATATGTTACCAATCAGAACAGATACATTGCGTTCTCAAAAAAGAAAGATGGAAATAGAAAAAAATTTGGAAAAGCTGGAAGAAGCTATCAAAGTTTTTTCAAGACCAAAAGTTTACGTGAAAGTTGATGCATAATTGATTTGTTTATACTTCAATCTTTAATAATTTACTTGATTATTTCTGTACAGTTTCAATTTGATATTATGCTGAAAAATGGTTTGTTATTGGGTAACCTTTAATCTCGAAAATTGTAAATATTAGACATTTTCAAAATAGTTAAATTGTCTAGTCTTTAAAGAATCACTATTGAATAAAAAATAAACTTATTTTTAATAATTAACAATTTATTTACACATTATTTACAATCAAGCAAACTTATGTAAGTAGTTTTAAATTTCTTATTTTGAGTCACCCACTATATTTTTATTTATGAGATGAACAAACAAATCTTCATCAAATTTCAAGTTCCCTGTTTCAAAATGTATTTCTTCATTTTCATACCAATCTTTTATCTTAAAGTCACTGAAAAATACAGATATTTCTCTTGCTGCTGATTCTTCAGAATCTAAAAAACAAATTTTTTTTATAAATTTTCAAAATTTTTTTTCATTAATAATTTATTTACCCGATCCATGGCCAGCGTTTCTAGTATCAGATAAGCCAAACATGCCTCTAATTGTATTTGGATCTGAGAATTGAGTTTGATAACATTTTGTAGGCCCTAAAAGTTTTCGCCATTTGGCTATCACATCTGGAGCAGTAAGTATGTGAATATCGGAAGGTCCACTGCTCATAAAAGTAGTAAGTCTATTATAAAAAAATTTTCCTTTGTGTTCTTCATAAAATTTTTCAGCAAGTTTTTGATTGATAATGGTTCTCTGTGTCCTCACAATCTTAATGTCATTAGACAAAATCATTTCTCTAATATTCTAAAAAATTTTAAAAATCTCATTGATAGAATTATACACTATATATGTTTACAAATTCGGAAGAAAAAATAAATTTTCATTAAATTTGCAAATATTTATTTTTTATTTTAAGGTTAAAATATACCTGCAGAGCAAATGGATTTTTAACGACGTGGGGTTTTAAAATCGCAAGGGTCAATTGGAATGGCTTTTTAGTTGTCATTTTTCTAATATTTTTTTGTCACAGACAATCAATTCATTATCAAGAGCAGCTCGATCTTATAATAAACCATATTTATGGTAGTCGATAGAGCAGGTTTTTAAACGGAACGCATGCCGTCGCGTGGACCGCGCGACAATTGTCAAAAGCCTCCGCCTGTTGGTCTGAAAGCAAAACACAACACCCGTCACCCAGTACAAAAGTGGCGACCAGATTTTTACATACTTTCCTTATACTTTTTGTCACTCATTTGGGTGCGAAGTCAAATACCTTGTGAATATCGGTATCAATTCAGCAACTAATTATAGAAATATTCTTTACCGAAATATTGAAAATATTGCGAAAATGAGTAAAAAAAAAAGACAAGTACAGGGATGGTGCTTGGATATCCGTTGGTGGGATGCCCTATGCTTTGAAAGAAGGTGACGTAATTTCTATTTTCGGAATATGGAGAAATTGTTAATATCAATCTAATCAGAGACAGAAAAACAAAAAAGTTGAAAAGAAATGGCTACTTATGCTATGAAAATCATAAAAGCACCATACTATTTGTCGACGATCGTAATTACAGATTTAAACTCTTTGGACAGAACAATACTGGTGGAGTACATGAAATATTATAAACGATCTCTCTAAGAATAGTAAAAAAATCCAAGATAAAGATATCAAGTAGATACAAAGAGAAGTATGTAGACCCGGCTCATTTTATTGCAAATAAGTTAGATTTATATGAACATTTGAATAGTTTTATTCAAAAATATGGAAGTATATACGGAAAATGACATAAAGATGCATATTGTAAAATTATGTACTTTGGATTTTTATAAATTTAAATAAATTATAATTATAAAAAGCTTGATGTAACATGATGATATATCGATTTAAAATCAAATAAAATTAAGAATTAAGTATTTGATGAAAAACACATTTTTATAATATAAAAATTTTTATTAAATAAATATAGCTTCTAAAATTTTTCGCGTAAACAAAAATGTGTTAGTATCGGAAGAGTAGAAAAGTAACAAGTTATATTATCAATTTAGTGCTATTTTCAACATTTCAGATATCTCAACAATTTTTTCACGAGGTTTTCCAACAGAATTTCCTCTTTTACGTTCTTCATGGTCAATTTTTTCCCATCCATGATAATCAACAACATTAATGCCTCTTTCATTTAATAAATTTTTTAAATCCGAATAACCACCTTTATCTTCAGAGAGATCAAGTTCTATTGATACTATTTGTCCCACTTTAAAAGCATTATTCATGGTTGAAATAATAATACCCATAGGCCCTGTTGCTACCCAGCCAGCTGCATACAATCCTTTTTCAACTTTTCCATCAGAATTAATTATTTTACCTGATTTCACATCAAAAGGTATATTGGGATCTATCAATTTTGATTTATATCCAATGCTTCTCACAGCAAGATTACACGGGAAATCTTCAAATTTATCAGTAGCTTTGGCAGTTTGTTTTAATAAATCTTCTCCTTCAAGTTCATTTACTGAAAACTTTACTTTTTCGATGTTATTAGTTCCTATGAATTCTGTTGGTCCTCGCAAAAAAATCGGATGAAACTCTTTATCAAAATTGCTTTTGTCAAGAGGTGCCTCATCAAGAGACTTAAGCATGAGCTCTGTTAATCTTTTACGAGGCCTTGCAAGATTAGCAACAATATCTTTAATTTCTGTAAAGTCATTAGGTCTCCAGAAAGTTTTACAATTTGGCAATTTTAACATTTCTCTCAGTTCGGCAATTGTAAAAGCTGCTTGTAGAGGACCTCGACGTCCTATAAGCCATACCCTCTTAACTTTACTCTCAGCAAGTTGCTCAAGTGCATGAGATGTTATATCAGTTGTCTAAAAAAAAAAAAAAAAACATAACACAAAATACATAAAAAATTCCCGCCCTATATTCTCAAAATTTGATAGAAAAATTTCATTTCATGAGTACTATACCTTAAGCCTATCAACTGAGGAAAGAAGTATTCTGGCAATGTCAATAGCTACATTTCCTTGTCCTAATATAACAGCATCTTCACCAGTTAGATCGATTTTCAAGTTTTTATCACAAGGTATACCATTGTACCATCCTACAAAATTTCTGGCAGCTATTACATTGTTTAAATTTTCTCCAGGAATATTTAATGTTCTATCATATTCAGCCCCATAAGTCTAAAAAGGGAGTAATTTTTAATGACATTTTTTATGATTCATGCAATTTCAAAAATATACTAGACTGACCAATACAATGGCGTGATAGAGATTTTTAAGTTCTTCTATTTTGACATCTTTTCCTACATCAACATTTCCTAAAAATTGTACCCGATCATCTTTGGCTATTTTATCAAAAGTATTGATAACATTTTTAACTTCTGGATGATCTGGTGCTACTCCAAACCTGACTAAACCAAAAGGAACGGGTAGTTTTTCTAAAATATCGACTTTGGCTTCAGGTTTTATCTGTAATTATATTGATAACAAATAAAGAACTTTCGATGTGTATTTTTCCACAAAAAATCATTTTTAATACCTTCAAAATTTGTTGAGTAGCATAAAAACCAGCAGGACCGGCACCAACGACGCAGACTTTCGGAGTGACATTTTTCGAAGAAAATTGACGGAAAGAATTGAGTAAAACTCCAGACTTTGACATTTTCAAACAATGTTACCTGCAATATAATTAATTAATACTTATTATTCATTGATTTTATTTGTTGAAATAAAAAAGTAAAAATGTACTATTTATGTTTTAATGATTATTTTTTAACTCAATTTTTTTTAAATATTTTTATCACACTGAATAAGTTTCATAAAAAGAGATGATATAATGTAAAAACTAAACACATTTACAGTAAATTCAATATATTTTTATTCATTTAAAATAATTTAAATTAATTTATTATTAGAGTATGAAATTCTAAAATAAAAAGTATAAAGTTTACAAAACTCACTGGCAACCAACGAAGTATGCTTAATACTTTTATTATAACAGCGTCAATGCATCTCACGATCTTATCTTTAACCGACACAAACCAATCAGAAATACAATATTTAACGGGCCATTAATAACATAAATATATTAACAAAAATATAAGATATTTCAGCAGATTTGAATCTAATATTCGTTTTCGTAAAAAGAATTGTCCGAAAAAACACTAAAAAATTAGCCTAGTAGTTGTTATTTGAATTGATTACTTTCGGAAATCGTAAATGATTTTCTTTGTATCACCAACAATTTCCAACATAATCTCGATTTAAAACATTAAAAAATATCATTAATATATAATTCATTATATAATAACAGACTTCTACTTAAAATGTAAGAGATAACTCTCAAATCTCTTATCACATTTTATAATTATCATTGTTATTGAGTATTAACTACTTCGGTTTCTGTACATTCAAATAGCTTATTATTTAAAGATGCAATGTAATCAATGCAAAACTTTGCTATCCAGGTGTTGATTTTTTCTATATATTCATATATTTCTGAATCTGTAAATTTTTTATTTCATTATTCATTATTAATCAACAATATAACTACTCATTATGCCAAATTTAATATATCTTACCATAAATTTGTGTTATAGGCACAATTGACAATACTGTTTTGTTTTTTATATCCATAACTTGCAATTTTTCTTTAATATCTTGAATATTTTTTAAAACATAATCATTTTTCGTCAAGTTTTTGAATAAAATATAAAATCCTATCTGCTCATTTACACCAAATTCTACATCTTCAAATGTGTCAGAGAGTAAAAACAAAATACCCACATTCAATTGTGTAAGTAACAAAAATCCGAAAAATGCCAAGTTATCTCCCACATTCAATGTACAAAAAATGTTAATAAGCTTACTCATTACATCATTATTAGCATACATTTTTGTAAATTCAAAATAAACTAATTTATATTGTTTGTCTAATTGCATCTCATTTACGAATCTTGAAAGACTTTTTGCATTTGGTAAAACTATTTCTTTTTCTTCATTAGCAATTTTGAATAAAATTTCAAAAATTTCAGCAACCTGCACAGTGCAAAATCTTGAACTTAAGATATTAGTAAATTGTTTTCCTTCCTTTATAATGAAATTACAATGAAATCCCTTGAAACTAAAATTTAAATTCTCTGAAATTGTATCAAAGTTTGACAATTTGGGGATTTTTTCTGCTTGATAAAACAATAGCTTAATTGGACTTAAACTTCTTTTATATAATATTTCATTATATGATTCTGTTACTTGAGTTACCCAGAAAAGACTTTTCCATTTCTTTAATTCTGTATTACCAACTACTTGCAAAGCTTCATGTAATTTTGTTATTGGAAAATTTATCATGTATTTGTCTGCTACAATTTTAGCTATTGTTTTAATACTATAATAGTTCAATCCTGTATTTGATTCATAAGCTTTTATGTTATTTTCTATGACTTCACATTGAAACTTTTTAAATAGTGAAGCACATGAAATTACTTGTTTAATAAAATGTTCTGGAATGTCTTTTTTATCAAACATGGGCAAAGAACATGTTTTCCCATATTGTTGTTTGAGTATTTTTAGATGTGGTAGAATAAATTCAAAACCTTTAAATCCAAGACATATCACATAAACTTCTGAGTTACCTTCTTTACTGGTGACAGGTTTATAAAAATGAATAGTTTGAAACGAACAAGATAAAAAGTATATCAAGCAGATGGATTGGTGTTCAAATATTGTGAAAATTTTTAATAAAAAGTTCCCTTTAGTTTGTAAAACATGTAAAGCAGCCACCACTTCACAATAATGTAAAGGGGATACAATTAGTTCTTGTTCGCTTGGATCATTTGTACAATTAATGCTTCCATCAGCGGTAACTACACTAACTTTGCCTTTTGATTCATATATCTTTAACAGTGCTTCTAAATTTTCACAAGATAACAAATTTCCTGTGTAATCTTCTCCAAAAAACCAATTATCCAGAGTATGTCTAATTAAACGATCATCACTTATCATATTGCAATGCTTATTTCCTTCATAATAAGGATTCAGCGTTGTGGCAAGCCAGTTCCAACGCGTTGCTAATAAATTTGTTTTTAACCAATGATTCAAACAAGTAATGAAAGCACCAGGAGCTTCACACAAATGCAAACTTGAAAATTCATAGTTATTTTCAATAATTAAGTCTTTTGAAATCAGTGGATACTTTGATATTATTTCATGAAATTTACACCAGGCTTGGGTTAATAATTCTGGATCATATTCTTTGCGTAATCGCCATTCTATATCTTTGGCTTTATTTCTGTTTGTAGTGTGTTTATGCCACTTGGATAATGGATAGCAATTTAATTTTGATTTAACTTCATTGAGGAGAGTCTTTAAATTTTGCAATTCTTCAATAATCCAAGGTTTTTTTACAAACATAGACTCAGGTAAAGGGAGCTTGTAATTTTGATTACCCTCAATTGTAAATGATTTGTAAAACATTTTTTCTGCACTTTCTCGCATTTCGGAAAAACTTTCCATTTTTAATAGATCAAATAGAAAGTGTACAATTGCCTAATCTACTGAACAAATACCAGGAATGTAATTGCAATAATGCAAATTTTTGATAAGTATTAAAAAATGAACTTCGTGACGTACCTTGTTTACATATGATGTATCCACTAAGCAAGAATAATTTTAAGAGAAAAATCAAATCCAGTATGTATCATATGATTGATATTAGAGTTGATTCAAACAATGGTATACATTGACTACTGCGATTTGATCTGTGCGAAGACGACAAAAGTGATTGAAGAAATATTTTTTACTTTCATATTAACGGTGCCAAATGACGGAGATTGGTTGAAACTCCTTGACCGAGAATCATTCATAAATTTCACCATATGTTTAACCTACTTAATTAAGTCTTTTACGTTGTTCGATACAGAAATTCGAAATAAACCGTGGAGCAGGTGAGTAGTTTGTCGTCGACTTGTTGTACAGGTTTCATCTTCTCATAAATATTACATGACATAAGTGTTGTGTACCGGCAACTAAGCTCAATGACCTGATGAAAAATTAATAGAAAAATTAAGGCACGTCATTTTTGATTGACGTCGTCAGATGTCGCTATAAGCGGCAAACAAAATTTGAAAAATCGAGACCAAACGCGCAAGGAGAAAGTAAATTCGAATACCATAAGATATTAAGTTGTGTGGACAGTCTTATGTGAATACTGAGGCTGAACACGTGTTTTAAGATTCATATAGTAATTTTGACTTTCTTTGCAACACGCAAATATGGGTACGACCAAAATAGTTTTTTGTTTAAACTTTATTTATAAAAAAAAATTCTTATTTTAACGGAAATATTCAATTGACAAGTGTACAAAATGAAACTTTTTTTTATAAACCACGTACGTGTGTTGCACATGTTCTAAATATGACTAATATAATGATTTTTAATGCAGGTAAACCGCATGGTATTCGTACTGCACGCAAATATAAAAATCTGCGCCGAGAACAAAGGTGGAATGATAAAGACTATAAAAAAGCCAACCTTGGAACGAGGTGGAAGGCCAATCCATTCAGTGGAGCTTCCCATGCCAAAGGAATTGTTTTAGAAAAAATGTAAATAATAATCTATAACAAATTTTATACTTAATTAAATATTATAATGTGCATAATTGTGGTAATTTTTTAGTGGGATTGAAGCTAAGCAGCCAAATTCAGCTATTAGAAAGTGTGTAAGAGTTCAGTTAATAAAAAATGGCAAAAAGATTACAGCATTTGTACCTCGAGATGGTTGTTTGAACAGCATAGAAGAAAATGATGAAGTTCTAGTGTCAGGCTTTGGTCGCAAAGGCCATGCTGTGGGAGATATTCCTGGAGTTCGCTTCAAGATTGTAAAAGTAGCTAATGTCGGTCTTTTGGCATTATATAAAGAGAAAAAAGAGAGACCTAGATCTTAAAACAACTTTTAATTGTTGATGAATTAAATGTAGTACACAATTTTTAATAATTAAAATAAAAATTATAAAATCATCTTAACTTACTGAAATTTATAATTTAAACGTCAACACATAACTTATAATTTAAATTTTAACAAAGGACAAAGACTTGTTTGCTCCTTGAAATATTTTGTTTGATTTAAATTTCATTGAATACATTGCAAGCTTGTTCTATTAAAACTAGACTATTCTTGATAGCTGCAGCTAATGGCCTTGGTACTTTGTTGTCATAATCTGGGATATAACGAGTTTTAATACTGGTTTCATTCATTTGTATCTGAAAAAAACAGATCTTTAAATTTTTTTCGAAAATATTCACTCAAGTTAAAAATATTTATAAAAACTACTGGATTTACAATAATAATGTTCAAACTGATCAAAATGCATACCTTATTTATCATGGTAAATTCTGTGTAAATATTCTTCAAGTCATTACAAAAATCAGGATAATGTTTTGAATAATCATTTGAATGTTCAAGTTGTTCAGGTAAAGAAATAATTTTTTGGAATGAATTACTAAAATTTTCCATCATAGAATCATCTTCATTTACTTTTGATTCAGTCAATACTTTCATACTATCCTGGAAACAAGAGAAAAAATTATATTAATATAATATTATAGAAACTTTTTATGAATTATTACTTTTGCTAATGCACATAGGTGTTTCAAGTTAGCCGATTCCATTGTTTCATCTATCGTTATTTTTGTTATGTCTGTTTTTTCTTTTACATTAGGAGATTCATGAGAAGAAAAATCAGTAACAGTTGGTTTATCAAGTTGAATGTTTTCATCATCCTTCTGAAAAAACATATAAAATTAATGGGTAATATTTTTCACTTGATTGTAGATTATGAATCATTACTGTACTTGATATTACCTTGTCTATTTTTTCAATATCAAGGTGGTCATTTTTAGACAAGTCGGAATTTGATAAATGGACGCTTTTCACAAGTAGAACCAGTAGTGATAAAAATGGCACTTGTTTTTCAATGGGACATTTACCCTGCGGAGACCAATGAATCACATAATTATATTTCAAAGAATTTATCGATATTAAAAATGATTCAACTTACTAGTAAAACATTTTCATCATTGCAAAGTCCAATTTGTCCATAACATTTTATAATTTTATCTAAAACAGAAATACAGAATGAAAAATATGTCTCGGAATTGAACTATGATTTGGTACCAGCAAGTGAATCTTCTTTCAACTTGTTAAAAGCTGCAGCATTGAATCCTGGACTTTCTAACAATATCCAATGCAATAAATCTAGGCGCTTTGATCCCGTAAGAATAGTATTTTCGAACTCTTTATACTGAATCTGTGCAATTTCAGGATAACGCAGCTTTTCCAGAAAATCGTATAAATTTCGTATGATCGAATCTTTATCGGCCACTGAAATAAAATGTTGAATATGTATTTTTGCGTAACTTTGAACATAAAGAGTCAAAGTTAATGATACATTACTTTTGCTTCGCAAAATTAATGCGAATATACGTGAGATAACAAATGTTGTTTACTATTTCATTATGCAGACGACAGTTTGCTTAAACACTGTGTCAGTGTGCGACGAAGACAGCCAATCGTGCCGGCTGAACCAGTAAACAGTCCTGTCCGATGGAGCCGGGAGCTTTGTATGTAGCGACATCTACAGTCAATTATTATTCGAAAATATATATTCAAATATTACGCGTTGCATACAAAAAGGTAGGTAGGCGATAAAATGTGCACAATTAAATCATGGGAGAGGTGAAATTTGAGATGCGATGACAGTGACTGTGGTGTGACGGGTGTCTTGCTGGTTTTTTTTTGCATCGTGCGTCGTTCAAAGGGATTCGGCTTATTTCAAATTAATTTTTTACACGTAACTAAAACCTTTTCATGGAATTTGCTATTGCATTTTGGCTTAAACCAAGCGCATCTTGAATAATTTTTAGAAATGAAAGCTGAAGAAATAATGAACATTAAAAAATGACGAATTCGAGATATTTCAATGATACGCAAGAACGAGAGAGACGGGTGAAGGCGAGATCGATGTCGCCCCCTTGCGTTCTTTGCGCCAACGAATTTACGCGCGGGTATCGCCGAGCCGCGAACAACACGCACGAGAGCCGCAGTAAATGCGATCGTAAAGCAATATGCAATTGTGCGGTAAAGTGGGCTACGGGCTGCAGAGCCGCCACTCGACAAATCTGAAATGTCGCATCTTTTGAATACATGCAGGATCGGCCTCCCCTCAATGCTTCGAGTCCCAGATCTCAAGCCTATAATGAGTAGAGGGTAATTATGCTCGCTTATATTTTTCTCTTTCTTCGCTGCTCATTATTATTATTATTATTATTATAAATTGATGCGTGAGTAAAGTAACGGTTAATGCAGGCCTTGATATATAGGTGCACTGTAATTTAAGCGTCGTCCAGTGGCAGTCGTAAAACCTAATTTCAAGCCAGTAAGTAAGTGTAAAGGATATGGACGCGTTTACATTATGCATCGCGTGTCTTGCCATCGTGTCATCTCGTCGAGTCCGATGTGGATGATGCTGAGTATCGCTCGCAAACCCAAGAATGTGTCAATGTATAAGTAACACGGCTCAGTCAGCTCCGAGTTCGAAACGATCTCAACGGGAGCAATAGTAGTGGCGTAGCATCAGAGACCCCAGTCCGAGAAATGTCCTCTACGGTTCATTCCGTGCAATTAACTTGTCATTTTATCATCGAGTGAACATACATTTTGCTTCAGTTTCAAAGGGCCCGCTATTGAAAAATCAGCTATTAACATCGTATTTATTTATAAAATATTTTACTTGCAAACTATCACTTTAAAAAATTAAAATTGTCAATGTTCAGCTGAAATTTTTTTACAGGTAAATGTTAAAATATGTTATTATTGACTGATACACCAAAATAAATTCCAATTCCGTTAAATGCCAGCTTTTTTCGATATGGTATGCCAAAAGAATAAATGCATAAGTATTGTAAATTTTGCTCGGAGCAAAGATTATGCAGGATCATTTGGGACTCGAACGATCTTCAATGGGCTCGTAATCCCATTCGAAATTGGAATTGGCATCGAATAACTGGGTTCAATGTGTAAGTTCTAAAGTTTTGTCTATACAGAATTGATCACGATTTACACAAATTCGATAGGTCCCGAGCGTCGAAACGAAGCAGGCGATGTGCGCTACACGGGGCTGCATACAAGTGCGAGTCGTTCTATTATATAGCGAGAAGCAGAACGAACCTCGGCATTCGGCATAGGAGTAGAATATAAAAGATAGAGAGAGAGAGAGAGAGAGAGAAGAAGCTCGGCGCAGCGAAAGCATATAGGCCTCGCGAATCGCGAGACTCTCGTTTAAGGGGTATACGAGGGGAGGGAGCTGACCCTAGAAATTCTCGCCGCGACTACGACGGTGCGTGTGCGCGACTGTGTGTGTGTGTGTGCAGTGAACTGTGGAGGGGACACGTACAGCATACAAAGTTCGGAGTACGATATAATATATATAGTGATACAGTCGTAACGTTGGCGGCAACTGGCGTAGACGGCGCGGTTCGTCTCTCTCTCTCTCTCTGCCTCTATATAGAACTATATAGCACCGCCACCACCGCAGAATCGGCGGCCGCACGGCAAAGATATATATGTACACGAGAGCGAGTCGAGTTCAGTAGCGACAGTCGACGGCATCGCAGCGCACGAGCTCGAGCTCGAGCCGAGTTTGCTCTCCCCTGCGGCATATATAAGATCTCGCGCTCGAGACGACGATTCGTCTCTTTATAATACAGTTTCTCTCCCTCGTTCCATGACGACGATCCTGGCCCCAAGGACGAACGAGCCGAGTGCACAGCCGAAAGAAGCCTCGTTATCCAAATTAAACAAGGAAAAACATTGGGAACGATCGTAGAGCGGCTACTAGCAGCTATAGACGGCAGCTGCATATCGCTGCTGGCAAAATAAACGCTGATAAGCGCGTGCATGTGTCTCTGTCTGCGTTCGTGTTCTCCTCTCTACGTCCGAGTCTCTCTCTGTGTGTGCGTGCGCCGCAAATTCCGACTGTGCAGAGGAACGCCTGCGCGTTTCGCCTGCCTCGCATTATCGTACACATTCCACCCTCGCGAGCCGGAGTATATACGCTATATAGGCGCATCGAGGCAAAAGCCTCCTCCGTCAAGCTCTCCGTTCGTGCTCTATACGAGCTTCTGTGTATAATCAAGCTCGCTGCCGAAAGCTGCCTGTGCCGCTGGCCCTATACGATTCTCGATTGTGCAGTTTTGACAGTGCCGTTACTCGTTTGTTGTTGTTGTTGTTGTGGCTGTTCTGGTGCAGTGTAGTGTAGCTATATGTCGCGTTGGCTGGCTCCGCCGGAGGAAAATAACAACACGGACTACAACGGCAAGAGCGGCAGTTGACTAGCGCCCCGATGAAATTATTCAAGTTATGATTGACGAGGGAAAATTGCCAAGAGCAGCGTTCCGGGCTCTAAGCAGCAGCAGCAGAAGCAGCAGCAGCATCAACGACAGAGAGCAGCGAGGCAGCGAAAATGGTCGATAACAATTGCATTATCGAGGGCAATGTCAAGTTCCGCGATGGCAAAAAGGTAGGTTGGCAGCCAAGCAGCTGTCCAAGAGCTATAATTCGCTTCGATATAATAGTACTTTGCTTTGCTTTTGACGCCTGCGAGTTTACGCGTACATACGTGTGCTGTATATGCAATAACGCTCGAATCGCCGCGGCGCAGCAGTGCGTAAGCTCTCGTATGTGCGCAAAAAAAAAGAAGTAGTAAGCTATACGTAGTTACAACACATACAAGTAGTAGTAGTAGTAGCGCGAGAACAAAAGAGGCGTTAGAGGCTGCGTGTGCCGCTTTCCAACTCAGCAACCTCTCTCTCTATGTAATCTCGTGCATATTGCCTGCGTGCGAGATGCATTTAGCGAGTCGAGTATGCCATATAGGTATACACTATATACAGTAGTCGAGTGTCTCTGACTGCAACACGCGACGCGTACACAACTCGCACCTACGTAGCAGCAGCAGCAGCTATATAGTTGAGAAAAGTATATATATACGGGATAGGAGAGCGTGCAACTCTCGTGGGATAGCAGCAGCAGCAGCGGCAGCGGCATCGGTCCGGGCTTATGGGGTGAAAAGTGCAAAAGCTGCGAAAGAGAGCTGCCGAGTCGCGCAGCAGCTAGCACCCCCATCGCGTCGAGAGCTGCCTTTTCTTACGCACCACCCCTCCTTGCTGCTATCCCCGTGGAAGACGTCGTACACACACCTTTGCCTATCGGCTAGAGTGCGTAATATAAAAGAGCCCGATCGTATTTTCCAACTTGCCCTATAGCTTCGTATATACGAGCGAGCCAACATATTATAGGTAACGCTAGCCGGGTCTTTTTGTTGTTGTTGTTGCTGTTCATAATGCGGCGCAGGGCAGCGAAGCGCAGCTGCGGCCGTCGATTTTCGCCTCGATATATATACAATAGGGCCCGAAAATTCGAACGCGCGTACAATCGAGCCAGTGTATGTATGTAACGCAATAATTGCGGCGAGAGGAAGAAGCGAGCGAGCGCAGGAGAATTGGAAAGAAGAAGAAGAGGAGCAGAAAACATGTGCAGCGATCGAATCGAACGCGAAGCTAAGCAGCCTCGTGCGGCGATTAACGATTAATGCCCCTCAGCTCTCGGCTTTCCTCTACTTTTTCGAGCTCACTCCGTACAAATATACCTATAGCAGTAGTAGCAGTAGTAGTAGTAGTAGTCTACATGCGGCACGGGGAGCGAGAAAAGGGCTCGAGGCTCTCCCTCTGCGTATACTCGTGTATATATAGGGTCGTGTGCGTCGTGCTGCGGCGGAGGCGCGTGTGCCATGGCGGCGCACGAGAGCAGCAGCACGCTATGTACGCGCCACCTTCCACTTCCTATAAAGCATTGCTATTTGCTATATAGATATATATAGGCATATATGAGCGCGTCCAGCATAAGTCGGCCACCCCGCGCGATTACGGCATTTTTGGCCGAAAGTGTCGTATGTTTAGCTCGCTCGGAAACGTTTAGCAAGAGTCAGAAAAATAATCCAAACCCATAGATCGATAGATTTTTTCCTCTTCTTTCTAGTGGTGTAACTCAAAAAATTCTTAAAAATTGATTTTGAGGTTAAAACTCGACTTGAATGTTTAAGTCCATTTTCCCAAAAAATGTATCCTCCGATTGCAATTTAAACCGCACCAATCGAAAGAGGAGGCAAAAATCTATCGAAAACGATGTTTTCCAGGATGGAGAAATGATAAGAACTATTAAAGATATCGAGATGAATAGCGCGGGACGGCGCGCGCGGGCCTGTTTTCCTGCCTATGTCTTTTCGACTCGCTAAAAAAATGCTGAAAAAATAATTTAAACACGTAAATCGATAGATTTTTTCCTCTTCTTTCGATTGGTAATGTTAATTTTGAGGTCAAAATACTAAAATACTAGAAGAAATATTGACTTAAAAATTCAAGTCAAGTTTTGACTATGAAAAAAATTTTTGGGAATTTTTTCAACAACGCCATCAGAAAGAGGAGGAAAAAATCTATCGATTTACGTGTTCACATCATTTTTCTAGCCTTTTTTAAGCGATTACGAGCGAGTCGAAAAGACAAAGACACGGCGCCGCGCGTGTGCCGCCGCTGGCGCACGGAAAACAGGTCCGCGCGCGCCGTCCCGCGCTATTCATCTCGATATCTTTAATAGTTCTTATCATTTCTCCATCCTGGAAAACATCGTTTTCGATAGATTTTTGCCTCCTCTTTCGATTGGTGCAGTTTAAATTGCAATCGGAGGATACATTTTTTGGGAAAATGGACTTAAACATTCAAGTCGAGTTTTAACCTCAAAATCAATTTTTAAGAATTTTTTAAGCTACACCACTAGAAATAGGAGGAAAAAATCTATCGATCTATGTGTTTGGATTTTTTTTCTGACTCTTGCTAAACGTTTCCGAGCGAGCTAAACATACGACACTTTCGGCCAAAAATGCCGTAATCTCGCGGGGTGGCCGACTTATGCTGGACGCGCTCATATATCCCCAAACGATATGGGGTGCAGGCTCCAAGTCGTCATAAATATACGCCGCGCCGCACAATATATACGAGCCTGTAGCTAGCTATATGTAGCTATAGATCGACGCGATCCCATTGGTCGGAAAAGTTGCAGCTAAAGGCACTTGGCTTAACAATTTACCCATCTTTATCAATACTCGATTCGGCGTTAGCGTTGATCCAAACTAAGAGCCACCGAGATTATCATGAATTAGCGCTTTTGCATTTTTTTCCTCGCTCGGCATCGTTTTCACTTTCGCCTCTTTTCGATTGATTCCCCAACTATAGATATAGTCTTTGTTAATACATGTCCTATTCCGTTTGATGTCGAGCCGCTCCTATATATACACATATATTATAGGCCTGCACAATAATGTATAAGGTTTATAGTGCAGCTTGTGCAGTACACAGGGCGCGCATATTACAGTAGACACGGCCAGCAACGTCCAGCCACTGGTACAGGCTATATATACATATCGTATACAGCGGCAATCGCTTTTCGATCACCTTATACGCGGTGTACACAGCAAAGAGCAGAGAGCCAAGTGTGTACTTGGACCGGAGCAGGGTAAACATTCTCTCTCTGCATTATTAGGCAGCTCTCGCATGTATACAGGCCATGATAATACGAAAGTGTATTAGCTGCTCCGAGGGAGCGAAGAAAAATAAAGAAATTTCCGCCGGCTGCCTCGCGTACGAACTACATATGTATTATATACCGGGCTAACACGGAGCGATTAGCGAGCGACATTGCGTGCTACGCTATTTTCTCTGTATATACGCGAGTATACCAGATATACCGAGCTTGTTACGAAAAAGCCCGAGAGGCAAGTATTTGCGCGAGGCAGTTGCACTTTGCACGACGATATTATATATTATCGATCTGTCGGCGCGGGCGCGCGAGCTTATCTTCTTCTACTACTATATAGGCAAACATATACGCGAGGCGCGCGCGAGCTTCCGTGTTATATAGGCGCAACTTTGCAAACAGATAAAATTCGAGTCGAGCTTTGTACACCGCATCGGATTGCGGATTTGGAGAGCCTGAGAAAAGCTCTTCTCCGCGCGTATATAGCGCAGCTGTTATCCATTTGCCTCGTCGCGGCAGCAGCAATGCGCCGATGGGAAAAGGCGCTGCTGAATTTCGCTCGAATCCGCGCCGATCTCTGCGGCCGTCGTTAAAATTTCTCTACATGCCGTATATACCTATGTATACCAGAGTGTGGCGCAGTGCTTTAACGCTCCTCGGGACAGGCCTAAGCCCAAGACGACGACGACTACTACTGCTACTGCTACTAGGAAAAAGCCCGAGCGATCGTAAAAGTATTTTTAAGTACTTTATGCCTGTATAGTAGTTGTATAGCGACGACGACGGCGACGAAGCTAGTGCGGAAGAAAAAAGCCAAGGAAAAAAGAATAAAGTCGAGCCGGCCGCGCGCTTATAAAAGTTTGGTAATTAATCGCCTCTATGTGTGTATGCGTGTGTGTGTGTGGACGAAGCAAAGCTGCTGCCGTTTTACAGCTCGTTTCGCAACTCCTCTCTCCTACATAGTGCAGCCGCGGCTCAATTTTGTTAAACAGCGCCAGGAGTTCGGCTATATTAACTGCAGCTCCAGCCGAGATGGACGATTAGTGGAATACTATACTCGTTATTCTTTTTCGTTATTTTTACGCGCGCTGCGCTATAAAAGAGAGAAAAGGAGCGAGCGAATGACATTTTTGCAGCGCGATCCGCGCGCAGTGCAGGCCCCAAAGCTTTGTCGACACACTGACTCGCTGATATTATATATCTAAGCGCGCGCTTATATTCGTCTAGTCGCTGTCTGGCTCCTCTATATGTCTTTCTCATAACACTTGGATGTTCATGCACAAAAGAGCGAGTCAAAGTGCGCTGCTCTTTCACCTAAAACATGCACTATATACGTATACGCTTTAGCTTTTTCTTCTCTCGTCGCATTATTACGACGCTCTGGGGAAAGCGTCCGTAGGAGTAGAAAAATTGCAACGTGAAGCGTCGCGCGCGCGTGCCTAGAAGCGAGTAGAGTCTTTTGTGTCGTCGCTCGTGTATGACGTGTGTGCGATGCTTAATTGACTGCATAAAATCCTAGCCTCCCCCTGCAGGGCTCGTGCGCAGCGCACACAGTACAGAGAGCAGTTGGCCTACGGACTGCGCGACATTTGTTATTTCACTCGGGCAACCCCCAATGACAGCTGATTCCGAACGGATCGCCATTATATCGCGCGTACGTCTTTATTTTCGTGAATCATCGAAATCTCGATGGCATTTCTCTCGCTGCATAGAGCCGCTATGAATGCGCGATCGTCCATAATGTAACGCGGCGCTAGACAGAGAGAGAGAGAGAGAGAATGGGAGACACTTTGGTAATTGGATTCGCTGCGTGCACTCGTCTATATATGCGCAAATGAACAAACGAAACAATTGCATTAAGCTCGCGAGGCCGCGCGACGATAAAAGAGACTCGGGGATGCTTTGATCGAATTCGGCCACCAACGACATATATACATAGACATTCGTATATAATAGAGGCACGCGCGAGCTAAACTCTATCGGCCGATGACAATTTTCTATCGATACCGTTTGCGAGCGCGCGTGAATAGGCCAAGCTCGTCGCCGTACTTTTCACGCTCCGCTATCCCCCAACTCTCGCTTGTATTGCTTTTGTATGTACGCTATATAAGCACAATGTATAAAGGCGAAAACCGCACGAATAACTAACTAACCGATCCATTGTTTTTGTTTTTCAGTGGAAATCCCGATGGTGCGTCATGCGGAAACTGTCGCCAGTTGCAGGTAACGTATACATCGACTTGCGCAACAAATACAGATATATATATAATATACAGCTCGGCCTGCTATGCATATTCGTCGCGCGTATATATTTCGTTTGTTTTCTTCTGGCCTCCTCCTCCCCCGTTCGTTGTTGGCATTCACTCGCTTTAACGCTGGGTATATCGACGATAAAAAACAAAACAAAAAAAAAGAGAGAGACAGAGGCGATAAAGTAGAAAAATAACGGCGCACTCGGGCTCAGGTGCTTGAAAATACACACAGGGCTCGGATAAAAGATATACTACGCTGACAAACACACGAGACGCGCGTGCGAAGACGAGCGAAACGAGTCGATTCTCACGCTCTCGCGATGCTTGCGATCTATGTAAGACGTACGTCGACAAGCGCGTAACGAGCGAGTAGAGTGACGCGATAAAGCAGCTATCCGATAACTTTTTTATATAAAATAATGTATTAGATCGTCATCGTCGGCTCGTTACTCTCGATTCCATCGAGATTCGAGACCGACTCGTCGCGTCGATCGCTCCGCGTTCCGAGTAATTTTCTCCTCGCGCTCGATTTTTTCTACGGATCCGCGCTGGCCGTGCTATCTATGCATCATTACGCACCTCTTTCACTCGCGTCGCGTTGGCTTTTTTTTCTCAAACTTTATTCGGAGTACTCGCTAGCCGCGTCATATTTTATCTCTTGTATTGTGCTCTCTTTGGCTCTCTGCGTCGGTCTACGTCCGGCAAAAGCCCATCGCGCGTTTATTTATCTTTGAATATGCGTGTGTGTACTTTCGGGCTTTTGCCCGCTGCTGTCGTGCACTGCACGTGAAAATGCCATATACATACGCGAGAGAGCAGCGAAAGTGCGCCCAACGAGTGTAATATCATCGTCGAACGAGACAGACAGAGAAAAGTGCATTAGCGCCACGAGAGATACGCAGCGGCCAGAGCACTACAAAGCCATTTGAGAGAGAGATGTGTGTGATAGTGGAAAATTATCCCTCTCGTCGGCTTGCATTTGATATCAATTAATCGCGCATCTGGTTCGAGAGAGTCTCTCCCTTCGCGCCAGTGGGCCGCAGGCTAGCTGCTCACCCTTGGCCCCCCCGTACACTCCCCGCTCGTATATGCAGGAGCAACCGGCTGCACACGCGCCGGAGCGTCATGATTACAAATGGACTTTTTTCGCTCGTATATATATATCCGAATACCGCCGTATGAACTATACAACAAAGCCTAGCAAATGTATAATAATAGCGCTGCGATGCGAGCGATGCTAGATACGCGCAAAAGGCGCCGACTGCGGCGGATGCATCAGCTGCGGCATTACTCGCGCGCGACGGACGTTTATATGCGGCGCATCTAGTAGTCTACTTGTTTACAAGACTTGTACGCGTTGAGGCGATAAAGACTAAAGAGAGGAGCGGCTTTGATTTAGCGCCTTTTGTCGCATCCGCATAATGTAATGTATGCTCGCTCGCAGCCGGCCTATCCTTTTCATTATACGCTCGTGTGCCGGGCATTGAAAATAAAAACTCGCTTGGCACAGGTGCAGGCTCGATGGTATCTTCTGGCTGTCGGTGTCGGTCGGCCAAACAAGGGCTGCCCTGCCCCCCCCCCTTGGGACACGAGGCTGAAATTGCCCGAGATAAGACTCGGACGCTTGGTGCGATGTGCTGCCACGTGCAAGAGTCAAAAAGGACGTCGAATGGCGGCAGCTACCCTTTAAAACGGATCCTCTTGAAACGTCTCTCGAGGAATGGATATTATGCTCGCGCGCGCGCGTGCAGCGGCCCACGCGCCTCGCGTCGACTCGAAAAAAAAAAAAAAAAAAACAAATCACGTTAAAGCCGCTGTTTGGCGTTTGGCGCGCGAGCTCGAATCTCCGATTCCGACGCCTACAACTCCGTATACTTACTGATTCACGGTCTCGCGCGTCGCGTGTGGCTACGCCGTATATATATTTTTCCTCATCAGTCACGCATATCGAGAGAGAGAGAGAGAGAGAGAGAAACTTAACTTACGACTCGCTGGGTGAAAATAGATTTTGGCTTACATACTTTATTTCTCTCTCCATCCGGATACGACTTACGAGCTGCTGTCGAGTAAGCCCTGTGTAGCACGCGTCAAACTCGTCAAGTTTATATATTTTAATCGTCTTCGACTGTAACAACAACTTAGGAAGAAAGGAGTAGAGGCAGTAATATGCATCACGACTCGCGCGTGTACATCGCGTCAAACGACACGTACGAAAATATTTTCTCTATCAAGGGGTTACCAGCCGCGCGTATACATGTATTTTATATATATAGCGCTCTATCACACACCCTATATATTCGCTGTATTTTCGAACATGTAGTGTACGATTTCGTGTATAGTCGTGCAGCGCGACCAAAGCCATATGCCTTGATAGCTACGACGACCTTTTTTTTTGGCACTAATATATAAAACACAATATAATCTTGTTATTTATACTTTCTTACTACTCATGAATTATTCAGCCGTTGCTATATGCGGCGGCGGCTACGGTCCAATTATCGAGCTTGCTCCGTTCCCTTTACTGCCCATAGAGCCCAGATAAGCATACATTATAGTTTATATTTATTAATTATTATCGATGCTGGCTTATACGCGCGCGACTACATTAAATGTATCCTTCCGCGCCAACTCGACCTTCCCATTGCGAAATAATATTATGATATATATACAGCTCGTGTTTATACGTATTAACGGGATATATCAAAGTATCGTCGAAATTTCCAACGATTATTCCAACGATATTGCACGCACAGAGCTCTCCTATTCCGAGCTATACAACAAGTGCTTTTATTGTTTTATGATTCATCGGCTTTGAGAGATGCCTAACTATTTACGCTCTCTCTACGTCTTATCTCGATTATTCAATTTTCTGCGTAGGCCGTAGATTCTCGTAGAAAATAATAATGTGTGTCATCGCGAAATGATAGCCGAGTCGATGTGCGTATCTAACTCCGAGATAGGGCATATACAAAGGCGGCATTACATAAGTTGCACGAGAGTACTAAAAGAAGGTAATAACGAAGCGCTAAAAAGACGAACGAACATCTGGCATGGCTGGGCCATATAATACGGCGGTAATTCACTCGAACGGAGATCAGCGAAGCTCGGATCGCAATCGACTTTTTTTCCTTCTCATCAGGGATCTTTTGACGACGCGATGGCATATACGCACGGATGATGATAATAATATCGAGTCGTCGGGAATTGCGCGCGTAGGAAGGCGAAACTTTGGGTCGCGCAGGTAAATCCGAGAGTCGCATAAGTTATGAGTTCGCGCGTGGCCGACCACGCGTGCAGATATGCATTATGTGCACGTATAGAGTGGACGACGCGTCCAGTGCGTACGTAATGCGATTCGGTCGTCGGTTAGCAGCAGCGGCACATTTGAATGTGAAAGGGTGGCCTTTTCCATAATTCACGCCGTGCGCGCGGTATATATTTTCAGGCTCGAGTTGTACACGGTCGGCGCGTGGCCCCTTTCTCCCTCTTCTTCTTTTTCTTACTCTAGGCTAACGCTACCGCTGCTGCTGCTGCTGCTTCTTCTTCTTCTTCTTCTTCTTGGCTCGCTTTATGATATGTGCCACTCGACGAGTGCATTACATGCAGTTCGCAGCTACCGCACGTGCTCGGGGGACGCCCTTTGCACCCCGTATATAACGCAAACAAACGCGCGAGACGCGTATACACGAGACCACCCCTCTTCGTCGTTTTTTTTCTTCTCGAAGCTTCTCCCCGGCTCTCGCGCATAATACATAATTCGATAGAAAAAAAAGAGGAGAAGAAGTAATAGTTCGTCGATAAGCCGATGCGATGCGGGAAACGCGTATACACGGGGCTGCATGCGCTTTACGCGTATCGCAGGCCCGGAGAGGTGCGTGGCGTGCATCGCTCGAAATAAAGCGCGACATATTGCCGACACATGCCACCCGCGGAAATAACAGATTGCGTGGCGCACTGCTACATGTATATATGACAAATTAATTAAAAGCGAGGAGGCCTGCATACTGCCTATACGTGTAGTACGTGTATAGCTCTGGCTATTATACGCTGCGTAGCTCTGTGACAAGCCACGCGAGTGGATACACGCTGTATGCCGTATAACAGCGCGCGAGTCTCGAGTGTTCTTGTCTCGGGGCGCACTCGAAAAATTATGCCCCTATACCTATATATGTATACATGTAGCATGTACACAACGCACGAGCGCGTATTACGTACAAGCTCAATTTTTTTCTCCTTATTGGATTTTTATCGCGCGCATGTAGATGCCAAGACAACTTACAGATCTGACGACGATCGATGACTCTTTTCCGTGCGCGTCGATCATCGAACGGCATCTTGACGCGAGGCGCTCTCCCTTCTCCAATTTGTACCAGAGACAAATTATTTATTTTATACTTATCAAAAGAGTGATGGATCTACGAGCGAAGCGTTATAACTTTTCGCTCCACTTGAAATAGAAAATATTATATAAATAAGAATCTCGATTCTTATACATCAACCGAAATCAAATTTCGACCGCTTGTGGGTGGCTATGATATTTATAGTCGAGGCGTCGATTAATAAACATCTATTAGGTATTCAATTAAAAAAATTTACATTGTGCTTCGTTGAAAAAAAAAAAAAAACAGAGTCAATATTTTTGACCCAATTTATAGCATCAAAAGTACATTACACGATATTATTTTTATAATGGAGCTCTGCGCTCTTAATGACTATCGGGCATCGACTGCTATGTATGTATATTCGGAGCAGCTGCTCCACTCGAGAGAGTCATCGTCGCTCTTCAAGACAATCCTCGACGCGCGCAGCCCTTATGCCGGGCGATAATCGCTTTTATCTTATTGCCAACGAGTCGAGAGAATTAACGACGAGTCGTCGCTTCTTTTTTCCTTCTTCCTTATTTTTTTTTTTTTTTCTACCGAATCACGCGAATCGATGTGTCGTTTACGCGATTGCAGTTCTTTCCCCTTGAGCTACGCGTGTGGGTCTGCTGTATATGTGGAAATGTGCGCGCAGATAGACACAAAAACACCTCGAGTCGAGGCGTACGAATCAATACCGGCAGGAGACATTGTCGTGCCTTGCTTCATTTTTCAGAAAAAAGTCATTTACGCGTGTAGCAGCGCGCCAAGAAAAAAGGACGAGAGAGAGAAGAAAAAAATCACAGCATAAAAGTAAAGAAAAAAAGGGAGTGAGAGAAAGAGCATAAGATGCGGCAGCGTCGTAGCTCGTCTTCTTATTGTGTTTATTGTAATAAGTGCCGAGTCGAAAGGAAGTGACCCTGCACGCGCTGCACTATACACATACGCGCATTTATTGTATACGCTATATTCCGCGCGTGCTAAGTGCGTTTCGTCTTTTACTTTTCTTTCTTCTCGTCTTGGGCTTATTCATTACTATATATACGCGTATACGCACAAAACGTACATCGTTCCCCTCTGGGGCTCGGGTGTATTACTATATGATTATCGTCGTCGTCGTCTCTCGTTGTTGGTCGCGATACAATGTCCTGCTCTGTGCCAGCCGAGCTCGTATAATAATGTATTATGCTTATATATATGTATGCGAGGTATATGGAAGGAACAAACAACTGATGTTTTTGGTTTTTCTTTTTTTCTGCTCAGACTGCCTGCATCTGCAGCTGTACGGCGACAGCAAGGACCGCTACAAGCAGGGCCAGACCAAGGCGTCGCTGAGCCTGCAGCACTTTCTCGGCGTCGAGGCGGGCTTCACCCTCGACAAGGAGTCCAACACGGTGGCCATCATCTGCCAGGACGTCACCGTCGTGCTGGCCTTCGACACGCGCGAGAGGCTCATCCAGTGGCAGGTCAAGATCAGCAGTAATCTCGGCGAGGGTGAGTCTTATAACATCGATCAATAATTTTTCTCGCGACGAATGGTGTGTGAAAATGTGCGTGTCGTCGAGATTCGTATATATATCATATTATCGGAGGCTTTCTGCGCGCCGTCGTGCGAGTCCGCGTACGTGTGTAACACGCGCTGTTATGACTGCCGAGCTGAGCCAGCCACTCCGCGACCGTACTCCTGCCATTTGTTATGCTCATTCATCAAAAAATATACTTCTCGAATCGCTCGAGTCTCTCCAGTCGTGTCGAGAGCGAATCTCTCCCCCTCTTGTTTTGTTATTTTATATATATATAGCATGGCACGCACTTATTATATATAGGCAGCGATCAGGCACGTTGGGTGCCTAATTACTCAGTTCCGGCGTCTTGGCAGCTTGGCCGCGCGCGATAAGACCCGAGCCACGAACGCCTCGACGAGTGACGAGTAACAAAACGCATAAATAAACGCTTACGCGCGTCGAGAGATGATGGAAAAGGCGATAAGTATCTCGGGCTCGATATAAATCCTTTTCTTCGGAATTCGCCTCGCCTCTACTGTATTCGGCTCGGAATATCTTATAAATACATTTGTATGGTGCCCCAGTGTACGACGTTTGGTAAACGCTCTCGGCGCGCGACGGATAAACGTTCACAATCAGCCACAATAGAGCGAGCCTGTATAACGTTCCACGCATCCTCCCTTCGCTTCTCTTCTTCGGGCTCCGTATAATATAATGCGTATAATAATAGCGGCGAAGAAAAATCGGCTATGAATCAGCAGCAGCCGCATCCTGTGCACGGGACACACGTATATAATACGCGTGTCCGATGATTATTACGGGGAAGGGAGGCGCGCAGACACAATCGGCTATTGATTCGCGGCCGTAAATGCGGGAGCACTTCTCGCTCTCCTTCCTAAATTCGCTCGTTTATCCCAATAGGGTATTATTTGAGCTAATCATAAATCAGCTGCCGCGATTCCGTTCTGCGCCTTTATTTAATTCGTTTGGCTAATATAATTAATGATCGATCGATGTATAAATTCGTCTTCTCAGATCAACAGTTCCTCATCCTGCTGTCGTCGGCCCCGGCCAAGGCCAAGCTGTCGTCGGGACCGGCGCATCTGCACATCCAGGAACGGCGCTTCTGCATGACGGTGGGCGTGCCCCCACGGCTCGTCGGCACCTGGGAGATCGGCCAGCTGCGCCGCTACGGGGTCGTCGAGGGTCGCTTCTGCTTCGAGGGCGGTTCGCGCTGCGGTCGGGGCGAGGGCCTCTTCGTTCTGATCACCGACCAGGGCGACGAGATCGTGCGGGCGTTCCAGCTGGCCGCTGAGGGCAAGCTGCCGCTGGGCGGCCGCAAGAGGCCCCACATGCAGAGCCTCGCGCCCACCGGCAGCAGCGCCCAGGACAGTCCGCGCAGGCAGTTCTCGCGCTCGGACACGCGGGCCAGCGACCTCACGTTCCCGGGCTACGCGGCGAGCCTCGCCGGCTGCTTCCTCGACGAGGACGGCTTCAAGGACGCCTCGTCGTCCTACTGGTCGTCGACGGAGAGCCGCCAGGACGAGTCCGAGGTCAACTTCTCCGGCAATCAGATGATGGAGCTCGAGCGCTGCTCCAGCTGCGTGTCCGGCAAGATGTCCATGAAGGCCGGCCCGCTGGCGGCGGGACACCTGCAGCCTCGAGCCTTCGACCGGCTCTCGTTGTCGTCCTACAGCAGCAGCAGCCACGACAGCGACTACTCGGCCTCGCCCCAGCCCCAGGCCAAGCCGCAGCAGCAGCAGCAGCATCAGCAGAGTCGGGTGCAGTCGCCGAGTCCGTTGGCTCTTCCTCCGAGGCCGCCAAAGCCACCGCTGGCCAAGGCCCCGAAGAAGCCACCCATGCCACTGCCTCTTCTACAGCAGCAACAGCAACAGCAGCAGTGCACTTGCTCGAGAAGATTAGCCAGCTCGACCCCGACGACGACGCCACCTTCTCGCAACGGTAAATATATACCATATAAGATGTATTTTCAAACACACACTCGTACATCTTCATAAAAGCCAATCCGGTTTATTAGTTTTGACTAATTCGAGTGATCGTGTCGGGTAAATATATAAACGAGCTTATATATCTCACACTTAGCTTACGACGAGTCAAGTTGTTTTCTTTTTCATTTTCTTTCGGCCGATACTTCCGGACTTTGGGAAAGTTTACCTTAGCCATATAGGCACACACATAGAGCGAGTCTCTCTCGACTTTGAGATTTTAATCCGCTTACATCACGATTCACGAGTCGAATCGATATAGCGCGCACACCATAGCGTAACTATATAGGTTCGGAGCGGGCATTAGCATCGGGCTTTGTGCGCCTCACGCGCGGGGCCACTCGACCAGCCCCAATTGACTCTCGAGTGTCGCCGATCGATTTTTATTATTATCATTATCTTTGCTCGTCGTCGTCGTCTTATTAGCTTTGGCGCATGTACGCGTGTATGCGCCCCCGCGTCGTTAATGTCGTCGTTATTGTAATTGGACGATCCTGGCGAGACGATCTATGCGAGCCTATATGCATATATATCGTACATATATATACACCTACGAGTATAGCCGGAAACGATCGTCATTGTTTGCTCGCGTTGGCCACTTAGGAATTCGCCGGACGAGCCGCGCGCGTTTCGCATCGTCTATTCTCGGCAGGTACATCGTCGCTGCGGCCGATTAAATCCTCCTGCTTGCCTGATGCTATATTATTGTTATATATTATCGTGCGATCGAAAAGTGAAACGTTCGCGCACAGAAGTCGCTACTATGTGGCGAATTACAACATAGCGGCTGGATTAAGTCCGAAATACCAAAATATCGTTGGCTTTTTTTTCCCGGAATTGCTCGATATACGAGCGAGCGTAGGCGCAGAAATCCAATGGCGTATACATTGAATTAAATTTTCACCCAAGGCGAGCGCGTGAAAATATTGTCTATTCGAGCGAGAATCCGCGTCTTTGATTTATGAAGTCGTAAGCGATCGATGTCAGAGCCCGCTTCATTTTTTTTCCTTCTTTTTTTTCCCCAACAGGTTTCGCCGGTCCTTACGAAAACTACGACATTCCAAAGACATTGACGGTCCATCAAGCTGTGGGAGCCTCGCACGCGGTCACACAGGCCGCAAACAACCCACAACAACAGCAGCAGCAGCCACACCCCTCGCACGAGCCCAAGAGTCCCGTGGCCGAGCAGTTCAACTACGACACGCCGCGCAAGATCAAGGAGTGCCTCGCCGCCAGCAAGCTCGGCGTGGCCTACCCCAACTACGACACGCCGCACGTGCCTCAGCCGGTCGTGCTGAAGCAGTGCGGCTGTCCGGCCGCCAAGACGCCGCCGCCGCCGTCGGCCTCGGCCGTGGCCGTCAAGAACTTGGCCGCCTGCCCGTGCCACAACGTCATGAGCTGGGCCGGATTCGTCCTGCCGTACTGTCGACGTGGCGCCGGCATCGAGCCCTCGACGACGACCGTCGTCCAGCCGGTGCGGCTCTCGGGCGAGGGCAAGATGCCCGTGGTCAACGCCAGCGGCCGAATCGGCATCTACAACGGCGGTGGCCTGGCGACGACGAGCCACGAGCAAAACGGCCACGACTGCGACTGCCCGCTCAGCTCGGCCAACTCCTACTCCTGCGACTCGTCGAGCGGCCCCAAGGCCAACTACGAGAACGTCGAGCCGCTGGTCATCGACAGCCAACCCGAAGCCAAAGCCTCGAGCGCGGCCAACTACGCCAACGTCGACTTCACCGAGTCGCTCGGCAATTACGAGAACAGCAGGGACATCCTCGCCAAGGTCCACGCCTCGACGACCCGCTCGGCCTCCCGCGAGGAGCTCGCCCGCGACAGCGAGGCCAGCTGCCACGCTGAGCAGGACTCGGAAGACTTGTGCCACAAATGCGGCCATCTCAAGGAGATCGCAGGCCCGCAACAAAGCAGCTACTTGGTCATCGATCAAGAGCAAGAAGACAAGAAGCAGCAGCAGCAGCAGCATCAAGAAGACAAGAGGCAACAAACATCGGGCTATATATCGATGCAGCCGGTGCACAATGCCTGCTCGAGAGAGCTCCTCTCGAGGCTCTGCAGTGGTGTCAAGAGCTCGAGCAACCCAGCTTTATCCGGAGCAGTTAGCCAAGCCGCCGCCGCCACGACCCCAAACGCGGCCACCCTCAATCTCGAGAACAGCAAAAAGAGGTCCGAGTCCGAGTATCGCATGCCCGGCTCGGCCATACTGTCGAGCCCCTACTTCCGACGTCGACTGCTCGAGATGTCGAGCGGCGAGTCCGGCGGTAGCTCCTCCAATCTCGGCGTTCTGGCGCTGCGCAAACGATCCTACTCGACGGAATCGGCCCACTGCCTCGACGAGGACAAGCCGTCCTCGCCGAGCAGCGACAACAACGAGGGCAACGAGAGCAACAACGGGGCCACCGACGAGCCGACTGCCAAGGAACAGCAGATTTCCGTGGCGCAGGTGCACGAGCCACCGGCCAAGTGTTCTTCCCCGCAGCCGCTGGCTGCCATCAAGATTCGCAGGTCGTCGTCGGTGCCGTCGAAAGCCGGACACAATCGCGACTCGTCGAGCAGCAACGACTCGGGCGTCTCCACGGGCTCGCTCTGCCATCGGACCGGCGAGTTCGTCGAGTACGAGTACCCCTCGGCGCCCGTCAATACCCTCGTCAAGAAGCAGAGCGTCTCGTCGTCCATGTACAGAAAAAGCCCGCCCCCCGCCTGCTTCCACAGCAGTCTTCCTCGCAAGTCCAAGTCGAGCGAGCTCACCTTCCAGTTCCACAGGACCAAACTGCCGGAGAAGTCGTCGTCGGCCGAGGCGGACATACCGACCTGCCTGCCGTCCAACAAGTCCTCGGCCAAGGAGTTCAGCAGTCCCGGCGAGGGCTCCGGCGTCCCCTACATCGACTCACGCAGCACCAGCAGCGGCACCTCCGACATGTCCGATTACATCGAGACGCTGTCTTTGTCCTCTCACTCGTCTTCCGATGCTCCCGACAACCTCAGGTAACGATAAGCTCCGACCTTGTTCGGCTCTTTCGACTCTACTATTTCGCTCACTCTCGCAATTTTGCCTTTACCTTTGCAGAATCACCGCCGGTAGATCTTTGGCCACTACGTTGCGACCACGAAGCGGCAAGGAGTACTACAAGATCGACCGGAGCATGCTCGTCGAGCAGAACCGCAATTCGTCGAATTACGCCAACATCAATCCGTTCACGCGCAAGGAGAGTCTGCGCCATCAGGTCACATGAGTTTCGATCAAGCCCCAAACAGTCGCTAGTTGCCCCGAACTTTTTCGGATGCTCCATTAGCTTTTCAACTTCGTACTCGTAGATTTTTACGCAAGTTTTTTATACTAACATTACCAGAATCAAAGAAAATACCTCCTAAGAGCCAACGAATCAAACGATAAAACTTATAAATAGAGCAACATTCCTACTTTTCTTGGTGAAATAATCTTTTAAGTTAACGAAACAAACAAATCAAACGAGCTCAATGAAAAGACTTGAAATTACTCCAAATGTAAAGGCCAATGCACTTTCTTTGGAGCTAAGACTGTACAAAATTTTTAAATAATTATACAATTATTATAGTTTTTTACAGAAGCTATTTCTTGTGTTAGCCGTCGATTCGATGTAACACGCAAAGCTAGAACATCGAACGAGAAAAACATCCATTTAAAAGACTTTTTAATCAACAATCAACAAAATTGATACAAACCGATAGATAAGGGTTCGAACGTATAGAGAACGAGGAGAGTATAAGAGAGATAAATTAGATATCGAATCGTTGCGTCTCAGCAAAATCACGTTCAATGTAAATTAAACATAAATTTATAAATATATAATACTTGTCGAGGTATAAAAATAGATAATACGGGATGATAATGTTGATTGAAAATTTTATTGCCTGCGCGCATGAATGTAAATTCAACAATATGGGAATTGAGTTCCGGTCAAAGTTTCCTGCGAATGTATGCACGCGTATATATTACACGTGGTATTTACAGAACGAATCAATTCAACAAATGGCCTATAATTGCAGCGCTGTAAATTTTTTTTTATACAATTTAAAATCTGCCTGTGTTCCCAGTACGTCGGGTCTGCTGATGGCACGACAGATAGACGAAGATTTATATCATGGCTTGAGTGAATTTTCGGTATGCGGGTGGCAAATATAATTATATCCATGTATGTATAGAGATTAGAACAGAAGGGCAAGGCAACGGAGACAGAGGACTTTTTAAATTATAAGCGACGACGATCTACCGCACGAAATCTCAGTGAGGTGGATCGATCGATCAAGTCGAAAACTAGTCGAGAGCAGCCCGCACTTTTATGAATCGAACGATCGGGCGAATGTTAATGTATACGTATAGAGTGTAGAGTACAGTAGGCTGAATGCGAGTGACAACTGGCGCGAATGTGTATTTAAGATATATATCTTTGTACAATGAATCGCATTATTATGTATCATAGGAATATTTATATTATTACATGCGAGGATTGTTCAAGTCGACGCAAAAGTCGATTTTTAGATTTTAACGCATCGCTGAGCACCCGTGTCCATATTCTTATAATATTGTACACGCATCATACGCTAGCTCCTTAGCGGTTTTATCTCGGTGTTTCAAAGCTTTTTTCATCTAGACATTAAATACCTATTCAGTGGGAGCCTAATTATGCACACTTGCGCGCGCACACACACACACATACACAATTCCGGGCGAGCTCTGTGACGTACTCGAGAGATTAATGTCTCTCGCCATGTACTGTACGAGATTGTTTTTGGGCCTTTTAAACGATTTGTTTAGGCGGCGCAAAAAGTCTCGAGCTCGTTAGCAATATTTTCACACGCCAATGGGCTTCTAGTGCATTTTTTCCTTTGTGCAACTCGAACAAATGCGCGAGCGCGTTGTATTCTGTATAAGCGAAAATATAAAGCAGTCTTTAAAATTCCCTTTTCCAGTCTTTTACCTTTTCACTCGTAAATATAATGCTTGTGCTTCGACCTCGTTCGTTTCATATAGGCTGTGCTGTGTTATCAATTAAGCTTTTTTTTGTACAGATTTTTTCAAATGCACTTTCGTAGTACTTAAAAAATTGGCATTTCTACTTAACCCGTTTCGGGCCAAACGGACGAAATTTTTGTTATTTTTTCATTCGCTGTAAACTCTGTGAAAAAATTATGTGAGAAAGATCAGGATAGCCATAACCGACGTAAAATTTTATGAACTTTTCGAATCCGGCGTCAGAATTGTCAAAAAAGTTGATGTGTAAAAGTTATGAACAATTAAACAATAAAAAACACGATTTTTTGAAAAAAAATTTGATTTGATCCGAATTTTCGAGTCGAAACAGACTTGCTCTATAGGTCTAACACGTTTTTTTTGCGTCCATGGGGTGTAGACTTAAAAGTCCAATAGTTACGATGTCGAAATTTAACATGGCGGACACGAAAATGGCACTTCGTAGAAAAAAACCGTATATGAACGTAGTCAATTTTTTTATATGTCAACCAAGCGCCTAGGAAAAAAACTTTATTGTTATTATTGTTAATTATTGTTTAATTGTTCATAACTTTTACACATCAACTTTTTTGACAATTCTGACGCCAGATTCGAAAAGTTCATAAAATTTTACGTCGGTTATGACTATTCTGATATTTCCCACATAATTTTTTCACATAGTTTACAGTGAGTGAAAAAATAACTAAAATTTTGTCCGTTTGGCCCGAAACGGGTTATGTAAGATTTGGCTTTTACATTTATTTTTTAAGTTTTGTACATTTACCGAAATAGTTATTACGTTTTTATTTGAATCGTTGTATTTTAATTAGTTTATAATGATACTTTTAATTATGGCTGAAAAAAACAAAGAGTACTTTTATTGACACAATAATGTTATATAGACTTACGTGCTTTTTTATTACCTCTCTTGATCAGGCTTTCTCATACCTAATTCTCTCGAATATTGACTTTATTAAGACTTTGAATATCATATTCATTGCGTATGAGTATTTAAACGTATTGCATACGTGTGCACGTACCTGAACGACAAAGAATTTTTTTGCAAGCCTAAAAAACGAATAGAAAAAAAAGAGAAACATTGCAAAGTACTTTTAAAACGTTAAAAGAGTTTTCAAAACATATCGATTGTAATCGCGTGTACCTAAAAAAGAAGTGAAAGAATTAATACGCAGTTCGATTTGTAATCAATAGCTCTTCGACTGAAGCGTTTATTCTATCCATTCAAGAAGAGACAGAGACCATGGCCAAAGTCTCGCTTAAAAAAAGAAAAGTTTTATTATACCAGTAAAACTAGTGTACGGGTAGTAGGGAAGCTGAGAAAGGTGCCAAAGAATATTCATCTATTCGAACTTCCTCTCTTCTTCGTAAAAGTTCAAGCAAAAGTTTTGCCTCTCGGTAGATTCTACGGAAATTCATTGAACTCGAAACGGAAACTTGATGGGTTCGTGAAAGGCATATTTTAAATTTTTCAGTTTTTACGCTTGCCCGTGCGTCATAATGCGAACTGCAGCATTATTTGTTCTCATCGTCGAAATACTTGAGATTTAGTATTTTTTCATCGACACGACTGAGACGTATGAAAAACAGTTTCACTTTTGAATACTTTGTTCATAATCATCTATTTATCGATGTTCATTGTTGTGCTCGTAGAACATGTATGCGACACACTGTTTTAAATTGCACTCGATATTTCTAACTTTGCTATGAAAAATGTAAAACTCGTCAGTGTTGAGTGTCAGTTAGGTCGTGCCATTTATAAATTTTTATTAGCAAAGCAAAGTTGGAACATTAATTTTATGTAAAAATAAATTTATAGGTGTGGTTGCGTGAGACTGTTGACTGGAGAGGATACGAGTTAAATCTTATTAGAAAACTTCTTTGTGTGTTTTACTCGTGATCGTTTCGTTCGTTGCGCGACGTTTCACTCGAAAACGAAGATAAATTTGAAATTTCAAAGAGCGCAGACTTAACAGGAATAAAAGTATTAATAGTATATAACGTATTAATGTAAGACTTGCGAAAACCAGCGTTTTAATATTGCTTATTTTCGAAAGATTTTTCTATTGTCAAATCGATAAAACAAAAAAACAGATGACTATTGTCACAAAAAACATTTTAAAGTAATTAACGAAGAAAAAACGAATCATATTAACTAATAAGTCTGTCTAAAAAATGGAGCTTATATTCAATAACCGGGCCAAGTGTTACAACGCACTTAATCTTATAAATAAATGTAAAACATATACGAAGAATAAGGAAACTTGAACTTTTAAAGCAAAAACCAAGACTTTTAAAAAAGGCACAAAAATACGGTCTACCGCGAGTACCTCGATTTTTTTTGGTACGAGGTCAAAATCCAAGTCATTTTTAGAGCAAAGAAAAAACTCATTACATAGATGAGGCATAACTAATTCACATAAATTCTAAGTTTTTCTATTACGATACGAAAAGATGAAGAAAAATGAGCAAATAAATATATTTAAAATATACAATTATCATGTAACATATATAATAAGTAACTTGAAAAATTATACGCAAACTGTAGTATCTCAAGTCTTAATTGGAAACAGTAGTTGAATAAAGATTATGAAAAAATCTTACCTGTTGTCTTTTTCTTTACTCGAGGAGGGAAATTATTAAAATAACATAGCACTTTTTCTTAATGAATGAAAATAATTTATTATGTACGTAGTTCTGATTTATAAGTTTTCAAGATCAGAGAATGAAATAAATAGCATTCATTTACCCATCCACGCAAAGAGGCGTTCAAACAATGTGTATATATTTATAAGTGACAGGCCATCCAGTGATTAACTGAACTTATACTTTTTTCGTATGTGTATATATAGATTTCATCGACAGGCTCCATCAATGAGCTTATTTTTATATATATTATTATTTATTTATCATTATAATTATTATTGTTTTTGTTGTTTTTTTATTACGATTAAAAATGAGTTTTTTTTCATCGCTTCAAGAAGAATGTCATTTTCTCGTTGATACATCGTTACGTAGCATGTACAATGTTGCAGTTTCAATTTTTTCTGTTTCTAATAGATTTTTTTCTCCCTTATAATCTGGCACAGAATAATTTCTATTAATACATTTTCAATTTAAATTCTTAACCGTACCCTTATATACATAATCTTGTTGTAGATCTATATAAAAATAAAGCGCAGTATTCAAAGCATACGACTTTGCAGGTGCAGTGCACGTTTAATATGCATATAGCACATGCACTTGCACGCGTGCAAAGTTCAACGTATACATTTATAATTTTCCGTCATCTTCGTCGTCGTCATCGTCGTATGTATATGTAAATCTTTTCTCTAGATTACACGATTATTATATTTTTATTTTTTATTTTTATTTGCGCAAACGAGAGCATCGATCCGAAGATTTAAGCAAAAAAATGCGTGTGTACTTCTATATTCCCTATTTTATTTAGTTATTTTTCTTTCTAAGACAGATTTTTATTTTTCTTTCGTGTATTATGTGCATTGCTCTAATTTTAATTTGGAAGCGATCGTATAATTTTTATTTATCGAAGCTACAGCGAAAAGTTTCGCTATAAATACACTATACAATCGTATATTTGCACTTCTTGAATGCCTATTTTATAATTTATGTACCAGCTTAATCTTCTCCGCAGTTTTTTTTTCTTATAAAAATAACAACCGTCGTGTGTAACTAAATGCAACGCTAGACATCACATTAGAGAATCTAACCATTGCTTCTTTCAAGGCAAACTTTTTGAAATTTCAATTTAGAGATTATGCACGTATGAGCTATAGCTGAAAAAAGAACGTCGCCCATATAGTACAGGAGTATTGAAGAGTTGTATGCAGTATATAAAAATAATAAAAAGTACTCGTAAGTGTTTTTTCAAAATAAATCGTTTCAACAAAGACGAAAGATATTTAAACACAACTATCTCTTATTGTGCTGTGCACTGCCGGTGAATTAGCTGCACCCAGCCCAGCCAGGTTTGTCTTCTCTTAATAAATGGTCGGTTTTTTGCCAGGTGATAGAGGCAAAAGAGTTCGTATTTGCTTGACAGTACACGTCTTTTTTCTTTGAAAGAAACCTCTCTACGCGCTCGCACGATTCTGCAAAAGCACACAGAAAAAAATCATACGCGGAGCAAAAACAACATTTAAACTTGTTAATATATCGCATTTAAAGTGTTGTTTGTGTTAAACATCTTTGGTAAATTTTTTCGTCGCATAGCAAATTGGTGTTAGCGAAGTATACATATCAAACGTAAAATTATTCGTAGCGCTCCGTCAAAAACCAATATCGTTATACATATAGCTTTTTTGGTATATATCTACGTATGATAAGCCTGCGATCCACGCATACAACAGTGGCTTCGATTTGTGTTTTTTTTTCTTCGTCGGTAAAGTTATTTTCAAAATCTCGAACATCGAGTTTATTCGTTGAGTCACACAATACAGACACACGCGACTCTCTGCGTCGCTTTTAAACTTTAGGTACAATAACAGAACATTACAAGGTGAAAATGCAACCGCTGAATAAGTTAACAACTAAGTGAGTATTATTATTAAATTCTATGTCTCACACGAACAAGCACAGCTTATTGTTTATACATGTATGCGTGTATGTTTATGTAGTACTAAGTGTTGTATATATTTATACTTTTTTTTATATTTCTGTAATACAATTAATTTTCGTCTAGCAAAATGATTTTCACTACATTTGATCATCCTATCATTGGAAAATATCAAATTACCTCTATCTGGCCTCTTTTATTTTGCCATGATTTACTCGTTCGCGCAGCAAACATTCATTCTTCGATTCTTATACTTTTTTTTATACAGAAAAACGCGTTGTGTATAACTATACATATGTTGCTTTATACAAGTCTTAATTGGAAATTCTGAAAATTTACTTATTTATAGTGTAAAACCAGCACTTTACCAAACTATCTAACAGTCTTCCTCGATGAAAAGCCCGCAGCGCAGCTTTCGTCGCACAGTAGCTTGACATTATTTAACGCAGGCCAGCTTCGAGAGCTTTTTCTTAAATACATATGAAAAAACAGCGTAACTTGGGCCATTCGCATTGAAAAAGTTGAGAAAAATGTGGAAAATCGAATTACACTGCTCAAACGATATTACAATGCCCGCAATGAGATTTGACACATTGGTTATTTTTAAACAAATATACCCTGCGAGTTGTCGAAAATAACGCACTAATAACAAACAATCACAGGTCGGAACAATTTTGTTTTTTCTGTACTTCTTTTTACTCTTTTTCTCGCTCTTTTGCTCAGCGCTTGGATCAATGTAGCTTTCCGAACGCCAGAAAAAAAGTACGTCGTACGCACGTATCGTAAAAATGCATCGTCATCGAATCCTACGTTATACATATTTTTATTTTTTCATTTATTTATAGTTCTGGAACGACAAACGTCTATATCTGCTCAGCTATAGATATAATAAATTATTTATACGATGTACACAACTTTTCTCCTTACTAAAAACAACGACGATTTTCAGGCACAATAGAGAGAGAGAGACACACAAAAGATATCTCGCAATCGTTTGTTTTCTTCTCCCTCGCACGAGTCACGACGCAGCAGAAAGAGAGACAGATGCGTGCGATCTTTTTGCAGGCGAAAAAGCTCGAGCTCGAGTGTGCGGAGAGTTAGATAGACATCATCGGCTAGTACTCGAGCTTTTCAGCGCTCTCGGCTACGAAAGCCACGATACGTTATAATATGTATAACAACAAAGAAACGAGAGAAAAACGATAGTCAAAATCATCGCTGCTAAATAATAATATTATCCACGTGCTTTTTGACGTTTTTGTTGAAAAAAAAAAAGGAACGACACGACTGCATGCGCGTAAATCGAACTAGCAGCAGCAGCAGCACGAGTATACGTGCCAGCAATGTTCCCGTTAATAAAACTTGTAAATATAGCAAAATCGCTCGATCGTGTTTCCGAAAACGCTCGCATAGGTCAGGTCGCAGTGTAAAAAAATCTTGTCCCGAGATTCGCACGGATACACGTGTATACGGTATCGAGATGAGAGAGATATGTGTCGGAGGAGCTTGCGAACACAGAGCGGCGAGTTCAGTCACCCTTGGCCGACGACGACGGCTGGTGCTACTTCTGCTGTCAGAACTTGTCGCAGAGCTTCTCGACCTCCTCGTCGCTCGAGCGGAACCTGCGCAGCCTGCGGTCCTGCGAGCTCGCGACGAATGCCGCCGCCTCCCCGGCCGCGCCCGAGGACGAGGACGTCGACGAGGAGGAGGCTGCTCCACCGGAGCCCCCGTACGAGCTCGACACTATGACCTTGGCGAAGAGGTCCGACTCGAGGCGGATGGGGCTGGAGGTGCGCGTCACCGGGGCAGTCCTGCTGCCGCCCTGCAAGCTGCGCACGGGTATCTTGCTGAGGTTGCCCTGGTTGTGATTGATGTCGAGGGTGGCCAGGCGGCGCAGGGCTCGGCCGTTTCCCCCGGCGGCCCCCGCTACCGCCGAGGAGGCGTGACCGCTGCTGCCGCCACTGCTGCCGAACTCGGGCATCTCGTTGTAGCGCTTGAACTTGAGCTTGCTGAGCTCCTTGGGGCTGGGCAGCTTGATGGTGTAGTTGACGGTGTGCCGGCGGTCGCGGGCCTTGTCGCTCTTGGATCTGGCGTCGAGGCTGCTGGCCTTGGAGGAGCCCCGGCCGGACTCGTCGTAGCGCGTCGACGAGGAGGATCGGCCGTTCGAGCCGAGGCCCCCCAATTGGTCGGCGGCACCGACGGCGGAGCTCGACGGCTTGGTGCTCTCCTCGTAGTCGATGGAGAAGCGCTTGGCCGCGCCGAAGCCGAAGGCCTTGCCGGTGGCGCTGCTACTCTTGGCTTCGCTGCTTGGTTCTTGGCGGCTGCTGCTGCTGCTACTGCTGGCACTGCTGGAGCTGCTCTGGGGGAAGGCCGTGACGCTGCGACGTATCATCCGGTCGCCGCTTAGCCGATTGTTGCGATAAATGATGTCCTGGAGGTTGGGTATCTTGGCGCTGGCCTGGGCCGTGGCCAGCTGCGAGGGTATGCGTATGCCGGCGTCGACCATGAACTCGTCGTCGACCAGCGGCATCTCGGGCATCGAGCTGAAGGCCCAGTGCGGATTGTAGTGCGAGTGCAGCTCGGCCATGGCGTATTTGCCGCTGCTGAAGCTGCTGCTGCCGCTGCGACTGCTCGGGTAGTCGAGCTGATGCTGCCAGTTGGTCGCGTCCGAGACCCGCGACAGGTACGACGATCTGCCGTAATCGTGTTGTTGCTGCTGCTGTTTATTGCTCCCGAAGAGATTCGTCGTTCTGAGGTAGTTGGATCCGTTGAGGCAGGAGCAGTGCTGCTGCTGCTGTTGCTGTTGTTGCTGCTGGGACGAGGACGAGGACGAGGCGTCGATCGAGGACTGCGAGTGGTAGCTGCTCGAGGCCGACGACGGAACGAAGGAGCGACTGGCGTAGGAGGGCCGCTCCGACAGCTCGTAACAGCTGCACTGGACCTTCTGGGGCTGGTAGTCGTAGGCCGAGCCGGCCGAGGACGGGCTGTTCGAGCGCTGGCCCCGCTCCCAGTTGCTGCTGGCCGTCTGCTGCTGCTGCGACTGCGACTGCTGACCGGCGAGTCTCGGCCAGTTCTCGTTGTTGGACGTGCTGCGTGAATCAATTTTATATCATTGGCTGTCGTTTCACTCGAAATTTTTACCCCTCGTGCACATGCTTCTCTCGTATGGGCGGTGCAGGCTTCTTTATATGGACGCATGAACTATACGGAGTGAGCGTGACTTGGCGAGTGAGTGATCGTGCCGGCGGGTTGCGAGGCTCTGGGAAAACATGCGCTAGAGACTGCGGCTACTCTGGACTGCTCTTGGATAGCCGCGCGTGCGGGACGAGCTCGAGAGCTCGAGGAGTTTCGTGCACATTTATGGGTCGACGATGTAATGACATTCGCGCGACCCGTAAATAAGTACGCAGCTGCAACTATGATTATTTCTATATGATTATACGATACAAAGTGGCATTCACAACACTCGAGTAAGCATTTAATATGAGTAGTGGATTTGTCCAAGTAAAGGCGTGCTATTGCGTGAATCAATTAGAGTTAAGCAAGGTGATGAATGTGCGAGTAAGCTCATGAGCTATGTTACAACAACGAGCTATACTACGAACATTGAGCTTGTAACGTAAAATAAATAAGTTTTCAATGCTGAACGCGCTACACTCAACTCTTCTCGGGGCAAGACTATTTTTTGCGCATCTGTGTGCAGCTAAAGTTAAAGTTTTAAATTGTTAAAAATGGACTCGCCACGATATGTATTTTTGCGAGTCTACAAAAATCATAGCTCGCAGATAAATACAGTGCGAAAATAAAGCGTAGCGCGTTCACTGGCGAAAAATTACTCGCGAAACAAGGTATACCGAGTAAATAAAAAATAAACTTACGTGGCTCTGGCCGTGGAGTCGCTCGAAGAGTCGCGGCTACTCCTCAGGGCGTTCTCTGTGAACAAACGCGAATCTTTGCTCGAAAGTCAATGGAGCGATCTGTATTCCCCCCGTGCGACTAAACCCGCGCCGCAATATACTTACGTCTGACGAGCGGCGGCCTGCCCGAACGAGTCGTCGTTGGCTGTGCGCTCGAAGCCGATTTGAGGGCCGAGTCGTGCTGCTGCTGCAGCTGGTTGGCCTTGTTGTTGCCGGCGATGATGGACGCTCGCTGGTTCACGGCCAGGGGGCCGCCGCCGCCGCCGCCTTCGCTCGACACGTTGGCCGATCGTTTGCTGCCCGCTACATAAGCGGCATCGACGAACGTCGTAGAAGCAATTAAAAACGTCGCGATGAGTCAACGAAATTTTAGAGCAGAAATATTAGAGAATACTCACCGAGCAACGATGGCTTCTTCATGAGAGTCTCCATGAGGGCCGGATTGCTCATGTCGATCATGGCCTCGAGCCGCTTCTCCTCCTCGTACTTCTTGGCGTCCTCCGGGTCGTACTTGTGCATCAGCATCTGCATCAGGATGAAAAATATCTCCATGAGCAGCCTCAAAAGGGCTTTCAATTGGTCGAAAACCATTACCATTATCGTTATACTAGAGACGAGCTTGCACCACACACTACGCGCGTCGGCTATAACCAGACTGTCACTACTCGCGTCTCTTTCTCAATAGAAAGAATTATATTTTCGAATAATTTGACTGCTAGCCCCCCTCCTACCACTACCATAGCGAGCTGCTTTTTTCTTTTTTTAAATCGCGTGCCGACTCATCGACGAGGCAGTGGGGGGGCAGAGCCGCCGGCCGAGTCAAAATCAACGCGCCAAAAGTAATTCCGCGTAAAAAAAATTTGTCAGTAAAAAAGTTTTTAAAACTTGATGTTTCGGTATGTTTTGAAAAGTTCAGAAATGGGAATTGCAACGTGGCAATCACCTACATTTTTAAAACATTTCCGAACATTCTTTAAAATATTCTAAACTTTTCCTAAGTTTCTAAAAAATTAAAAAAATTGTATTGTACAAGTGCGATATAACAAATATGTTTTTTTATGAAGCTGCGGAGAACAAATATGTTGTAATCCGAACTAATTTTATAGAGACTGAATAAAAATCCAATTGATTATTCAAATTTTTTTAATTTTTTAGAAACTTAGGAAAAGTTTAGAATATTTTAAAAAATGTTCGGAAATGTTTTAAAAATGTAGGTGATTGCGACGTTGCAATTTCCATTTCTGAACTTTTCAAAACATACTGAAACATCAAGTTTTGAAATCCTTTTTACTTTCAAATTTTTTTTACACAGGTTAAGCTGAAGAAGACAAAAAAAAAACTCACGCTCTGATTGTCGGCGCGCAGCTGAATCTGCTCCATGTGTCGCATGGCCTCCATGAGGGCGCAATTGACGTCGCGGCACTTCTCGGCGTTGAGCAGCTTGGCCACCACAGCCTCGAGGCCGGCCAGCAGCTTCTTGTCCTGGGGCAGCCTCAGCATGGCCTTGATCTGGGGCAGCAGCGTGACGAGCTTCATGCGCACGTTGGGCACCGGGTCGTCGGCCAGCGACAGCAGATCCGCGCAAAAGTGCTCCTTGAAGTAGCTCGCCGAGAAGAGCTTGGCGGCCTGCAGCATCGTGTGTATGTAGTTCATGCGCACGTAGCAGTGGCTGGACTTGCAGAGCTCGCGCCTCAGCTGGCTGCGTATCTCCGCGCGGTACTGCGACTTGAGATTGTAGCGCAGCAGCTGCAGCAGTGTGCGGCCCGCCGCCAGCCGCACGGGCTGAGGCCTCGAGTGCAGGATGCGCTTGAAGCAGACCGGCACGAGGTAGCTGTAGCAAAAGTCGCTCGACAGGTACTTGGGCCCGATCCGCTCGAGCTGGCTGAACAGGCCCACGGAGAGCCGCCAGCGTTTCGACAGCGACAGCTCGGCCTCGCACTTGAGCAGCGACTTGCCCAGCTCGATCGTGTGCATCTCGCTCGACTCGCTCCCAATGAGCTGGTGCTGCTGCAGCTGCTCCAGGCTCTCGTCCAGGTGCTCGAGCAGGCCCTCGAGCACCTCCTCCCTATCGTCCTTGAGCAGGCGCAGCAGCTCGTTGCGCACGAGGCCGCACTTGGCGCCGAGGATCTTGACGACCTCGTGGAAGCCCAGGCCGATCGAGCGACGCACCAGGAAGTGCGAGTCGTAGGCCAGCTGGCGAAAGGTCGGCACGAGGATGGCCGCCCCGGCACCGCTGCCCTCGGCCCCCGAACCGCTCGCGAACAAGAACATGGCGGGTATGTTCCAGGCGCAGCTGCGTCGGCAGTCCAGCAGTCGGTCGTTCAGCAGGTTCGGGGGCTTCGCGGGGTCCGACTGCATCTGCGCCAGCTGCATGTAGTACTTGAGGAACCAGGCCTTGTCCGCCGCCGTTATGTGGGCTGCAACCGGGTATGACGTTGATAATTATAAACGGGACCAATTTAAAAAGTAAGTATAGCATCGTGTAAGACTCACGCTCGAGACCCAGGGCAAACTTGCCAAACTCCTTGGCGATGACGCAGAGCAGCGGATTGTCGGGCTTGACGGCCTTCTCGCAGGTGAGCTTGACCAGCGGCAGAATGATGTCCTTGATGGTGTCGGAGGGCAGCAGAAAGACGATCTCGCCCACGGTACGGACGGCCGCCAGCTTCACGTTGCTCTGCTCGTCGTTGACCATCTCGATGACGAGGGAGAGCAGCTTGGACGAGTCCTCGTTGCTCAGGCCCTTGACCAGCAGATGCAGCTGCAGACACATGCAGGCCCGCACGTCGTTGTTCGTGTCTCGGCATAGCGACTGCACGGCAGGCAGGATTTCGTCCCTGAGCCTGCGGGGACACGAACGAACGAATTGTTTTGGACGAGCCTGATCGCAATTGGCCTTGAATTGCGGAACACGGTGTATACTTACGAGGCCGGATCGAGGCGGGTGGCGAGCTTGCCCAGCAGTTGGCACGAGGTCATCCGCGTGTTGACGCTCTGCGACGACTGGGCCCCGGCCTGGGCGATCGGCAGCACTTTGCGCTTGAAGTGCTCCAGCGGCAGGGCCTCGATCGCGTCGAGGGTCGTCTCCAGCCAGGCGTTGGCGATATCTGCCAAACAGAATTATTATTAGCTTCGTTAGCGGGAAGGGGAGAGAAAAGATCGCTTCGTTATATATAAATGACGCACTTGGCTCGCGACTGTCGAGAGAGCCGAGCACGATCGGCAACAAGTGCTCGGCGAAGAAGGCATGGCTGCATAATCGCTGATCGAGGATCTGGCGGAAGATGAGCGAGGCCGCCACGTGGATCTCGGCCGCGGCGCCCGGCAGCAGCTGCTGGATCTTGGGCAGCACGTGATTGACGCACAGCTGCACATCCTCGCTCAGCAGTTGCGGCAGAGTCTCGATCACGTTCAGCTTCTGGATCTCGCTGCCTTTCCTGCGGACGCACACGATCATCGAGCGGCGGTAAGATACTTTGGCTTTTTGGAGCGTCATCGTCGGAGCGCGTCCAAGCATCCGACTCGACGGCCGACTAGCTAGCTACTGGACGAGATTAAAGCCCGGAGAAAAGCTCGCGATGCATCCGTGTATGTGCAGTGCTTGTGTGTCGCGTTGCACGTGCAGTTGGTCAGTTAGCGGCGGCTTGACCTTCGCACGCGCTACAACGTGTGGGTGCATAGGTAGCTATCGGCGGCGCGCGGCTTTAATTCACTTGCGTCACGACGGTATTTAAAAGGAAACAAAAAGACACCGCTATATTGACGAGGAATTGTAATATAATATATTAAAAGTACAAACACGCCGAGTGTATTTTCGGACGATATTACATATGTACCCCCTTCGCTATAGCGACAGTAATAGCGATACGCGACAAGTGATACTCGGGGCTCGAGTCAAGGCCCGATAACAACCCTTTTTCCTTTCTCGTAATTACATCGAGGCAGGCACACGTGCGTGTCTTTTACTACGGCATACGCCCTATCTAACGTACGACACACGTGACACACAAATGGCAAATCGAGAAGAAAATATCGACCGACTGTCCATATAAGCACACATAGATAGATAGCTAAAAGCTCGTTTGCTTCTTGCTCTTTTACTCGTGTTTTAGTCGTTTTGCTGGCTGGCGGCGATCGATACGCGGCTATTATACATCTTGAGAGAATTCGCAGTTATGTAAGCTCGAGTGCTCGAAGTCTGCGAGCGGATGATTATTACGGAAGCTCGAGTCGCGAAAAGAGCCGCGCAAGAGAGAGAGAAAGACCGATGCATGATAGGTGATGTGTCAGCTGCGGGACAAATCTATAATAGCTCGGCGCTGAAAGTTTAATGCCGCGCGACTGATCGAGGCCGCCGCACTTACTCGGCGATTTTCACTCGCAAAACGTCAAAAGAGAGCCAGTCGATTATTCGATGTTAAAGAATGGGATATATGGCGATGTTAAAGTAATTCAACGAACGCAAGCTCGAAGATATAAGCGGACGCGGCGGCGGGTGTAATCGAACGGAGATCCCTTGCCACGTTCCCATTCATACATCGGGGGGCTCCATTCATGACACCCAGCTGCACCTGTATACAGGTGCATATAACGTCGCTCGAGCCTCCGCGCGAATTCGCGGACTTTTTTTTACCCATCGATGCATCGATATAGCTCGATAAAAGTCTCATTTAAACGAGCTTTCGCCGATTGACTTGCCCATAGAGAACCAAAGAGAAAGAAGGACACGTATACGCAACGAGGGCCGCACGCAACTCCGCAATCCGTCGTGTATACGCCCGTACGCGTGTGCAGTGCTATATACAGTACGCGATAAACAGCTCGACTACTGGCGCTGAAAGCTCGAGTAAGAGTGAGAGAGAGAGAGCCGAGTAGGCGACGATCGAGACGCGAGGCAGTGGTGCAGGCGCCGTTGTGCGCGGGCGCGGGTGGCTATATACATTAACTCATCGTGCACAGAGAGCTCCTACTGCTAACGAAGTAACTGCCATTTAGCTGTAGATTTGCCATTACGATTGTCGTATGATTCGAACAATTAGCGTACGATTAAAACGATCAATCCGTGCGGCTCGATCGACGTGTTGTCGACTTGCGGCGCTATACTTACACCTTGAGCTCGAGTTCGAAGGCTGACCCTTCAATGTCTTCGTTCGGCCACATCGCGGCGGGGACGAAGCAACATTTTAGATCGACTGCCCATGCGACGATTTGTTGTGTATCCTTGGAGTCGTGTTCGAGCTTTTGCACTGGTTATAGCTGGACTCGATCAACAGATGCGAGCGACAAACTCGACGCACTCGACAGCAGCAGTAGAAGAAAAAAAAATAAATAATAAACTCGAGGCTAGGTACTCGCCCGCGCGCACCCACACTTCTATCGTCGACACCAGTAGACCAAGAGCAATGGAGAAGCGACGAACACGGCAGCGCACTCGGGAGGAAAGAAAAAAGCTCTGGCACTGCTGCTGCTGCTGCTACTGCTGCTGGCGTCGACTGGCCAAGTTCTCTCTCTCTCGCTCTCGTGATGTGCTGCGGGTTAAAAGCTAGCGCGAGGCACACAGGTGGTGCCTACTACTATCTGCGCTGCCACTACTGCCGTGTACAGCTGCCACTGCTCGCGCGTCGATAACGATCCTATATATAACACACGTTCGCAGGCGTACGCACGCGATCGCGCATATAAACGACGCAACTCGCAGCAGCAGCTCTCGGCCGAGCTTTAGCTTTGGCTTTTAGCGTTGGCCGCACTCACACCGACACCACCACCACCCCCACGAGCACACTGCCACGGCGCGTCACACGGACGACGAGCTCGATGCGGCTGCTGCTAGTTCCGTCGCTCCTTTCTGTCTCGCGAGTATCTCTTCTGCGCAAGCTCGCTCGACTTTCCGTCTTTCGCAACACCGAGCTTGCGCGAGCCCTTACACCAAATCCTATTTCAAATTACGGCTCTTTCGGTTACGACTTGCCCCGCGTGCGAGGAGACAATTCATTTGGTGGAACGCGACTCGCCGCTGACGCGTGAGAGGATAATCGGTTGTCTATTTGCAGGCGTTATAGGCTTGCTTTATACGATTGCTAATAATGGAGGAGAGTCGGATTCGGAATTTTTTAATGTACCTTTCTGAAAATACCGTTTTTTGTATTGCCATTGATTCATCTCTTTTTCATCTTCTCCTTTTCGATGTATCCTCGTTTTCTCGCAAATTCCAAAATGATATTTTCAATTAAATCTTTTCTACTGACTTACCACACGTTATGAAAATTCATTGGCTATAAAGCGATTCATATGAGTATAAAAAAATAGTCACTTGTCAAATTGCAAGTGTATCAACTTGCTTTAAAATTTCCAATTAGTTGACATGTTTCAATATACCAAGTTCCTCTAATCTCTATGTATACACAGAAAGCACCCTTTCTTTATTGCCATTATTGATTCATCACTTCCTTTTTACAAATATACAATTTAATTATAGCATCCAGAATTAAATAGCACAACAGCTAAGTTTTATACTGATTTGTCACTAGAGAATCGATACACTATAATAATGAAAATGGAAATTTTAATTTTTTTTAAATAAATCATGTTTTAAAATCTATTTGTTAATAGTACTGCAATAAAAAGTATTTAAAAACCTATGAGTACTTTTAAAAAAATGAAAGTTATTGTGGCAAAAACAAACATTAAAAAAATCTTAATAAACATTATACCTGATTACTAATTTTTTTTCAAGCTCTATCCATAGATAAAATAACAGGTTGGAGGTTGCAAATGTAATCAACTCAAAAAAAGTAAATTTCAACGTTTATTTAACTTAGATTTTCAAAGCATAATTTCTTTTTGGGAAAGCAGAGTTCTTGCGAATCTCTTTCATTGTTTTGCGGCTAGCTTGATGTGGGGTCAACTGCCTGCGGATAGCCCTTGTCTTCTTTGGTCTCAAGTCAAGAGGCTTGTATTTCTTGTTTTTGAATAATAAGCGAAGGTTTTCCTTCTGCTTCTGATTCATAACAATGTATGTGCGAGCGATAGCCTTCCTTACATCACGGCTATAAATAAAAAAAGTGGCGTAAGTGCTGATCTACATAACAATTAGGATGTTATTAATAATATGAAAAGATTAGAGTATGCTTACATCCTTGCAATTTTGCTGGCGGCTCCCCCAGTAACCTTAGCTACTCTCAAGTTCATCAGCTCCGTCTGGAGCTCAGCAACTCCCTTCAGGAGCTCTTTCTTGTCCTTCTTGCGAAGGTCGGCACATCTGACTTTCACCTAACAAAAAATAGAAATGTGTTTTATTAATAAAAATAATAAAAAAATGATTTTTTTTTTCAGCTTTTAAGTATGATAAAGTTATATGGCGATTAGATAATTAACGTCACTAGAATGCATCCCGAGGGTTCTGCAAAACGAGATTTTCACTCCTTTTTATTAACAAAATTGAAACTTTCAGTAGCAATAGTATCTAAACTAAATAGTGTCTACACGTGTTTTCTGGATGCCGAGATTTGCACTTGTCTTTAAAAACAAAGTTAAAAAATTTTCAGCCGCAATCAGTGACTAAAATACTTATATCACACATTTGACTTATTCTACGATAAATTTCCTATCTTCAATTCTCTATCACTATAATTTTCACATTTTTTTCTCTTACCATGTTGAAAGGATGTTTTCACACTACAAAAAGAAATTTTAGGTTAATCGCACTTGCGGCCTGATGATGTCGAAGACTCCAACGAACCACTCCTCGAGGCCACTTCTCTGCTTCTGCGTCACATGCAAACTACGCATGCTCATTGGCGGGAATTTGGACAATTTCGAATTCTGTGATGTGTGCACAAATGAGTGTGTGGGATGGTTGAGAAAATTGTTAAGCAAGTAGATTTCAATTAATTGTTTCTAACATTCTTAAATTTGTTGATAAAACGCTAAAAGGACCTTGCGACACGAAAAAAATGTTAAAATTTCTAACGTTCAGAAGCGACATTGCTTAAATAATAATTTTTCCCTTATAACTTGAAATAATTTTTTGATTTTCTATTGGAAATTAATCAAGTGATATTCCATTAGGGTTATTCATCTCTCTAATGAAACGTTAAAAGAATGTTAAAAAATTCAGAAAAAAGCACCGCTGGCTCAACAAAATCGATAGTAATTTAACATTTTTTTTCTTTTCATTACAGTTCACTACGTTAGTATATAATATTTTATCTTGAATTTTTTCAGTAGAGGTATTTTTGGCATCACTCGAGAAATTGATATTTTTTCAGTTAAATAATCAAGTACTGAAAGTAATAAGATAGGAATAAAAACCACGAGTAATCGTGTGTATAAAATAAGAAATATATTTATATTTTTGATAGTATTGTCATATAATTTTAATTATGTATAGATATTTATTTGCGTTGTATAACGATGTGTAGTTTCACGTTTACAAATTCAACGATATAAAAGATAATATTTACAAAATGTTTTCATTCAAATAGTTAACCGTAAATTAATTTTTTTATATATTTAACATAAAATATATTTAATTCTAAGAGATGATTTGTCTGACTTACAAACTTACATTCATAAGGTCATATATTCATGTGACATTTTTTTAAGTCTAGAAAAGTATTTAATTAGTAATCTACGTAATACGTAAAAATCAAATGAGTTAATGTTACATCGTAATGTTTTTTTGCGCGAAGATTCGTTATAAAGATGATCAATGCAAATGCATAAATCGATGCATTCGAGTAGCCAAAATGAGCATAATTGACATTTTTCGAGTTAGATGAGCGATTGTCTTCGTAAATTTTTATTAAAAAAAAAAATCTTCGGTATCGCTACGAATCATTCATCAATATATGTTAATCGTGTTTTACTCACACTGTTGAGTACAATGAAAGGTCGTTAGGGAAAAATATTGCAGCCAATTGAAAAAATGACTGTTGCTGCAAAGTAACTTTTTAACAATTTGGTCATTAATTGCAGAGCATTGCAATCGGTCGCAAATATTTACAATGTACATTAACGGCCCTTCAAAGTCTCACATGGTTTTCTCAACTCAATCAAAAGCAGTCGTACGTCATATTCTGTACAAACGCATAATCATAATCGGGAGAAAAATGCATTAATGTGTGTACTTAATCAGGGAAATATTAAAATAATAACAGTAAACATTTTCTTTTTCAATCTCTCAGATCGATTCAGCCATTTAACACACAAACACACTCATTATAAAAATTCACACTTCTTACGAGTATAATTTTAATAATTAATATAATATATTGAACAACTCTTTATACAAAGCCATTAGATTTTGTTCTATCGCAATATGGAAGCACCCTGAATCACTGCATAACAAAAAAATTAATAATATTTAACGTCGCAAGTACATCAACTCGTGTAAATTAACAAGAACAACAACAAAAGGCTTATTCCTGCAATCGTGAACAATCGCACGTTACGTGTTTGGAGAAAAAAGCGCGCTTGGCGATCGAGACAGACGTACAAAGTCGATTCGTTCGTGAACGAAGCTGGCTGCTACTTGGCAATTCCGTCTGTCTTCTTTTATCGTGTTAAGATATTTCGACTAGGATTTGGTCAGAATTCGTGACCTTTGTGTTTGTGTCAACGGTGAGAGAGAGCGAACGAGTTGAGCAGAACTGGATTGATTTCCACCGGCGTCTCTCGATCTTGCTCAGACGTAGCTCTCGTCGTCGACGATCGATCGGGAGTATCGGGTGGCGTGTCGGCTTGCGACTGGTACTCTGGGCTGGGGCGGTGGACGATACGGTGGCGGCGGTGGCAGAGATCTCGACCTCGAGGCTATTTTGTGTCTGTCCTCGAAGTTCATGTGTACGGGGGGCAGATGACGCAGCCGCGGCGGCAGTGGCGGTGGCGGCGGCGGCGTCTCCGTCCAGGACGCCTCGTGCGACGAGCCGTTGCTCTCCTCCGCGTCCTCCTCGTCGTAGACGTCGATGGCCTCCGCCTGTTTGAACGTGTAAATGTCTCGAGAGCCGTACATGTCGCTGATCATGTCTCGATTGCCGTAAATACTGTTGTCGGGCTTGACGGACGAGTAGAACTCGTAGCGCTCGGATCTCGTGCTCTCCTTGTTGATGTACAGCTCGCTGCGGACCTTTTTGAATTTGGCGTCGGCGCGGTAGCTGTCGTTGCTCGAATTCGGCGACTCTCTGTTCACGTAGATTTCGGACTTGACCTTTTTGAACTCTCCGCCGAATCGGTCCTTCTTGATTTGCTCGTAGGTGACGTTTCCGTCGTTGCAATTGGTCGTCAGCGACGTGTCGGCTTCGTTCTTGTCGCTGGCTTTCACATAGATTTCTTTGCGATTTTCCATGTGCTCTTTGTTGTCCGACTGTCGATGATAGTACAGGTCCTCCTTGCGTTGCTGTTGCTGCTGCTGCTGCTGCTGTTGTTGCTGTTGCTGTTGCTGCTCGTGCTCGTGTTTGGTTCTGGGCGCCCGCTTGAGATGCACCCTCAGCCAATCCTGTCTCTGGAAATTTGGATTGGGGCTCGGGTGCTCGCCGGTCAGGCCATTCTGCAAGAGCTGCGCGCTACTCGTCGTGTACCTGTCCTCCCACTGATTCTGGTAAACTCTCACGTAGGTCTTGTTGCCGACCGCGACTATGGAGGCGGGCTTGTCGAGGTCCTTGGACAGGGGCGATTTCTCGTAGCTCGAGCTCGAGGCGTTGACGGTGGAGTCCTCGGAGCCGACCGGCGATTCGGGTATGAAGAGCTGGCAGTCGGACAGCGTGAGGCCGGAGTCGCGCGACAGCGACATGTGGTCCTTGCGCGGCGGCTCCGTCAGATCGAGGCTGTCGAGCGAAAGCCCACCTGCTGCAAGAAAAGCTAATTAGTTGCCAAGATCGGTCGTTTCGTCCCTCTGGGGATCGGCAGAAACCGGGGGGATCGAGTGGAAATGGAGTTAACTCACAGTGTAGGCTGTCGGTGCTCTCCTCGGCGCCGCTGTCGCTGCGCTCCTCGCCCAGCAGCTGGACGACGCCCTCGCCGAAGAGCAGCTCGCAGTTGCGTATGAGCATCTCCGTGAGGGTGGGTATGGCTCGGCTCTGGTTGACCGTCGGGCTCGGCGACCAGAGCAGACTCGGGCCGCAGCAGACGCCGAGGTTGCTCGCGCACATGAGATTGTGCTTGGCCCGCCTGGCTATGTGGTGCAGCACGCAGACCAGGTGCGACAGGAGACTGTAGTTGGCCTTGGGCAGTCGGTCCAGTATGCTGCAAAAAAAAAAGAAACGGTATGCGTTAAATTTCAGAAAAGTGGCGACGAGTCGAGAGTGAGAAGCGTTATGGATTCACGTACCTTTTGATAGTCTGTAAGGGATCGGGGGCCTCGAGACTGGCCATCCAGAGGGGAAAGAGGTGGGAGGTGAGCAGCGGATCGGGCAGCGACCTCAAAAAGTCCTTGAGGAGAGCCGCCACCGCGATCACGGGTGCCTCCTCGAGGGAGCTCGTGTCGCCCGTCGACTCGATCTGGTCGCGCAGCTCGCGGACTATCCTCACGTTGGCGGACTTGCGGAAGATGCCCTGGGTGAAGGGGCCCTTGGCGAAGAGCTGCTGCAGCATGACGAGCACCGGCTTGGGCAGGCCGTTCTCGTCGAGGCGCGACAGATTGACGCCGAACACCGAGGGATTGAGGGACAGCGAGCGGCGCAGCAGGCCGCTGATCTTGGACTTGTTCTTCTTGGCCGGCGACTTGAGCACGGGCCGGAGGATGAAGTGGCAGGTGTCGTGGCCGCTCTTGTTGCAGTGCTCGAGGTCGAAGCCCTCCTCGCTCGACAGTATGTGCCGGAGATTCGACAGCTTGATGGCGAAGGGCCGCTCGTGGCCGACGAGCGGATAGGGCGCCTCCTCGTGGCAGGTGCGCGCCCACAGCTGGAAGGGCCCCTGCAGGTCGAGCAGTCGCTGGGCCTCGTTCAGGCAGTGGGCCGCCGTGTCCTCCGAGTTTACCGCGATTTTCTTGCACTGAACAACATAGATGCCCAGTTTAGTTTATTTTGCTTTCGAAGCTTCGCAATTCGCTTTTATAGGAGCTCTAAAGTACTACTCACGTATTCGGTGTTGTTCTCCGTGTCGTGGTAGACCACTTGGATATTGGTCTGCTTTGGCTCTTTGGTACTCTCCTTGCGCACGAGTTCGGTCAACTTGTTCCACCAGAGATCCCGACCCGCCGCGGTCCTGTGTCGAAACACAAATTTTACGAGTTAACTCAAGTTATTATATTGGGCAAAAGAGGAACGATAAAAAAAAAAGTAAGAAGAAGATGGGCAAACTCACGTAAAAGTCGCGACGACGTTGGTGGTGGGCCAGCCCAGCACGAAGCTCGTCTCCTGGGACTTGTTGGTCTCGGCCACCTCGTCGATGTGATTGACCGTGAGCCAGAGCTCGCTCATGCGCACGGCCTGCTTGAGCTTGTAGCTGTTGTTGCCCCGCGACTTGCCGATCAACAGCAGGTCCGTGAAGAGAAACATGTGGCGGTCCTGCGACTGCACGCCCGTCGTGAACGTCACCGGCGTCTCGAGGAGGAAGCTCCGTGGCGAGGACGACTTTGGCCTCGTGTTGGCGGCGACCTTCTGCGCGGCCAACGCGTCGCTGGGGCTACTGCCCATGAGCGGACTCGAGGAGCCGCTGCCTATGAGGTTGAGGGCCTTCTGGGAGAGCGCCCGGGGCAGTCTGCCGTTGGCGTTGGTCCCGCTGCTGCCGGAGCTGCCTCGTTTTCGCACCACGTTCTTCGGCTTCTGGAACGAATGCCATTCGTGCGATTACATTTTCCATCGATATAATATATATGGCGTATTCAATTAGTCGATTAAAAAAAAACAAATAATAATAAAAGCAAGACTATATAAGATCGGCGTAAGTAAAGACGAAAGTACAGAGAGGGGGATATAACAAAGCTCGCTTCGCTAACGGTTCGCTGCGAAATTCCAGCCTCGCTCACAACAGAGACGTCCTTTTATTTTTCCGCAGAAATTCCAGTCTTTTGTCCCTTTATTTTATATTTATACACGACTGTCAAATCGAAATTTACCGTCGCTCGATTGCGTACAGGTATAGGTATATATACGTCTCGGCGGTACTGGCAGTTTTCTCGTGCATCTTTCTCGTGCTAGAGAGCATCATCGGGTGCCAAGCCAGCAGCAGCGAGTAAGATAATGAAGCGAGAGTCACGCCAGCAGCTTCCGTATGTTCTTGAGCGCGAGATTTATTTTCCAGTCAACGGACGCGCGCGCGACTCGATTCCGGAGAAAACTGGCGACGCGACACTCGACGGAGAGAGAGACAGAGAGAGAAAGAAAGAGAGAGACGAATGCGCCGTGTGTACGAGAGCTTACGACGCAGCGCCGGCAGTCCTGCGTCATTTACGCAATGCCGACGTCGCCTGTGCCGCCACCACCGTGTAGTGGTGTCCTGTGTCTTCTTTTGACGCGTCCTTGCCACTTTTTTTTCTCTTTCTCTCCGTATTTTCGCTCTTTTTTCGCAAATACTTTTATACATTTCACAATTGCGTGTGCTTAATAATACGCTTGTTTTGCGCGATCATGTGTGTGTGTGTGTGTGTTTATGTGTGTTTGTGCACGTGTGCAATTTGGCATCGTGTAATAGGTCGGCGGCACGAATCGCATTGTGCGTCCTTATGGCTAATTATCGATGACGCGCGCGCGGGACTACTCGCTGCGCGACGAAAAAAGGCTGCACGGAAAGCAGAAAAATCCAAGGATTAATCGAGTGGTAGCGTCGAGTTATATAGCGCCGATCTGGAGCTGGATAAGCCGAGCCGATATACTCGCGTCAATGCGAAAAGACGTCATGGAAATTCTCGCGTTGTCATGCGCGTCTCCGACGTCTAACCCGTGTGTCCTCGTAATAGCTCCAACGCGTATATAGATAAGCCGCAGTTTATCTTGGCTCGTGTTGGTTTCTATACGTAGAGGCTCTTGGACGGAGGGGGCCATAAAACCCGATCTCCGGGGTTGGCTAAAAAGAAGGACCTACCGATGTGAGAACGTCCTGCTCGTGCAATCGCAAATTGTCATTGGGGAAGAGCTCCTGTATGCGGTGGAGATCGCCCTCGAGCTGGCCCCGCTCGAGAACTGCCGCAGCGCTGCTACTGCTGCCATTGTTATTGTTGAGGCTGTTGCCTCCGGCCGGACTGCTGGGGCTGCTGCTCACGGCGTCGCTGGCCAAGTTGCGGGCTTCCTGGCCCAGATACCTCTCGTACTCGGCTAGCCTCTGAACCTGATCGACAAAAAGACAACAAAACTCTTTAGTAAAAGATAATGTTTACGATCGACGTTATAAGATAAAATAATTCTTGCTCGTGTGTGTATGTGAAGGCAATCGAGAACATAAGAAAATATGAGAGAATATAAAAGAGAGAGAGAGAGACCTAATTACGCACGTTTTTTACGCGATTATCGCTCGACGATGAATCATCTCTCGGTCTCTTTGGGATCGCGACTTTGGCGGTGGCAGCGATGATAAATACACGTCGACGCGTGATAAATGACATGGCACGCCGCGAGAGCCGTGCGCGTAACATTGGCTATGCGCGCCAAATAATGCGAAAAATAAAAATATATACTTCGTTATTATGTGCTGCAACGAAACGCCAGCGCACGGCTCGCGGCTCCATAGGAATTTGCGACTTATCGGCAAAACGAGATGATTATCTTTCCGAGTTTTGAACCTTTCCCGCGACTTTATATCTGCCGTATCGAGTGGACGTTTCGGTGCGCGAGTGGTGTATCACTATATTATACGGAATATATAAGCGATGAACGCACACGATATCGCCGCCCACCGACGATGGCATTTTTGGGGTTAGACCGCAAACGTTCAAACATTCGATCCGCAACTACTTCCTGTTGCTGTATTATTATACACTTGCTCGGCTGAGAATCGTAACGGACTGTGCCTCGTCCGTGACCGCCTCGTTAAATTACAATATTCGAGGCTCAATTACGCTGCAGCGAATTACAAAATGGAGACATTACAGAAGTAGAAGTGCACGAAAGAATAGAGAGAGAGAGAGACGAGTCGATCTCTGCGACAATCGCCATTCCTTACGAGAAGTAAAAAATCGATTCGCAAATATACACACGGCACGCGTGAACGAGCGATACGTGTATGATGGCATATAAGTAATAAATATTTAACGATCCGCAGGCAATGAGGAACTACTTTGGGAGCGATCGATACATATAGGCGCTTGTATAAAGTCGCGCGCGTGTACTATTAGCCGAGCGCAGCGCGGCTCTAAGAATCGCGCGCCCAGCCGATTGTCTCGCGATCGCGAGGCGCGCGCGTACACGCACTCTCGTTGTAAACTGGCGCAGCTAGCTCCGACCGACCTCTCTGATATTACGTTTTGTTATATATGTATCGTTGTGCTCGACAGCCAACACTATAACGACTCTTTTGCCGGCCTATTAATTATTACGACGATATACGCAAACGGGCCTGACTCGACCCACACGCTCCAGGATTTATTTAATTAATTCGCATATAATTAGAGCATCGAGTAGCAGCAGCTCGGGTGATATTATTATGAGAATGGACTATTATAGCCGGATGCCGTTGCTGCTGCTCTCGTGCGGTCTTTGAGAAAAATATCGTAATAAACGGCGTTCGGCAGCTATATAGCGACGACGAACCAGCGCACTTGCAGTACTCGCGATCATGAGTCAAGAGCTCTATATACTCACATTATTGCAGTCGGAAGCGTAGCCTTCGTCGAAAAATAAGTCGACGTATTTAATAAACATTTGCGTGTTTGATGAAATGCGCGCTCATTCGCCGATCGTCGCGATCCAAGCAACGACGATCGCTCAATTCTCTTGCGCCAACTGCGCTGAACGATTTTTTGTTTTTTTCACACCGACCGTTGACTTTTGCACTCGACGACGAACAATATTATGTCACGCCAACAGAAGGAGCCGCAGAGTAAACTCGCGATTAAAGTAAACTCGATATACGATCGCGCTCGAGTCCGCGTCGATACTGATTAGCCGCGGCGCGGGCGATCCACTTGGCGCTTCCGCACGCGTGAATTATTGTTTATAACGTACTATATGTAAGTACCTGCGCGTCACCGTGCGAGTTGCAGTTACACCTCGTGTTTAGTCACTCGCACGCGTCCGCGCGCGCTCTAATTGCCACTGCTCTTTTTTGTTGTCGTCGTACTTTTGTTGCTGTCGTTAGCTGCGCACAGTCTCAAATAGATCGAGGATGCTAATTTACAGCTTCCTCGAAAGTGCAAGGAAGAAGATCGGAGGGCTGAGAAATGAGATTCGTTTCACTTGCTTTACGCGTATATATACATGCGCTCGAGGTGTATAAAAACTGGTTCTATATTGCGCGTCGCGCGGCGCAGGGTTGAAAACGTGCAGCGCGCGTCTTTCTGCGTCGTCCTCGTCGACATGTTATCGTTACGCCTCGATCGTCGATAGATTATTCTTACGTTTTTTTTTACTCTGCTCGCGTCCAGCATCGTCAATGGCACGTATTCTCACACACACACACACACACATACAGGATGATGGACCGGTCGATCATCGGAATATGCCACGTTGCTCGTCTCTTCTCTCCTTTCTCGGCTGTTTTATTAGCTAGTACAGAACTTGCTTTTTGTTTTCTCAACAAAGCGACGATTCAATTGCTGGCCAGCATGTAGCATCATAGATTTTCGCCAAAAGATTATCAAATTACGAGATTGCCAGGATGAATTTCGAGCACGAATTTCGACGTTCTTCTCGGATTGATCAATCGATCGGCGAGCATACGTATATCCACGAAGCTCGCGAATTCTCGACAACAATGGTGCATGCTTTTTTCGCGGAAAATCGCGTCGCGTACTTTGTTTGTAAAAATTATAAAGCGTCGTATAAATAAAAGGACGCGCGTGCGCGCCGACCGGTGTGTCGGCCGAGCTAAGCGAGGCGAGTACAAGAAGTATCGTAAACTCAAAATATGCCTGCGTATATATAAGCAAGGTGTAGGTATATTATAATATACACGAGAGCGAGTATATTTACATAATAAAAAAAGCCGGTTATATTATACACATGAACAAGTCGAGGTACGCAGGCTCTGCGCACGAGAGAGGCTAAGAAGAGAAAAAGAGAGTGAGAAAATACTCGAAAAAGAGGAGAAATAAAAAATAATAAACGCTCGACGGTAAATTGACTAGAGATAATATTAGCTGTATAGCCGGCAGGTACTACTATATCTGCCCATATATATACACGCACATAGGCAGGGGTATACATAGAAAAATAAATATATACGTAATATTTTTCGAGAAATAATACCGAGCGAGAGAAAGAGAAGCGTAAAGACAAAGTAAAAGAAGAAGCTAGAGAGAGAGAGAGAGGGAGAGCGAAAAATAAAAGTGGCAAAGTGCAGTACTCTTGTATATATATAGAGTCTCGGCTGTGTGCCGAGAGCGGCCGCATATGTCGAATATTTTTCGCTGGAAAACGGCTAATATTGCGCCTGCTAGCCTCGAGAAATGTGCGTATTTTTCTCTCCTGCTGCAGCTCGCAGCTCTCGTACTTGTAAGCAATGCATGAAAGAGAGAGAGAGAGAGAGAGACGTATTACGTAAGCTCGCGAGCGATCGACTCTTTGAATAGTTTTAGCGCTGCGCTTATTTAAGTAAACTTGAGCGCCGATGAAAATCAATTAACGAATCGGTTATGCGAGTCGATGCATAAGTGTATGTTTGTGTGTGTGTGTTTGTGTATATAGTAGCTGACGTAAAGCTGCCTCTCGAGTCGCTGCGTGTGTGTCGAAACTGCCAACGTGCAATCTGTTATAGTATTCTCTCGGTTGTAAATGCATATGCATGGATAGCGCATATAGGATAGGATACGTGGGCTCACGTGTGTACACATGTTGCTCGGAACATTGCTTCGTTCGAAAGTACATTGTGTATGAGTAGAATGTCTGCGTTTGAACTGTGTACCCGTAGCAGCAGCAGCAGCAGCAGCTATATACAGATGTAGCTCTTTGAATGGGAGAATTGGCATATAGCGCGCCGAGCGAGTGTAAGCAACCGAGCGAGCAGCTATATAGACAGAAAGGTGAAAGGACGACGACTTGTACTACTACTACAACTACTACTACTACTGTTGCTACTATTACTAAATATTAAATACTACGTCGTCGTACTACGAATATACGCCGATCGGCCAGAATTTCTTGTAGACTTTTTTTTTTTTTTGCTCGATTACATTGCGGCGAAACGAATGCCGATATAGCGCGAGTCGTTGGCGCACGTGGCCGACTATGCGCGGCTGACTCTTATTTACGGAATTCAGATGCGCGCGTCGATAGGCAAAAGGTGGCAAAGAATTAGTCATCGCTCCCGCATCCTATGTACACAATTCGAAAATTGTTATTCGAGCGAGTCGAGGAGCAGTCGGAATATGGTCGATCGAGCTCGTTTATTATTAAAGTGCTCGTGTGTGCATATTACGGTCAGATGCCGAATTAGCGGTAATTATATCACGCGCGACCACGCAGATATAGAGAGAGAGAAATAAAAATTAGGCGCGCTCGCGACAGGTGGCTTGCGTCACACACTCGCTCGGCCAGCCGAGTTTGTATATTATATATGCAGCCAGCGAGCCTATATAGTTATATATATATATATATATATTGCAATTTGTCGCGTCCACTTCTCTCGTTCATCCGCAGAGAGCAGCTGCAAAGTGAACGTATAACACATATCAAGATATGTGTATACGCGGCCTTGCCTCTCTCTCTCTCTTATAGCCTGGCTAGTAGTAGTAGTAGTAGTAGCGATTCGAAGCCAAGGCGCTGTACAATTGGAGCTGTTTTTTGCCGAGATATCCGCGCTGGATTAGCGATTGCATATAACATATCCTCGAGACAGCTTCCTCGAGTGCGCACTGCACGCAACTTTGAGAGAGAGAGAGAGAGAGTCGAGGCGTATACGCTTGTATATATATACAGGTACGCGACAGCTGACCGTTGCCGCCGCTGCAGCACCGCGACTGGACTGCAGTGCGCTTATACTAGGCGAGAAAGGATATTTGCCTGCGCGCGCTCGCGACGCCATTATAATTGCACGCGAGACGAGAAATTCCAACGGATTAACGGTCTGGCAGATTCCTTGGCCGCAGCCTCTGTACACAGTGTATATTATACCACCGACTTATAAACTACACTCGACTTGTACGCTGACCTTCCGATGGCGCCGCGGGGACACGA